ATTTATTTTCTTCTCGTTTAAAAAAACGACTCGATCAACATTGGACAAGTATGATAACATCTGACAAGCCCTAAGGTGTTCAAATTGTATCTTATCTACCACAAAGTGTGTATACATTCATAATATACATGTGTGTGTGTTCCAGTGTACTTCAGTGTACACTTGTTTTGTCTACCACATACTTTTGCTTTTATAATCATTAGGCAAATGGCTAAATTGGTAGAATATGTAAAGCTAGCAAATGTAACATAGAAATTATATCTTCTCATTGTGTTTATTTGTTTATTTATTTATTGAATATAAAGAAGAGAATAAAGTGGTACTTGGTTAACTTGACTGTAATATTCTTTCGTTCAAATCTTCTTTTAGTTTTACTTCATTTACCGAAGTTTGTTATCTTTTTCCTTCTTCTCTTTCATCTTCAATCATTACTACTATGGTCATAGTTTAAGGAAACGTTATCAAAATAATAAACTTATTTGACAATAAATAAATTTTTTAGAGTGAATTCATTATTTGAAGTTTCATTCAAATTTCTCTACTTGATTTGAAAAATTCAATTAACTTTTTTTAATGAGTAAATAGAATATGGAACAAGAAAAAAGAAACATTCTCAATTCAATTAGCAATATGTGTTACTCAGTTGTTTTTTTTTCTTATAACAAATATACTACTCATTTTCAAAGGTTTATATAGTAAATTTTAATGATGAATATAAGCATAGATTGTTCACAGATTGGTAGTCATTGATAACTGAGTGATAGTAGATAATTGATTCATTGAAATAATTGGTGAATTTACAATGACAACTAACACTTTTGTAGATGAATTAAATGGTCCTCAGTTTTAAAGTTATTAGTTTTGCTTTTATGAAGCTCAATGCACTTGATATAATCAACAGAATTATGATTAGTAACCTTGTTATCATGTGAAAACGATCTTAAAACTTTCATAATCATGACATCCTAAGAGTGAACTTATCTTTATTCTCTTTACTTTTACATTTAATATTCAACTATTATATTTTATCAGTATTTTTAACATCATCTCTGTCAGTGATATTACAATACACTTATTTGTATTTCAATATCTGTTTACATTAGTACATGTTTATACTTAACGATATAGTGATAAGCTCAATATATTTTCTGTTTTGGGCTGCGGAGATTATTGAATTTTATTAAAATCATGAATCAATCATTGTCATGTCACCATTGAAAACCTCGAAGCACTGAACGATCATTTTGTTCCAGTATAACATTCATTGACAATGCACATCCATGACCTACACGTCGGTTTCAAACCCAACACTTTCAGTCTCGTGTATGAATGCTCAACCCCTAGACCATTGAGCCGGAATCCAGCGGTGTTAGTTTCTAACTTCAACGAATCCACGATATTGTGTAATCATCTATTGTTTTAGGTAGGCAACTGTCTCACACTGCTGAAGAGTAACACACTAGAACGAAACGGTCATCTAGTGCCTCCAGGTCTTCAATGGTGGTTTAACATTGATCGATTCATGATTTCAATGAAACTCAATATACCTTACAGATTTTTTTAAAATTTGTGCTGGGGAACTTAGCTCAAATAAAGTACAATGAAACTATCGATATTGAAGAGTGTAGAATCAAATGAATATATCATGTCGAAATCTCTTCGTAAAAGCTTCTTACTTTGAGTTAAACTCATTGGGAATTGTTAACACTATATATCTTTCGAGAAATAGTTTGGTAGTACGTCAGTAATAATATGTTCAGTAATAAAATGGTAAATCATCTCAAAGGAACATGAACACAGATTCTATAATATTGTTAATATGGTATTTTAAATAATGAAAATGAGAATGAAATATAACAATGGAAATGTAATTACTGTAGATCATATATAGACATTGATTCTTAAGTTGATGTATACAATATAAGAATACATTATCGATACTTCATAACTAATAATAGAATTACTCAAGTATAAAATCATTTTAAACCATGTCTTTTTAAATAGCTGAACGTTTTAAATCATTATCATAAAATGTTACAAACTATTAGTGTGATTGGTGTGAATACTTTGAAAAATAGAATGAATTCACGTTTCCACCTTGTCAAATTTATTTTTTTCTCTATTTGCTTTTTATGTTCTTACACCTAAGGTTTTTATTCTTCCTTTTCATATGAATCCTTTTACATTCTAATATTGAAATTGCCATCAAATGCCCTGGTACGGCCGAGAGTAGGGAGAGTCCGCTCTCCCTCTCCAAATGCTCTCACATGGCCACGCGTATATAGCCTCTGCCAGGGAAGTTCTACTCACTGACTTCTCGTGGCATTTCTGTTGTTTACGAAATTGAGAGGACGAAAAGCGAATGTTTGGCGCTTTAACCGGATTCCAAACCAATGGTGCACATGGGCTCTAGTATCCTGCTGGAACAAATGGCGTATGAACCAACTGCTGGTCACCGGTTACCATGGGACTGCATCTCTTCACGATGCTCCACTGCCTTGTGGATCAGACCTTCAGGTCGAAGGCTCCGGGTGTGGCCTCCTAAGAAAACCATTTGCTTCGGTTTGGGCACCCGGGCAGTATCACAGTCCTCACACATATCGAATGAGATTTGTGTGGCGCATATGTATTTGGTGCTTCCTTGTACCAATATCTATGTTTAAAAATAAATAAATAATAAATAAATATTGAAATACTAATCAATAAACGATTGTGCTATTATTTTATAATAATTAATGATGGTAGTGAAATAACTTTGAATAAAGACTAAATAGATCAAGGATATTTCCACTTTTCTTTTTCAAGTGTATATTTAATTCTTTGTACTTACTTACATACTTACTCCTGTTACTCCTAATGGAGTGTAGGCCGCCAATGAGCATTCATTGTGTCGACTGAATAATTTTAAATAACTTCGCTAGGATGAAATTATATTGGAATTCATTATTTAGTTGGAAATTTAATGAATTGAACTGATTTCTTTACTGTTTTCGTCTGTTAGGATTTTTATTAGATAAGTACGATGAAAATTCATCCACATAATCTTTATCTATTATTCCATTTATACGAAACTGTTAAAGGGCGACATTTTGGGATTATTTATAATTGAGTTTCGTCGTCTATAAAGAGTCTCGAGTTTTAAAACTTCAGTGTAAAAGATTATTTGGATAACGTAAAACTGTCTGACATGTCAAAACACAAACCACAAGTTTTCATGGAGTTTTATTTTCATAGCTGGATGATTTGGTCGTGGAGCTTTCATCGTTATTCTGAACGAAATCATTGGCACAAATTTCAAGTAGAAGTGAAGTGTTGAAACTTCTTCACATTTGACTCCCAGCTTGTCCTGTAGACCTCGATCCTGATTGGTCAATGCCGACCTTTAACCTGTTATTGTTTACTTCTTTATTTGATTTTACTTCCAACTGATTTGGTTCTTGGTCCTACATTTGTCCATAATTTTTCTGACTGGTCTATAAATTAGATCGATTTCAATGTGTTTGTTGATGACTGACTCACTTGAGTGCCAAGCCCCTAAAAACTCCTTGGTGTTTTTAGAATTGCCTCTATCCAAGATCTCAACATTTTTCCAGTCGAATGTGTGTCCACAGTTGTCCACATGTATTGATATAAGTGAGGATATGTCATGGCATTTGACCGCTAATTGATGTTCATGTAGGCGAAGACGAAGAAAGTGTTCGCTTTGTCCGATGCAGTGTTTTTCGCAGATGGAACAATTTACTTTGTAGATGATGTTCGACTTTTCTTCTTTTATCATTTCGTCCTTTGGTTTACATAAAATCGATTGAAGTGATTTTCTTGGTTTGTGTGTTACACCTTTTCAAAAAGGCTTCAAAAATCTCGTTTCAATTTCTGATATACTTTTACATATTGGTAAGATAATCCTTTTCTTGGTTTCTGGACTTGTTTTTGTTTCTGGTGATAAGTTTGGCTGGCATTTTTGATAAAGTTGATCGGGCAGCCGTTCTTTTGAAAGATAGTGTTTAAATATAGAAGCACGAATCAAATCGATTGGAGGTAAAATCAAATAAAGAAGTAAACAATGACGGGATAAAGATCAACAACAATCAATCAAGATCGAGGTCTACAGGACGAGCTCTGAGTCTTATGTGTAGAAATTCGAATATTTTACTTCCACTTGACGTTTGTGCTGATGATTTCGTTCAGAATAACAGTAAATAGCTAACTATGTACGAGATTAGGTGGTTTACAATATTATTATTCAACTTTATTGTTGTTAAATCTTTGATCCTTCTGGAATTCTGTATGCTATGGTAAAATGTTACAACTTTACTAAGTGACACATTATATCTTCCTTGCAGTAATCACAAACCACCCAACACCGAATATAGTTCACCACTATGTGAACGTACCAAGACTAGCAACTGAATTGAATCTTTATAGATCTAAAATGATCAATACCAGTGTAAATTCACTTATGAACAAGGATTTTTTTCAAGTTAACGATATCTGAAAAACCATGTCAGAATGCCTATTGAACTTCTATGATTAATGTACTAGATCTATCGGGTATAAACTACATATGTATACTTAAACATAATTTTTGACTTTATAAACCTTGGATAAGTCTAATTTCTTTAAATATAACTTAAGAATGTTAAAATTGTTAAACACAATTATTTCTACTACCTTGTAGCGTATATGGAAGATAAGAATGTTTCAGAACAATGAAAAGAAATAAAGTATGATACTTTCTATATTATTCGACTAACAGTTAGTTTATCAAGTTAAGATTAAGTTGAAATTTTCAATTAAAACTCGTAGACAAAATAATGATAAACGATATAGATGTCTCTGATTTGAATTAATCTTTGATCATATACTATTCGGATATTACAATGATATAAGTTGAATTAATCAAGGGGAAATTAGTTAATTTCTTGGAAGAAAAAATTAATAATCTATTACGATTGTTAGTTTAAGTTAATACTTTTTTATCACATACACAAATATTTTAGGCCAAATGTATGCTTCGAAACTAATCCTAAACCAAGACAATATCGTCAACGTATACAAATCCCTTATACAAAATTAACACGTGTTTGGGAACCAAATTGTGAAACTGAAGGTAACTGGTGTATCAAATATAAAGAACAGTAAGTTATTGGATATTTATTCTTGTAAAATATTAAATCTATTATTATGTATAAATAGATTAATTATTTGTTTTCATTAACTTGATAATTAGTGAATATTGCATCACAATCATTTACAAGATCAAGCTAAATAACTTCTGATTTTAGACATTTAAGATCAAGTTATACGTCTAGGAAGTGTGATATTTCACTGAGATCATTTTAATGTTTGTTATGATAATTCTGTAAGATCTTGATATCTGTCATTCATTTTTTACGCAAATTTTTTTTTGATAACGTTTAAATTGACAAATTTGTTATATGATTTTGCTAAATACCTTAACTAGCTGAACCATTTAAGGCAGATGATAAAGAGAAGTATTGTTTATCTTTACAAAACAAGAACATCATAGTTTAAACAGTGATGTCATTAATCTATCAAGGTAGTTGCAAGAAGATTTTTGACATTTTGTAAATTAGTATCATCATAAACTAATAATAGCTGGATAAAATAATGAAAAGTAGAACGTACTAAACAGCTGATTTATTCTAATCTGAGACTGTTGATCAATGCTTGCACCCAACTCTACAAATTCAGCTTATATAAGTTTTTGATGAAACTGCTTTGAAATATCAATGACCTTTTTACGTTGAAAGTTATTGATCTATTTCATCTTTAAAAAAACATAATATTTTGACGTTCCTAATTCACAGGTATTTGATTATAGAATCATTTGACCGAACTTTTAATTTATTTAAATATTTTAGAACCCATTATGCTGTTCATTATAAAACAGTTTTTAAAACTGCACCTATAAAACAATTTCGCTGCTGTCCTGGTTTCATTCGTCAACCTGGGTATGAAGGTTGTGTTCCGGGTAAGCATTTTCCGAAAAAAATTATTCTTAATTATTTTATCATAAATATCATTGAATGACTTGAGTTACATAATAGTATAATTTCGAGTGCGGTGAACTCAGATTTAAGTATATATATAATCATGGTGTACATTGGTGAATTCAATAATCACATTTGTTTGTCTAACTTAACTACTATTTATCGACCAAACATTCATTAATATTACATACTAACTTGTTTTAATTATGTCCTAAATGGTTTGGAGTACAAATATTCCATATGGTTACATTTATTTGTTCTTAACTTTACCGACATCAGTAATGATTAATTCTTCACATTCATTACAATAATTTTACTTATCTAATGTGCCATAGATTCCTATTTTGTACAATTTAGCTTAGTACATAACAAAAAAAACACATCAAATGACAACCGATTACATTTGATTTTAATTTTAAAACTAATTCAATGATTAATTTATTAGCAAAATATACGATTACAAGATGCAGTTGAGACATTTTAGAAACAAAAAATTGAATGAAATGTTTATAAGTATAAGGTTGTGGAGAATGTTGAGATTCATTGAAATCATGAATCGATCAGTCCTCGATCACTATTAAAAACTAAGAAGCACTGGGCGCTATTTCGTCTTAGTATGGAACTTCTCAGGAGTGCACATGAACGACCCACACGTCGGAACTGAACTCAGCACCTTCAGTAACGTGTGTGGACGTTTAACCTTTAGACTTGTGAGCCAGCATACAACGATGCCAATGAAACTTGACAGTATTCGTAACCCTACAATGATAATCATTATATGCTCACTAGTGACTAACTTAGAAAGGAAATTCTCTGGGTCCGAGTGTAAAGTCGTGACAAGTGGAATTCAACAAGTGTGTGAGGCAGTTAACCACCGAGAAAAACTGAAGATGGTTGCACAATATCGTGGATTGGTTGAAGTTAGGCATTAACACCACTGAATTACATCTCAATGGTCTAGATTTTGAACATTCGTGTAGGGTTTGAATCCCATGTACATTTTCCATATGAATGTCATACCAGAACGAAATGGCTGTTCAGTGCTTCCTGGCTTTCAATGATGATCTGACACTGATCGATTCATGATTTCATTAAAAATGTTTATGGTTAATTTTCTGTTGAATTTTAAATAATAGAAATCGCCAAGTCAAAATACATTATATATATATATATTACAAACAGCATACATGTTTGTAATTTGGGGAATGAGTATAAAGCTTGAATATAAAGAAATTTCATGGAATTTGATGGCCCTCTATTATAACTCAGAATACTTAGAAGCCAATAATAAAAAAATCCTTCTCTTAAACTAATGTTTAAACTAAAATCGAAATTACAGTAAACACAACGATAAAATTTATGTCAGTGTTCTTTCTGATAATGTAAATTACTTAATGGATTTCCAAATATTGAAGAAAAGCTAATTGGTCGGTTCTACTTCTATCGACAATTGCTTATTTAAATTAATTTATATTGTATCAACTTTTTCCCAACTGTGTATCTAACAATAAAATTTCAATTACCTTGTTTTGTGAAATACGAAGACGAAATTGATCTGAAAAATGTGATATTCCTGAGATATGCATCTTCAACAATCTGATCACACGTTTATTTGTTGAAGCATGGCATATGGGTTCAGTAATTATAAAGTGATAATTGATAATAAACGGGAGAAAAAATTATGTAATTTGAAAATGATGACAAGATGCCATAATTACTGTAGGGTTTAAGGTAAATCAAAGATTGTTAGGGAAGATATAAGATTAGAACAAACTGTTTTTTGTACACATATAGTCCAAATGTCTCACTCTGCCTTCCTACTAAGTTAGCAAAAAACAAAAAAATAAAATGTACTGTTAAGCTTCTAATTGAACTCTTCAATTAATATTTCCCGCTACTGATTGCATTGAAGTAAGAAAAATAGTTCAATGACGTGGTAGATAGCTAAAAGTTTCGTAAAATTCTTTTTGTTTTCAATAATTTATATATGGTGTTTACTTATCAGTCTATATAAAACGGTAACTTAAATTGACCGGTTTCTAATGTACAAGTGCATCACTTCACTTTTACAGTTTAGATCGTCCAAACACACAATTACCTATATTGCATATATATGTTAAACTTGACAAAATGGACTAAAAAGTCAGAAAAGCTCATAACAAATCAAATTACATTACATTAATTAACTCCACCCTAACCACTACCTATCTTTCTGTATCTGGCTCACTGATTCTTCTTATCCTAAACTTAGTTATCTCGATAAATTGACTGAATAATATGTACCACTACCTCTATTTCTTCGTGTATAGATAAAACAGAGAAAAATATCATCAGCAACATACAAGAAACAAGAAGTTACTGTAACACTATTTATCCAATTTTTATCTGCTTTGTTCATGTATATTCAATTTATATTGTCTATAAAAAAAGATTTCCATCTTAGACTTTCATTCTTACTTTTGTTTTCTGCTTCTACTACTACTTCTTCTTTTTCATTTTCCACCACCCTGAATCATCAAGATCATGGTCTGCAATTCAGAGTTGAAAAACTTATCATTTTCCTGCTTCAATTTATTTGGGATCTACTGGTTTGTTTGTGTAGAAGCTATGTAAAAAAGCAACAAAAAAATGCCTGTTCAAGTGTTCAGTTATTCGTCTTTCTATTCAGATGTTGTGTGTGTAGGCACACAAGTTTTTGCTATGTGCATGGGTATATTTCAGTGTAAATACTGAACATACTAATCATATGTATTATATATATATATATATATATATATATATATATATATATTGGATGATTTAATTTCAATAATTTCTTCAGTTTTCGATAAGATTTCTATACTGATAAATAAATTAGCTTATTTACAGAACAAAAAAAGATATCTATATGGTCAACCGTTTTTATCCATACTGTTCTGTTAGTGCTTTCGTTGAGGAGTAACCAACAACTACCCTAACAACAACAACAGAACACGGGATCTGTTAATCTTAATGGTCGTATGCTACTCTTTTTTTCTTTTTTTTTTCTTATGAAAATGGGATAATACCTGGAACTAGTGAAAACTAAATAAAGGAGAATTTTCGAATAATTGTGTGATTAGTTAAGAATAGGTAAAAAAAAAGAAAACATTTGAAGTAGTAATAAATTCTATATTGATATAGACATTACTGAAGTAGGATGTTAAATAGAAATTGATTTTTAATAAATTCCAAGACATACTTGTAGAAGTTATAAACTAATTCAGTTACTGTAAATTATATCCATTAATAAAATTATTATTATCAGGATGGGTTTTCTGGAGATTTTTTAGAAATTTCAGAAATGTTTAGCAAAATTTTAGAAATCTACTGGAGTTCTAGTGAGAAGTCGTTACCAGTGGAGTTCAACCAGGTCTGTTGTGAGATATCAACTCACTGATGACAATCGTGTACGATGGCACAATTTCGTGGATTGGTTGAAGTTAGACATTAATAACATTGGATGCCGGCTTAGTGGTCTAGTTGGTTAAGCGCCTGGAGCGAGACTGATAGGTCCTGGGTTCTAATCCCTCTGGGTGCGGGATCGTGGATGCGCACTGCTGAGGAGACCCATACTAGGACGAAACGGCCGTTCAGTGCTTCCAGGTTTTCCATGGTGGTCTAGCTTCAATCGACTCATGATTTCAACCAGTGAAATAAAATTATTACTTGTATTATTATTATTACTACTGTCGAATAAATAGACTTTGATCTGTTAAATATAATAATATCTAAGCAACACGAACTTGAAATCCTTATTAGATAGATGACTATGACTACTAAATTTATAATCTTGTTAAAATGTGATCTCTGTTTAAGGGATCTTTTTGTAGATTGGAAGAATGACTTAACAATTTGGATAGTTAAGCTGAATAAATTATAGAGATATTTATTATAGTAAAAAGCAGTTTTATATATAAACTGTTGAAAACCAGAGGGCATTGAGATTTCCGTCTCAGTTTGATTGAGTCCTACTTCCATAAAAAGAATCCAATTTAAAATCTTGAAGTCTTTCAGTAAACATTATTTCCAAAAATTTGAGTCTATAGTGATAGATACAGATTTTTAATAAAAGCCGATTAAAAATATAGAGCAGTGAGCCATCGGTGATCTATGTTTTACTCCAAATATGGTTAACTGCAGATAAAGCGCATATATTTCGATTTCGACTAAGCTTTCTAAGAATGAAACTACTCTCTGTGTTACTTGAAGGTGTAAATATGCGGTGTAAAGTTATTTATGCGGTTTGCCTAATTGTTCTAAACTAATATGAAACTTCCATTCATTGTTTCTTGATTTTCAATTATTTACCAGCTGACTTCAATATGTTGCATATACAGTTTGACTAAGATTAAGACTATCTCAGTCAGTATTACTTTGCATGATTTACAAGCTTAAACTTTTTTTATTAAAGAAAATCCACAAATCCAAATATATTATAAACTACTTAAAATTTCTAGGGTTGACTATATAAATAAACGGAACATTGAGTAGAAAGTTAATAATAAATATAAGTTTGTGATATCCTAATAAGTAAACAAAAATAATAAAGTTTTGACGCTTCATGATTAAGTGTAAGCCACTTCTCTCGGGAATAACAATAAATAACAAGTTAAATTTACATGAATTCAAGCATCATTAAAGGAAAAGCGGAATAATTTTAGTGTAGTCGTGATACTTTGAGGATTATTTTGATATTAATAATATTGATTTAGTTATTTTTAGACATAGAATGCACTATTCACCTGGTATTGCGTACTTGTATCGTCCCATTGTTATTTGGGACTGCAATTGATCAGTATCTTGACTTCAGGCAATATCAAGGCAGTCCGCACAGTATCCACATATGCCAATAAGAGACTGATCAATTTCAGACCAAAACATCAATGGGAAGATTCAAGTAAAACAATACCAAGTGAATTAAACTTCAACTCTTTTCACAAGCACGTGGCTATCAGGACTCAGTAGATAAGTGTATAACTTGGTGGTGTTTCAAGAGAACGGTACTGAGTTCGAGTCCAGGAGCGAGCATGGACTCTGAGGTGCAGGTACATCCAGCTGACGAGTCCCAAATAGGACGGAGCGCGCATCCTAGATTTCACTGCCAGCTACTATCCATCCTTACTTATAGAATGTACTGCTGATGCTGATTTGACTTGTTTGTTTTCTAGTTCTACAGGATTATGCAAAGGTCTTTTAGTGTAGCTATTTTAATTTGGATTGTAATAATAATATTATGCTTTGTGTCTTTTGTACCATTTAAATTTGTGTTAATTTAATTGATTATTTATTTTTATCCTCTGAAGATTTGGTTTATTCCAAGTCAGGAAACATCACCAAATCAAGTTTCTACTCACGGACACTTTATCAATATATTATTGCAGATTATTATATTAACGAGTTTAAAGAGTTAGATTCAAAATGAATATGAGCTCTGTCCTAGCAGAACATGGAGCCAAATAATCCATCATGTCTAACACGGTTAATTGCTTAACACAACAATCTATAGTATTTAATGTTAGATGTTTTGATATAGTGAACAGGACCTCTTGATCATCTTTTATCAATAGTTAGCAGTCCTTAGTGAAACAATGAAACACTAAAGCATACTGCAAATCAACTATGTCATCTGTCAATTAAGTATACTGTCAGAATGTTAAATAACTAAAAAATAAATTTGATCTCTTAAAGCTACACTTATGTTTTACTGATGAACCTGGTTTAGATGAACAAAAATTGCTTTTTTCAAAAACGGGATTCTAAACTTCACCCAAGTAATCTTGCGAACCCGAATAGATCACAAAATAAATTAATTTATTGTCAGAATGGGTTTTGTGGAGATTTTAAGGAAATTCACATGTTGAAATCATGAGTCAATTGAAGCTAGACTGCCATGGAAAACCTGGAAGCACAGGACGGCCGTTTCGTTGCAGTATGGGACTCCTGAGCAGTGCGCATTGACCTTTGGATGACGGCTCAGTGGTCTAGTTGGTTAGGCGCCTGGCGCGAGACTGATAGATCCTGGGCTCGAATCCCGCCTGGTGCGGGATCGTGGACGCCCACTGCTGAGGTGTCCCATACTAGGACGAAACGCCCCTCCAGTGCTTCCGGGTTTCGCATGGTGGTCTAGCTTCAATTGACTCATGATTTCAACAAGTGAAATTAATTCATATTTCCTACTCTAATTCAAAGCTTTCATTTGTCACAATACAATCAACTTAATATATATTTTCCAATATATCTATAACTTGATTCTTTTTTTGTGAAACAAGATTAAGTACTAGAAAACAAAACACTATAAGTGACGAAAAATTCATTGTCTAAAAAACCAATAATTCTATTTTAAACAGAAATATCTGTTTACATTTACTATTTAGTATCCAATTGTAGCAGGTTTTTGAAAGAATCAGGCACATGTCAAAATGGTGGATTATGTTATGAAAATGCCACTACAATATATTGCAATTGTCCAAAAGGCTTTACTGGTTCACGTTGTCAAATAAGTAAGCTTTACATAATAAAGTTGATTTTTTCAAGTGATGTGTTACAGTAAGTATATATATATATATATATATATATATATATATATTTAATTTTGGAAGTAATTATTCTTCCTTTATACTCTTTCTTACATTGATGAAATCATATTCACTTCAAACAACTCAAGTGTAGAAGGTTTCGTAACATATATTCCGTTATAGATTTTATGTCAAATGCTATGGAAATAAACTTTTGGATGATTTAACTTAGTATAGAAAATTCAGAAAGATATGTGTACTTCTTACACCCCCCCCCTCTTCAATAGTAAGTTGAATCAGATTCACTAAATCCATGCAAAACTAAGTGAGGAAGTTTGATTTTAAAGATTGCGAAATAAACAGAATTTAGTAACAGAATGTAACCAGTATTTCATTGTACAAATTTACAGAAACTATGGCTTAAGTAGAATAATTTTCATAGTTGAGATCATGAGTAAAAAAACACAGTCTAATTAGCTGTTTTATTAACTGGTCCATTGAAAGAGTAATAATTAAGTGTGAAACTTAACAATGACGCACTATATTCCATAATAAAACTCATGTTCACAAAGCGAGAACAATAAAACTCAACAAAATTCATGTCATTTTATTTTTCATGGATTCTTCAACAAGCATATTATTTTTTAATTCATAACATACTTATTAAACTACTTAATTCCTAAATTGTTTTTCGTTTGCAAATTTTATTTTGTCATCTTTTTGTGTTGCTAATCCTGCGCTGAACATATTTAACTCAATTTTTTGTGCGAATAAATACTCTAAATTACTTATTTACTTTGGAAAGTAATCTAATGTATAAAATTATTATTATTATTATTAATGCTTTCTTAATAATTGTATACTTGATCAGCTGATCAAAGCGATCAATAATTTTCGAGATCGATTTTAATAATGAATCAAAAAACAAACTATTTATGGATTCGGGTTAATTATTATTTGAAATAAGAATAACAATTAATACATAATAATGGGAATTTATCATAGTTAATGAATCTTCTTCACTTGGTTACAATATTAACAGTATTAAAAAAGAATACAATGTTGTTTAGTCAAAAATAGTGACTATGAGTGACCAAAATGAAAAACATCACCTATTATATACATAATGTTATTTGACAACTGATCCAAAAGGCATAAAGAAGGTGATAAAACAGGAGCCCAGAACTGAAGAATTGATAAATTGGATCTCTGAATAATCTTCAAAAGTCTGATAAAATTTAGACACGTTTAAAAACTATATAATGAAAAGAAAGTTATTTTTAAGAATGAATTAACAAATAACTAACTATAGATCAAAAAAGTGATCGAATAAGTGGCGAACAAAAAGAAACTAACTATAATGTTAAGTTACTTCAATATAATTCTAACAAACGCTTAGTTGGTAGGTGTACATAAACATGATATGGATTCAACTACAATACGATTTCAATCAACTGTGGTGGTTACAATGGTATATAATAGTGGATCCTAGTTTCATAAACGACATAAACGTCTACTTTCAACAGAATTAAGTTAATGCACACTCAGTATCAAAGAATACTGAAAAAGAATTAGTTAACAAATTTTTTCCGTTACTTTACAATTTATCAATTAATATTATAATAACCTAAGTGAAATCATAAAAATTGCTTTGAATGTTACCTTGTAGGGGCTTAGCTCCGTTAATCAATCAACTTTATAACCGTATCATATAAATCACACGGTATTTGGAACCAGAAGGCTGTTGCGTCGACTGCATTTTATTAGTACTTACTTATGCCTGTTACTCCTCGTGAAGGAGCATAGGCTGCTCACCAGCATTCTCCATCCAACCCTGTCCTGAGCAATCCTTTCCAGCTCTTCACAGTTGTTATTCATCCTTTTCATATCTACTTCTATTTCCCGACGTAATGTGTTCTTTGGCCTTCCTCTTTTCTGCTTCCCTTCAGGATTCCAAGTTAGGGCTTGCCTCGTGATGCAGTTCGGTGATTTCCTAAATGTATGTCCTATTCATTCCCACCGTCTTTTCCGAATTTCCTCTTCAGCTGGAAGATGGTTTGTTCTCTCCCACAGAAGGCTGTTGCTGATGGTATCCGGTCAATGGATGTTGAGTATCTTGCATAGACAGTTATTTATAAATACTTCTACCTTCTTGATGGTGGTTGTTGTAGTTCTCCAAGTTTCAGCTCCGTACAGTAGAACCGTCTTGACTTTGGTAATGAAGATCCTCACTTTGATATTGGTTGAAAGTTGTTTTGAGTTCCATATGTTTTTCAATTGTAGGAATGCGACCCTTGCTTTGCCGATCCTCGCCTTTACGTCTGCATCTGAACCTCCTTGTTCATCGATGATCCTTACTAGGTATGTGGAGGATTCTACATCTTCCAGAGTTTCACCATCAAAAGTGATTGGAATGCTGTTCTCCATGTTGTATTTGAGGACCTCAAATCAAAGTTGCTAAACCTTTAATGAATTCTAGTGATAAACCGTCAATTCTGTTACTGTCATTATTGTCATCATTTATATGATTGAATACCTATAAGAGCACTTCGTACGAAAGACAATGTTCAATTTAGAATAGACTATAAATTTAAATGAAACATCATTTTATACAGGTTTTTAGCTATAATTTAAATATTATAAATGCCTTATATACTGTATTTTGTTATTATTTTCTTTTAATGTAATATAATCATTTATCAAGAGACTTCCAAGTATTCACTCAATAATGTTTTCTTAATGTTGTAGTAGCTAGTGACTGTAATGAATTAAATAATTATTGTCAAAATGACTGTGGTCAAGTTCCTGGCTCAAAAAATTGTAGATGTCCACCAGGTTATTTTCTTGCTCCAGACAAACGAAGATGCCTTGGTAAGCTATATATGTTATGCAATTTACAATTAGATCAATTGTTTTATATAAATATTTAAACAATAATATTTTTGACTTTTCCTTCCATAGTGATGGAACCTAGTTTCATAGAGTATGATAAGAGTACTGATTAATGACAAATAGAAAACCAGGGTTTTGAAATCTGAAAAATAATAAACATTTAGCAGAATGTTGAATAAACTATAATTTACAAGTAACATTAAAGATAATTCATTACTTAATAAATATATAGATTAATACGTTTGAACTTCAGTTAGATAAAAATTTTAAAACTATTATCCATCATGGGATGATTGGAGTTAGACAATAACACCGTTGAATGGCGGCCGGCTCAGTGGTCTAGAGATTAAGCACTCGTGCGTGAGACTGAAGGTCTTACGTTTGAATCCGGCGAGCAGGATCGTGGGCGCGCACTGCTGAGGAGTCCCATTCTAGGACGAAACGGCCGTCCAGTGTTTGAAGGTTTTTAGTTATGGTCTAGCTCTTACTGACTTATGAATTCATTAGTATAAGTGTTCAATAATATTTGTTTCTTAAGAATTTGGATAGATTATAAACATAGGTTATTGTTAATTATAACGTTACTCAATGTAATGGATTATTTCATTGAAAAATTCTTAATCTATTATCAAATTTCATTTATTTTCTACCTGATATCTCAATACTAAAGATTTGGGCTTTGATCTTAATGTTGTGAATAGACATCTGGATTTTTCTTAAGTGTTAAGAATAATTTAAATTTATCTTATAGATATAGATGAATGTAAATATGATCGAGGAGGTTGTATGTATTTTTGTGAAAATCTTCCTGGAGGTTATCGATGTGCTTGCCCTTCGGATATGGTTTTAGCACCTGATAAGATTTCTTGCATACCATGTAAGTTGTTATTATTATTTATATACAAATTATGTATTACTTCAATGCTATTTTATGCTAAACATTGTTTCATAAGAGATGTGACTATTTGAAGTAGGTTTCAATCATACTGAAATCTTAATATTCCCATTTTAAAATTGGTTAATTAACCAATAAGTTAATTTTGTTCATTTGTTTATTTCTAGTTTTCTACTCCACTGCTACTATTGTCGATGTCTGTGACTGAGAAATATAACATTATTCCTACGAATGAACAGGAATTACTAAATTATGATTTGTTCAAATTCTATTTAGACTTTCGTTTAATACTTTTGTAACGTTGGTTATTTATTGGATTGTAACCAGTTAAAAGTTAATTTAGTACTTAGTGCTGATCGAATTTCATTGATCAATTTATAACATGCCCACTAGTTTACATGGCTTGACATAGTGTGTAGTATGTTTCGATATTTTGCTGTCAGTAGTTATAAATATCTCGGTCCTACAAATAAGCATTTGTAACCAACAATTATAAGTTAGCATGAAAAATTGGTGCATATGTTCCAGTTGACTAACAAAAATCATCTAACATACTTTTCTATCGTACATCCAATTATAAATCGCATTTTCAAACAACAACAAAAAATACAAAGACGATATTTGATATGTTTCTAAGAGCGGAATCGAGGATGCATACTTCCCACCCCCCGTGTGTTACTCACCAGATGAATGTACTTCGACCCCACCATTAATAATCATAGTGATACCTAAACCCAATGCATTTCACCTCTCATTGCAAACTGACTAAAGTATGTGACTAAAGGCTATATCAAGACAATCCGTCTATGATTTACATATGACAAAAGATTCTGATCAATCGTTGTCTTGAATATCAACCAATTGTTATTAAAAGTATTTACTAATAACAAAAAGAATACTGTAGTTTTATACTTTAAATCAATGCCCAGAAGCTAATTAAGGACGCTTGTAAGCAAGGGGGCTTTTTTCCACTTTCTTCAAGTATAAAATTCTCTCAATACTAAAATAGTCAGATAGAACATTACACAAGTTTGCAGAGAATGTACAATAATAATTCACATACTTATTGACGCCTGCTACCACTCGTGAAGAAGCATAGAACACGCACCAGCATTCTCCAATCAACTCTGTCTTGAGCAGTCTTTTCCAGTTCTTCCCGGTCACCATTCATCCTTTTTATATCTACTTTCAATTCTCGACGCAATGTGTTCTTTGGCCTTCCCTTTTCCGTTTCCCCTTAGGATTCCAAGTCAGAGCTTGCCTTGCGATGCAGTTTAATGGTTTCCGTAATATATGTCCTATCCAACTCCAACGTCTTTTCATAATTTCCTCTTCATTCGAAAGTTGGTTAGTTCTCTCCCACAGTAGACTGTTGCTGATTGTATCCGGTCAACGAAAATAACTTACATAGACAATTACTTATAAATACTTGTACTTTGTCTGATAATTGTTGTAGAGCAGTTCTACAAGTTTCAGCTCAGAACAATAATAATTTATCAGACTATAAAATAGTACAGAAATAAAAAGGTCACTATAAGCAAACAAAGTAAACAATAAAAGAAACGAGATTAGACTTCAGGTATATAGTACTTACAACAACAAGATATACACATTTTTATCATTGACAAAAAGTAAATATTATCAGACAGGGTTTTGTGGAGATTTTATAAATTTCACAGGTTGAAATCATGAGTTAATTGAAGCTGGACCACCATGGAAAACCTGGAAACACTGGACGGTCATTTCGTCCTATTATGGAACTCCTCAGAAATGCGCATCCACGACCTCGCCCCGTGCGAGATTCGAACCCAGGACCAATCAGTCTCGCGCGCAAGTGCTTAACCTTTAAACCACTGAGCCGGCATCCAGCGGTGTTAATGTCTAACTTCAACCAATCCACGAAGTTGCGCCACCGTACACTATTGTCATCAGTGAGTTGATATCTTACAACAGACCTGGTTGAACTCCACTGGTAACGACTTCTCACTAGAACTTCAGGAGTATCTCCTGAAGTGAGTCACTAGTGAGCAGATGATTATTATCAAAAGGGATTTTGTGGAGATTTTGGAAATTTCGCTGGTTGAAATCAGTAGGTCCTGGGTTCGAATCTCACAGGGGGCGAGGTCGTGGATGCTCACTGCTGAGGGGTTCCATAATAGAACGAAATGACCGTCCAGTGCTCCCAGGTTTTCCATGGTTGTCTAGCTTCAATTGACTCATGATTTCAACCAGTGAAAAGGTAACTATCTCCGTTTGACTGTAATAAGTTTTATGTTTTCTAACCATTTGTTTCAATTCAATCTTAGATCTATAGATAAGGGGTCCATAATCATCTTAGTATCTTGAACTAAAAATTAAAAACGAAAACTAAATGAAATTTACCATTATGATAGTTCCAAATTCTAACGGAAGAAAAAAAACATATTCTTGTTTCAAATGTTTACATGTATTTGGAATATTATTTGGTTTACAGAAGTACTGACTAGTAACTAAGATGTAGATATTAGTTTTTTTTATCAATACACTTAAACTGAAAATGAAATGTAAATCATGTTAGCTGTTAATAAAACTTTAATCATTCAATTCTAGATACTAAAAACAAAACGGTTTGATTCCGCATTGAGATAATTAGCTTATTGATAACTGATAAGCTTGATTCAATTTAAATTCATTAGCATAAATTTTCATTACATCAATCAAAATGAGTTAACTGTAAACTTATTTCAATTGCTTGAGTCTTTGAAAATGTTTATATTCTTGATAAAATTGGTTAATTTTTTTCTTAATGAAGAGCTAGTCTTTAGTTGTATGGCGACCTGTTTAAACATCTGGGCTACCTATCCTTGTCATCAAGATATTTCAACAAGTTATCAAATTTTTTTTGTTTTAATAGATTAATAAGTCTATTAATAGCATAACCTATTCAGGTACATATGTGAAAAGTGTACAACTTTGCGTTGTATATGTTATAAAAGACCTAATCAGAGATATTGTGGTTGTTGGAAATATGCAGCGGAAAGAATGTACATTATTTAGATATCGATTGACTGGAATATTATTGTCAGGATTAATCAAGAAATAAGAAAAGGAAACTTGTTGAAATACTTTGAGCTAAAAATTCTATGTTCTACTAGAAATATAATATTGAATAAAGCCAATAATAGTAAGAAGAAGAATACTTTGAGTATAATTTTCTTTGTTACACTTTGTCATCATCTAGTGAAGCTTTGAAAACCAGTAATCCTTGAACAGTTGTTTCATCTCCAATAAAAACGCTTAGGTGACGCACACTTCTCAATCCCATACAAAATATAATTGATACCCCGAGAGAAGACATACAGATCACATAATATCTCACAGGCATATAATGAGTGAGAGCTGAGTTTGAGTCAACTATTGAAAATAAATTATTCATCTAACAAGATCACTGTCCGATTATCTATATGTGGGTCGGTCTGATAACAGATTTTTACGAATTAGTCATAGATCTAACGACTCAACTTTTGACAGTAAATCTATTCGCATAGTTGTAGTCTTTCTCTGTACTGCTGTTTAGCTTAATATTAAGAACATGATAGCGATTCAATCAGACCACAGAATGAAATAATTCCTCATTATACAGTACAAAATTATTTAAACCTATAAAAACTTTCATCTAAATCTGAACGAATAGTGCCCTGGTACAGCCGAGAGTGGAGAGGGTCTGCTCTCCCTCTCGAAACGCTCTCACATGACCACGCGTATACAGCCTCTGCCAGGGAAGTTCTACTCACTGACTTCTCGTGGCAGGGGTGTTGTTTACGAAATTGAGAGGACGAAAAGCGAATGTCTGGCGCTTTAACCGGGTTGGTGGACATGGACAGTCCACCTAGGGGAATTGGAAAACCCTGATTCCAAACCAATGGAGCACATGGGCTCTAGTATCCTACGGGAACAAATGGCGTATGGACCAATTGTTGTTCACCGGCTACCATGGGACTGCATCTCCCCACGATGTTCCATTGCCTTGTGGATCAGACCTTCAGGTCGAAGGCTCCGGGTGTGGACCCTAAGAAAACCACGTGCTTCGGTTTGGGCATCCGGGCAATATCACAGCTCTCACATATATCAAATGAGGTCTGTGTGACGCACATGTATTTGGTGCCTCCTTGTAACAATATCTATGTGTTAAAATAAATAAATAAACAAACAGTAGTTGAGCGCCAAGTTATAGTAAGACAGTAGGGAGGAAAAACATATTTGTAAAATCTTAGCAATTAAATTTGAAGTAAATTCAACGTTTCACTCAAAAATCTGGTCTAAACGATTGGAAGAAAATATAAACAAACTCCAACATTACAGAAAAAGCCTTTGACCAGATTTCAGAGAGAAACGTTAGGTTTCCTTAGAATTCAATCGCTGAAATTTTACAAACATATTTTTTTTCCTTCAAATTATATGGAATTTCAAACTAATCAGTCTAAAAATATACACATAATCTTTTGATATTGTATGTGGTTATTAAATACCCTTAAGCAGTTAAACCATTATCTACTATTATTACATAAAGTATTTAATGAAAATAGGACAAAACATTGTGATACTGTTATCTTATATAATAAGATATTTGATTTCAGTTTGGGATAACTACAAAACGTATTGTATTTTACCACCATTCACCCTCAAGCTGTAATCTAATTCGTATAAACGTCTGTCCGACCTTAAAATTCATATGTACAGGTGGAAGAGACATCAGAGTAGAAGAAGTAAATTGAATGTTTTTCCCTAATCAATTACTGTTCTCCCCAAAGGAATAAGAAAATATTACCGTTAGAAGTTATACTTGAAGATATCTTTTGCTGAAGCATTTAATGAATAATAACACTTTAACAAATCATTACAAAAGAAGATGAAAAGAAAATATTTTTTATATGGCAAGGTAAAGAGTAGAGCTAAAAGTGAACCTAAGTTATAACAGAATCCAAATCCCAAACTTTACTTATCGGGCTAGTGTTCTATGAATTGAATTTCAAAGTCTAAGTATCCAAAACACCTCAATTTTATTCCAATTTCAGTAAAAACATAACTTCACAATAGATCTAACCAAGGATATCCATGTATTGATAACATATAACCTCGTGAATTTGAATCCTACAGTTTATAAAATCGACCGTGATCTTTTAGTACTGAAATGATATCCTTATCCAGTATCATTGTAAGAGAAACTATCACCTTGGTGTAGATGAGTCAGTGTCATGACTAATAAATCATGAAAAGCATTATGTATAGAGTGGACAATAAGCATATAATTATTAAGTATCTATATGTATCTGATGAGATCCGATATATGAATTCACAAAAGTTCAGATAAATGACTAGAGTAACATAGATTCATGGATAATAAATAATACTTATTATTCAGAAGGGGTTTGTGGAGATTTTAGAAATTTCACAGATTGAAATCATGAGTTAATTGAAGCTAGACCACCATGGGAAACCTGGAAGCACTGAACGGCCGTTTCGTCCTGGCATGGAGCTCCTCAGCAATGAGCATCCACGATCCCGCACCCCGCGAGATCCGAACCCAGGACCAATCAATCTCGCTCCAGGCGCTTAACCAACTATACCACTAAGCCGGCATCCAATGGTATTAATGTCTAACTTCAACCAATCCACGAAGTTGCGCCACCGTATACCATTGTCTTCAGTGAGTTGATATCTCACAACAGACCTGGTTATTCAGTTAAGAAAAGTAAACACTAGTTATTATTGGCCATTTACTTGAACTATAATTTAAATCAGATTTTATTATGGATTTCAGAATTCATCCTTAAAAACCATGATCAATTTATTTTTAGACAGACTAATTAACCACATTCATTTATTTCTGTCCAACTTGTCTGTTTTTATTAATTCTGATAAAAATATAATTTTTTTTGGTGAATTGAAAATCAAAATAACCAACAGGTTTATTGATAATTACTCAGAGATAAATTATATTTCTTGCACATTCGATATTGATATATTAAACGATATCGATTTATAATTTGTTGTTGTGCAATCAATTCACTCTTATTATTGATTATAGCTGTAACACCAAGTTTGAGTGCAATCTATCTATAATCTACCGGTCACTAAATGTCTCTTTAACATTCAAAATAATTGTGTTCTTCTTAGTATGTTTCATTGATTGTTTAAACATACCTTATGTCAACAAATGTTTATTATTAATAGAACTTCTTATTTGTGATCTCATTTTCTAATTCTCAAGGTTAATCGATTAATAAACTCTGAAGTTCACACTAACCATGATTTAATTCACTGTCATACAAGTAGGATAATCAGGTTGAAAAAAAATGAAAACGAATGGTTCTGATGGATTTCTGAGTGCATGGAATACAAAAAAAAGATAATTCTAATGAATAAACGAAACAGTTAACTTCATTCGTATTGAGTGACGTTTTCAAAATCGATCAACCACTACTATTTAATATTTTTTACCCAAATCACTATGACTGTCAAATTTTGAAACTAGCTATTAAGTCAATAACTTTTGTTTAGAACCAAACGTACATGTTAATGGTGACCACTGAAACTAAAATGCACATTTTCGATCTGAAAACTTCTGATAAATGGACATGTTTATTAATGATACCTGTTACTCCTTGGATTTTTATTGATCTAATTTCAGATGAAAATCAGAGTAAAAATACAACAGAGGGAAGAAGAAATTTATAGAATACTAATCGTCCGTTGTATCCAATTGATTAAGTCGATAAAATTTTGAAATTGATAGTAGGGTTCTAAATACTTTACCTAATATAAATTCACTTGTGTTGCATTCTTTATCATGAATAACATTGGCTTTTAAAGCTAAGTTTATATCACATTTTTGGGGGTTATATTATTCGTTTGCAGTTTAACATTAGGAGATAGAAGACTATTAACTTTAGATTATAAAACTGAAGTTTGGTAGGATTTTAAAAAGAGGCGGGGTCGTGGACGAGCACTGCTGAGGAGTTCCACAACAGGACGAAACGGCCATTCAATGCTTCCAGGTTTTCCATGGTGATCTAGCTTTAATTGACTAATGATCTCAACTGTTGGAATTACTACAATCTTCACAAAACCCCTTCTGATAGTAATTTTTATCACCCTTTTAAAGAAAAATATCAAAATGTGTATTATTTTAGACATGAATTTGTTGTGACTTCTATTAAACAAATATCACTTCAATTCTTCCAGTTGATAGGTTGTACAAAACTTTAACTAAAAAATTCCTATTCACCCAAGCTTTACTTAATACTTTCAGTTTTTTTCTTTCTACAAGAACAATTAACTGTACCCCTAGTCCAAGAAGGTTAATATTTCCAAAAAAGAGAATAATTGTCTTAAATTTCTGATACATTTTATTGATGATTGTGATATCAAGATGTTAGTCTTCCTTTAAGTTAATTACAAAATTTAAAAAAAAACTATTAATCCTATTGTAATGTCAAGTAAATTACTTCATTCGACAAATATAAATGATTGAAATCAGTTAATCAACAGTTGAGAAGTAATCAAGCTGACTTACTTAGTTACTAAGTAAGTTTTTCTTAATAATTATCGATTTTTTTTAAGAGAAATTAAACAATGTCCTTATTTGGAATAAGTGATAGTTTTTTCTCTTTGAAATTGACAATTTTATATAAAATTTTTTACAATAAATATTTAAATTTCAGTTTTCAATCCATGTGAACATCCTCCTAATGGTGATTGTGAACATATTTGTACAAGTTTACCAGGTTACAGATATATGTGTTCATGTAAACCTGGTTATCATTTAGCTGAAAATAAAAAACGATGCTTACGTAAGTATTATATATAAGATTTTAAAATAATGAATGAAATTTATACATGGTAAAAATTTTCAAACATTTATTTATATCACTTATTTTTTTTTAATCAAAATGGGGGTTTGTGGAATCTCATACTAGTGTAGTGAACGAGAACACAAGAACGCAAAATTACATAATTTCTTAGTGAAATCTGAGAACCATGTAGTAAATACTTCATTAGTAATCTTAGACTTTATTGTTCCTGCATTTTTATATCAATTGATTTCTGTTCCCATTCTTTCCTCCTCAATTTTCTCAACCTTCTGTTGCCAGACATTCTATTCCTGACTAGTACTATTTACTACTTATGTTGACATAAGTAGCACACACTACACCAAATACATTCGATTGTCTCCACTGTGATTCTCGTTCACTAAATTGGAACGAAATGTCTGTCCAGTGCTTCCAGGTTTTAATTGGTGATCCAGTTTAAATCGACTCATGAATTCAACTATTAAAAACTATTGTTTTAATCTGGAAATTTACAAGTAAAGAATGATTACAGTTCCACTTGGTAATTAATGTACTATTTCATAAAATCAATAGCTACGATAGGAATGAATTACTTTTAAATGTATGTTAAATCATGTTTTAATTATAGTAATATTAAATCATAAATAAATACAGGAAAATTTAAAGTGAAATTAGATGGTGATTGGAGGTAGTCAACAGGAAACCCTGGACCCGGGTTTCATGATACTTGGCACTCATCAGCAAGGTGTACCTGTAATCTTGAGGAAACTGATGCCCCCCGGCGGATTCGATCTCGTGTCACCCAGCTTCACAGTCAGAGACGTTACCACTGAGCTATCCGAGCCGTGACTAACCTCCTGTAGGACTGAGATGTAATCACAATTGATTGATCACTGGGTGGGGATCAATGTCATGCTTGTCTAGTCCTTATTAGTGCAGATCGAATGCTATCGATCATGTTGCAATGTGGCCACCAGTCTAGGTGACTCGACATTGAGGACACTATATATTGAGATTAGATGGTGGTTGGAGGTAGTCGACAGAAAAATTTAAATAATAAGCTAATTTTCTATTAAAAGGATAAAGCAGACAGATTAAATCATATATGATTTATATCTTGATCTTCTTCTTGTGATTTCTTTTATTCCTTCACGAAAACATTCATCTAAACTATACTGAATAAAATATGTCAAGCCTTAGTTCTTAATTATGTCATTCGTTATAATTTCAAGTTGTTTGTAGCTGTTAATAGATCATGTAATGCAATTAATTCACTTTATTTTTCAAGCTTTGTTGTTCTTACACTGTTTAAATCGGGTTTTATATAGTAGTCGCAAGGTTACTCTGGAAGGATTAAATGTAACCGCCTTCATAATTTCAACGAGAGTGACGTCCTTGTTTTGCATATGTGACGTTGTGTTTTTCCAAAAAAACGGTGATTTTGGATGGGTAACAATGACTAAGAAGTGCAAAGACAGACGACCTTGATTAGTAGTTCACTAGTCTGAGTGTAATATGTTTTAGGACTTTGGAAAAAACTTCAGATGGGTTATTTTTGGTAGTGTCTGTGACGGCTTGAAATTACTGACTAATATCACATGTTATATTGCTCAAATGAAATTCCGACAGCAATTTTGTTGATCTCGCGCCTACTGTTCCATCTATAGCCTCGTGACTTAGGCTTGATCATTTAAACCTCGGATCCGCACAATCAGCTTTCTCTCGATTTAAGCTGAGGTTATATTTATCCGCTATCTGCAAGCCCTTCTTTATCTTCTACCTTCAGTCCAAAAGATTAGTCAACAGCCAGCTTATATTATTATTCTATTTCAAGCATACAAACACACTGAACCAAATCACATCATTAAAATAGACTACGATTATATATTAACCAAATGTAGCTGTGAATACAGAAGGCTATAGGAAACACACTATATCGAAATTAGGAATAGTAAGTCATAAAACAGTAGTTAGTGGTTTACATAAAAGCTTATTATATATGAAATATATAGACATAGTAATCCATTTACTCAGTAATTATACGATACAAATATAAATAATTCGAAAAATAGTTTCTAAAATTCCAACTTTTACATTATTCGTTCCGTTACAACGGTATCCTATCGAAAAAAACTACAACTAATAATGATATTTTTAAAAGTTAACCCAACCGTGAAGTACCATTTACATAACGTTGTTATACACTGTAATTTTTTCGGACCTATTACACGAAAGCATACTAACAATGTGGTTAAGATTAAAGGACTATATGTATATTTATGAAGGCCAAAAGGTTATCGTGTGATTCTGATCTAACTAAGTAATCTCTGATAGTAATCCAGACTAATGTTCAAATCTATTTATCAATCTTTGTTAAATGTTTGAAAAGGCAATTAGTCCCTTTGATAAATTTCGATAATGTAATAAGAAGATGAAGACTGTCAGAACTATGTGATATATTAGCGCAATACATTTCAAACAATCTGATCACACATTAACTTGTTAAGAACATATATATATATATAAAGATAAAAGATCAACTAGACTAGAAATGAAGAGTAAGAGGAGACAAGGATAATAATGAAATAATGTGAAAACAATTTGAAACCTCATCACTGTAGATAATAGGCTAATATTACCAGGGTATGTTTAAGGTAAGAACATACTATTTTTGAATGTACAAAGGGGGTTTAATTTTAGTCTAGTTGACCTTTTATTTTTATGTATAAATGTTCGTAACAAGTATATATGTGATCAGATTATTCGAAATTTATCGCGCTAAAAAAAATAAAATAAAATAAGATACAAAAACCGCCGTGTGTTTAATGATATTTACGCTAATATATCTTCATCTTCTTATTACATTGTCGAAAGTCACTTTAACCAAGTTCATATTTAAACTATAGTAAACATCTTGAATAAGATTAAGATTAACTGATACGTTTAAACAGTAACCTTTTCTAATGTAACAGATTTACCGAAAACATCATCATCATCAGCATCAACAACAACAATAACAAATTTGAACTATTTAACTAATCAGATTGTTTATGTTATATAAACAAATTTATTTTCAATTAGATAAAAATGATTACATGTATTGTTAGGTAAAATAGTTTTACTTGGTAACATGCTGTTTGTTTGTTTTTTTTTTTGAAAATGTTTATTTAAGTAATCAAGAATAAATAGTTTTAGGCGAAGATTTTCTGAAGAAAAAAACAACAACAAAAAAACATTTTTTCAAATTAATGAATCATATTCATGATAATTTGTTGTTGTGGTTGTTTTTGTTGTTGTTACCATGTCTTATCTCTTTGAATCTATTATAAATTTAATTTAATAGAGTTTTGTTCTCTGAGCTGGATGGTTTGCTCAAAATCATTCACCTGAGCTACAAATCTTCTCCATCATTATAAATTTAATTTATTTACTTATTTATTTATGGTTACAATTTATATGGATTAAAATTAGAAGTTCATTTATTCACAATATTGATTTCTTTAAATAATATAAGTAAGGTGTGCACTAAGTGATTCTAACTATTAAATATGAAATATATATACCTTAACAATAGTATGAAGTGATTATAAAATAATCAGTAAAAGGTTTTAATTATGATTTTGTTCTTATGAGTAATTTTCTTAATAATATTGAAATGAATAATCAAGTGTACTCGGATTATACTTTGTCTTCAAAACTTCTCGTCTTCATTGTTTCTCACTAAAGTAAAACAAACAAATTCTTTTCAGTGAATTTATATTGTTGTTTAGGACTATAATTGATCAGTCTCTTGTTAGCATATGTGTATCTTGTGCGGATTATCTCGATATTGTCAAGTGAATTTAAATTTCATTTCATTGCACAAGCGAGTAACCATCAGGACTCAGTAGCTAAGTGGATAACACAATGGCGTTTAAAGCGAACGGTACTAGGTTCGAGTCCCAGAGTGAACATGAACTCTGAGATGCAACTGACAAGTCCCAGATAGGATAAAACGTGCATTCTGGATTCCATTGCTAGCCACTATCCATCTTTGCTTAATGACGAGCAGTGACTGAGCCAAAACATTTTTTTATTAATATAAGGGATTTATGGAAATTATAGAAGTTTCAATAGTCATCAATCGGTTTTAGGTAGACCAAAATTGAAGGTTTGGAAGCAACTGACTGGCATTTCCACTCATTATAGGACTACTAAGTAGTTATCATTCATGACCCCATACTCAAGAATCTAATCAAAGATCTTCGGTCTCACACATGCATACTTTATCTTCAGACCACTGAGCCGACATAGAGTGGTTTTAATGCCTAACTTCAACCAATCGACGATATTGTGCAACCCTCATCTATTGCCTGATGTAGATAACTGGGTCACACTCGACATGATTGTATTCCACTGGTCACCGCATCTCACTAGGACTCCAGTAGTTGCATCTTCAAGCTAATCACTGGCAAATAAATGGTTATTATTCATAGAGAATGACCTGTGGAGATTGTAGAATTGTCACAGTTTGAATTGCAAGTCCTGTCCTTCCTTTTAATTTCATTTTAATGATACAATTGACCTGTAAAATCCATTTGAAAGTCACTTTGTAACATTTCAATATAGAGCATTTTTGGCAGTTCCATTTTTTGATCTCATCTACTAACCTACAACTTGTAAAAGTAATACATTTAGTTATAACTCATTTAAAATTGTTGTTACGGTAGTTCATTTGCACTTATCAATATTAAACTGGTGCCAGAAATTCTCATATCCATTGTTCTATTCTATTCCTTTCATTTGATAGAAATAATGTCAGATAAAATACGATCCATAATTAATCTTCATTATAATATTCTGAATATATTACAACCTTATTATAATTTTTCTATGTTTGTTTTGTTTTACAGCTGACAACCCTTGTCAAATCAATAACGGAGGCTGTCAACATGAGTGTCATAATGTAAACGGTGTAGTTCATTGTAGTTGTCACGATGGTTACCAATTAGTCTCTCATGATTCAAAAAAATGCACCGGTAAGAGTAAACACACGTATATTTAAATAGACTGTTATACATAATAACTTTGTGCAATACATAAGTTGTCTTTTTTTCCAAAGGAAACGCTAAGCGTCGTGAACTCTTTTCATATATTATATGCTTTATACCCTGCTTATTCAATTACTGAGAGATTCAATAATGATAAAAACCATTACATCCTCATCTTATGCTCAATTTCCATCCTTATGCTTCATGCTAGTGCATGTATTCTGGTCGTAGAAATATAAGGATTATCCTTTGAATCACCATGTATCCTATCACCGGCGTTTATCTGTCAGCTTCACTTATTCCATTATGTTGAAAGCAAAAACGGAGTTCTTACGTTAATATTTTATAGATGGAGCTTGATTGCTAAGTTACTGAAGAGGTAACTAGTTAGTGAGATTTAGAAATACCTTGTAAATCCCGACATTCATATTTATAATGAGTTATTTGACGAGTATTGTAAAATTTTAATGTGATAATATTGATAGATTGACTTTTGATAATCTGTACATTCAAATTTAATAAACAGCTAGATGTAAGACAATGATATGTGAATGTTTTGTTGAGAGATGTGTATAGTTCGAAGATGTCCTCTGTCAAAAACTAATACCAACAGAAAAATCAATGGAAATTAGATTTTAAAAATGTTTAGGTGGTTCTATAGTCTAAAAAGATCTCATGCTCTTCTAGAGTTTCGCCTGTGAGGTTTATTTGTGAACCATGTTCAGTAGTTCTGGATCATAACAAGAGAGCTACCCAGTACTTTGACTTTTCATTAATTCTGTAGATGATATTAGTTCATGGAGAAAACTCTCTTTAAATTTCGGAATTAAGTTCCTCAGGAATTTCAGTCATCATGTTTTGTATTAAAAGAGAATAAAAGAAAATCTACAAACTGAATTCATCATACAAGATGTGGTACATGTTTTCCAGATAGAAGAAATGTAAAATGAGCTTAAAAAGTAGTTCAAAGAGAGACCTTGTTCCGAACCTCTGAATAGTTCTTATTATTAGCTTACAATTATTCGATACTATTTGAATTTACCTCAAATGTTCATCAGGTAGGAAATCAATTACCTATGATACACCAGCCGACTTTTAGAAAACTTTACATTCTGGCAATCTATGAAGAGAATATATTTACAGGTTCATTAAAGACCTAAATCTCTACAATAGTCGTGTGCTCATCATTTAATATATACCTTATTTCAAATGATCATCAAACATTTTATGCTCAACAGCAGTCTAATTTGAAACGGGTTACCAATAATTTTCATGTTTATAACCGTGCATGAAGATAAACAAACTAATTGTAACGACAACTTATTTGTTTGGTTTGTGAGAGATTATTATTCAGAAATGATACTTATAAGATAATCGAATCTCGCCAGTTTTATTTATTTTTACATCTAAAATATATTCAGCCAAAAGAATGACACCCAGATCGAATCTTTCACAAATGTTGAAGTGTGATTTTCGAATCTAAAATGCTTTTAATTAAAAGTTAATGTTACGAGTAAGAAAAGTAGGAATAAAGTATTTTGACAGATTAGCAGAAGCAATAGGACAGTTCAAAATTAATCAAATTTACCTTAAACTATACTATTTAAAATATTAAATAACAAAATGAAGTATGTATACAGGTTTCATTGATCATCTACAGAAAGATTGCTTTCAGGTTTTCAGTCGCGGTCTAACATTGATTCATTAATGATCTCAATAAAAAAATTTAATAATCTCTTCACAACAATATACTAATAATCATCATGTGCTCGCTAGTGACTAGCTTTGAGAGGGAATTCTCGTGGTCCTAGTGAAAAGCTGTGATAGGTGGAGTTCAACAATGTCGAATATGGGGCAGTTATACACCGAAGAAAATAGGATATATTTGTGCAATGTACAATAAATGGTTTAAGCGTCTGTATATGAAATAGAAGGTCCCTGGGTTTGATTCCCACGTACGGGTCATAGATATGCGCTGCCAATAAGTCCCATACAAAGACAAACTGATCGTCCAGTGCTTCCAGGTTTTCAGTGGTGGTCTAATATTGATCTCAACTAAAGCTCAACAATCCCCACAATTCTATACTGAAAAAGATTATAATTGAATATTTCTTTAATAGCATTAATGACCAGCTGATAAACGATATAAAAGGTAAAAGAAAAAGGGATTTTTAAAAACAAATTAAATAAAATAAACAATAAATATCTCATTGTTTATAATTTGTACACATTAAAACAATATGCTGGAAATGTACATAATCTATTAAATGGATAGATTTCACGTCCAGACTTAATTGTACCAAAGTGAACTATCTCACAATGGTGAATGTGTCGCTCAATTTCATGGATTAGTTGAAGTTAGACATTAACATCGCTGGATGCCGAATCAGTGGTTTAGAGGTTAATCGCTCGCGCGCGAGATTGATAGTTCATGGATTAGAATATCGTGAAGTGAGATCGTGGATTTGCACTGCAGAGTATATATTGTTTAACAATTCTTTTATTTAAATTTTTCACGCTATTAACATTATCATTAAATTGTTGAGTGTAAAAATTCTACATATCGACTCATTCATTGTATATTTTAAATTTACTCTTTATAATATTTAGTGAGCATTTATCCTTAATTTGTAAATAAAACACATTTACCGTAAACTGACTTTCATATGAATGTAAAATAGTAAAGTTTAATTAAGTTTAATTACATAGTTATCATCTATCAACAATATGTGAAACATTTAAAATGAAAATTTCATTCACTTCTTTCACCTCCACCGACAATACAGAAACTTTAATGAGAATGAATGACCAGGTATTGTAGGATTTTTCATTCACTTCTTTTTTTAAAAGTAGAATACAATATAATACATACATTCATTAGTACTAACTAATGATTTATAGTGCACATTCTGGTGTGGTATTTATTTTATTTAAATAGTGTCTATTGAAAAACTATAGCGAATTATTAGTATATCAAATAGGTCACATTTTTATTCTATACGTTTCTATATGGTTTACTTTCATTTCGTAGTTCAGTATCTGAAAAAGAAAAACATTACAAATATGGTTTTAGGTGGTGATGATGATGATGATGATACCGATTTTATCCGACAATTTTCTGTTGTTTCTTTCCCTTACATCAAGTGAATAGCTATGTGGTTTTGGCAATTAATTTGAATTTGATGAAATGATGACGATTATAATAATAATAATAATAATAATAATAATAATAATAATAATAATCGAGAACTACTAGTTTGATTGCTGGTCGTTTATGGGATAGTGGAAAAGATTTGTAACTCAGGTGGATGATTTTGATGGGGTTTTGTTCTCTGAGCTTCAAGTTGAATTTTGTGCTAACAATATCGTTCAGAATAATCCTTAAAGCTTCATGACCAAACGATCCAGCTCAGAGAACAAAACACCATCAAAAAGCTTATCAATTAGTTCAGTTAATAAATTGTAACAAAGATCTTAATCTGAAGTAAAAATTATGAACATAGATTAAAAATACTATAGTTAAATATCATCACAGAATATCATCAACTGTATGTTGTATGAAATTAGAATATAAATGAATTTTAAGTTCACATGAAGCATAAAACATTTTTGACACAAAACAAACCTAATAAATTTGGTTAGTGTATACATAGTTCGACTATACATTAGAATAGCTGGAAAATATATGCATGTTGACATAATCCTTACCAGCTTTGTCAGAGAGCGATTGCATGACATTTTTTTAGTTTAAAGCTTTACAGTCTACAAACTTAAATTATTCTGGGAAAGATTAAGAGAAAGAACTTAACAAGTCAATGAGATTTGACCTACATTGAAGCTTTAATACATTAAAATAAGATAAAACCGATAGGTCCTGGGTTCGAATCCCGCGAGACAGAGTCGTGAATGCGCACTGCTGAGGAGTCCCACTGTGGGAAGAAATGGCCATTCAATGCTTCCAGGTTTTCCATGATGGTCCAGCTTCAATTGACTCATGATTTCAATTATTGAAATTACTAAAATTCCCACAAAATCCCTTTCTGATAAAAATCAAAATTTATTTATTATTCGAGAAAACGAATTTTGAAGAGGAAATTCATTGACTTTTAACATTTAGTTAAGTTTTTTTTCTTCTTTTTTCAACATCAACAATATCAATAACATAGATAGAAAAGTTAAATATAAAACTATGGGAGAGAGGACAAAAAATAGACAGAAACAAATCAACCGCAATTGTGAAAACATTTTCTATCACTTTTAATACTACACATTTTTTGAAAATTCCTTTATAAAGAATAGTCATAATTAAAAGAGTTCATTAAGTTGTGCATTCATATGGGTGTGTGTAAGTGTATATGTATGTATATAAGTATATGTGTATGATGATGTGTGAAAAACAGAGTGTGAGAGGGGAGGGTGCCGAAGGAAATTTACTTGTCATTTCAATATCTCAACAACAAGTGTGTTTTCTTTTATCAGTAATTCAATGAAGTGATAAAAAAATCTGATGATAATTATTCAACTGTATGATGAATAAATCTCAATGTCAAACTATTACACCCTTATCATTTATTTGTATACAGTTTTTCCACAGATTGAAATCATGAGTCAATTGAAGCTAGACCACCATGCAAAGCCTGGAAGCACTGAACGGCCGTTTCGTCCTAGTATGGGACTCCTCAGAAGTGTGCATCCATGATCCCGCACCCCGCGAGGTTTGAATCCAGGACCTACTGGTTTCGCGCCAGGCGCTTAACCAACTAGACCACTGAGACAGCATCCAACGGTGTTAATGTCTAACCTCGACCAATCCACGAAGTTGTGCCACCGTACACTATTGTCATCAGTGAGTTGATATCTCACAACCGACCTGGTTGAACTCCACTGGTAACGGCATCTCACTAGAACTCCAGGAGTATCTCTTGAAGTCAGTCACTAGTGAGCAGATGATTATTATCAAAAGGGGTTTGTGGAGATTTTTAGAAATTTCACAGATTGAAATCATGAGGCAATTGAAGTTAGCCGTTCAGTGCTTCCAGGTTTTACATGGTGGTCTAGCTTCAAATGACTTATGATTTCAATCTGTGAAATTTCTAAAAATCCCCACAAACCCCTTCTGATCATACAGTTTTTGTTCTAAATTTCAAAAAAGAGTACGAATTTTATCTTAATTTTAAAATACATTAGTAATAATAATAATGTACTAATATGAAAATAACAAAACACTACATAATTTCAGATTATTTTTTTATTGATAGAAAATAGAGAGAAGAGATAAGCAAACTATTTCGTCACCATTCACATGGTATTGTTTGCTTGCATATTCCCATTGTTATTTAGACTAGAATTGATCAGTCTCTTGTTGGCATATGTACATCCCATGCTCATTGCCTCGATATTACCTTAAGTCAAAAGCATTAGAACAGAAAAATGGATAGTGGCTAGCAGTGGAATCCAAGATGCACATTTCGTCCTATTTGAGACCCGTCAGTTAGATGTACCTGCATCTCAGAGTTGATGTTCACTTTGGAACTCGAATCCAGTACCGTTCCCTTCAAACTCCACTTAGCTACTGATTCCTGATAACCACCTTCTTGTGCATTGGGGTGAAGTTTAAATTCACTTAATGTTGTTATTTCAACAAATTTAATGAAATTCCTTTTGTCAAAACGTACTAATTTGACGAACGTGTATTATTTTTTATATTGTACAAATGAATTTGATTGGTAAGATATACATTTGATCTACTCTATTAATAATTAGATCATCTAATGACGATTATATATTGTAGTGATTATTCTGGAAAATGTTGAATACGTTCTTAAATTCATTTGTACATTTTATCAAACATTTTCCAACTGATTATAACATTTATGTTGACTTAAGAGTTAATTATTCTCACCTTCCATGTATTCGTCTTGAATCATAAATTTAGTTTATGATCTCATCTTCTATTTTTCAAATGTTTATTGGTCTTTTTTTCAATGGTCAGTATTACTGTATTTTGAATTACGTGAAATCAATGAAATTAATATTAATTACTTATAAGTAGTTGAACTGTGCTATTCAAATTATAAGAATGAAATTAATTCTGATAATTTCTTTCATTTGTTTATTTGATTTTTCACAGATATTAATGAATGTAGCATAAACAATGGAGGTTGTCAGCAGCTGTGCAGAAATGTCGATGGTTCTTACAGCTGTGATTGTAATCCTGGTTGGCAAATAGGAAATGATGGGAAATCATGTTATCGTAAGTTAGTTCATAGTCGCTTTTTTATAGTTGAATACTATATAGTTAAAGCTGTGAAAAAGTTGCATTATGAAAGGATACATTTCTGAATCAAAACATACAATAAAATTTCGACTGAATTTATAATTTTAGGAGAACATGATTTCTTCATTGAATTTATCGACGCGTAGAACTGAGATACGGTATCTAATGGAAGTGTTATACAAAGCATATCGTTGTAAAACCTTTCACAAATTCTACTCCTTATTTGAGCAAGAACAAAGATTTTGAAGTAAATTTCTAAAATGGATTCTTGATATCAAATTAGTGAACGTTTTACATGTTGAATTATAATCTCCTTTTGTTAAAGATCTTATGCAAGTCCTAACTTCGTTGTAATAATTACCGATTCATCAGAGATAGAAAATGATGAACTTGTTATTTTTAATCAAGGTGTTTGCATAATCACGCTAATTTTTATATCACCGAATTTTGAAGCTAAAGAAAATGCAGGAATTTTCAGCTTCCAATGATCACTTTCGTTATGTTGTTTAACAAAGATGTAAATATGAATATGAGTAATTTGTTTGGAAGTAACTTCATATAGTTGACTGTATTTGTAAAGCTAGATTTTTAGTTTTCAAGTTATTTCTTCAAAGAAAGCTAGTATTTTTACTCTTCAGGTAATAAATGCGAGTGGTCTAAGTCTTTCGACTTAAATGACATCTCCTGACAACAGATTACCACATAAAAGGTAACAAGTAAGTAAGGTTTCTTACTTTAGGCACTTCGAATTCCGTTCATTCAGATGTTCAAACGGTTTTTTCTTTTTAAATTACATACTACAGTTATAGGAACACATAGTTACTTCCAAATAATACTCTAACCCTTTATTGATTTTATCACTTAGGTGTTGTCTTAGAAGTAAGCGACCCATGTCGATTTGACAATGGTGGATGTACACATATTTGTTCAAGAACAGATTCTGGAACAGCAGAATGTTCATGTAGTCCAGGCTATGACTTGCAAGCTGATGGTCGAACTTGTTCAGGTTAGTTAAAATCTTTTCTCTGGTATATTACTAAATAATTTATTGTTCCATTCAGTGTTTTATAACATATCTATAATTTCAATAGTTGAGATTATGAGTCAATTGAAGCTACATCATCATACTTCCAGGTTTTCCATGGTGGTCTAAATTAATACTTGAAGTTGTTAGATATAAACTATTCCATCTTCTTACATAAAATTTTGTCACACATTTAATACTAATTATCAGTTTTGAAGAGGATAATTTTATCGAATCTTCTACCACGTGAAAGGATGAGATATCTTGTAAAATATAAAACTATCGTCTAACATTCAAATGATAACAAAGAAAACAGTATTAAAAAATAAACACTAAATTGTAGTCATTTTCACACCATCCATACAGTGAAACTTATCTTGTCTATTATAACACTACATAAAAAATATCTTACTAGATTACCATAAAAATATAACATTATTAGGTGTCCATTAATGCGAAGTAACAAGTTGCCAACTTTCTCTATAAAGGAGTTTTAAAAATAATCTGAAAGATATCTTTATTTTGAAGTTAATTTTAAAAAGTTTCAGACAATTTTTTTGATTACATTTTCTCTTTGAGTGTAGAATGTTTTATACTTTAAACTTTTCTTTCAAAATGACTAGATCGTGATGAATGTGTAATTGGTGAGGCTAAGTGTTACGGTCAAGCTGTGATTTGCATTAACGAACCAGGAACGTACCGTTGTGAATGTCAAACAGGATTTCGTATCAGCCCAGATGGACATTCATGTCAAGGTAAATAATTGTTACTTGTTTAATACTAATACGTTAATTACATCGTCAATGAGTGAGATAACTGATATTAAATAATTTCGAAGCCGATACCGATAGAGTTCAAACATGTTCAAAGCTAGACATATATCACTGATTATAATTGACGACAGGTTTAGAACATCGCTAACTGAACGACGTAGAAATTATAGATCAATTAATTCTGTCTCATCGGCTTAAATGTAGCATATGAATCATATGGCTAGAAGGACCTAAATCTGATTACTGGCAAAGCTATGAACAGACCCTATTCAAAATTCAAAACTAGAATGAAGCAAACATCTACATACACAAGCGACCAATCTAGAATTTTAAAAAAGTATTTACACAATTCTGAGTGTTAATATTTCTGCAAATGATTTCAATTTACTTCTAAGATTACTTCTAAAATGCTTGTGATTTAATGGCAACATAGCGGCAGTCTGTACATAATGCGCATAAATCAGAAGAAATCGATCAATAGCAGTCCTTAAAGTAAACAATGGAAAGATCCATCCCTTTTTACCATGTTTTAATGACTAATTTAAAGAAACTTTGTTTCAACAGTTTTAATTTATACTTAAGTTAGTTAAAATTAAAAATGATTTTTAGATATTGATGAATGTCTGGATGACAATGGTGGATGCGAATTTCAATGTGTGAATACAATAGGTAGTCATAGGTGTTTGTGTGATTTTGGTGATGAATTAAACCCAGATGGAAGAACATGCTCACGTAAGTGAAGAACATTTCTACTACTTTTGGTAACTAACTCTATATTTTATAATATATGAAGAATAATTGAAAATCAAAGCGGATGTACACTTATCACACAGTAATATACTGTGTTCAATCAAACTAAAAAGAATAAAGTTCTAGACAGAAAAACATTGACAATCTTTGTAGAATAAAATGCATTCATTTAAATTTCAAGGCTACTCAGTAGATATAGAATACCTAGTTACAATGAATTGTAGAATGAGACAAATATATATATATATATATATATATATATATATATATATATATATATATATATATATATATATATATATATATATATATATATATTCTGGTAAATAAAACTGAATTCTGGTTAGCAATATTTTTTAGCAAGGCTGGTTTCAACGAGAAGGAGTTGCTTATCCCATGCCCAACCCTGCTTTTCTACCCTGTCTTAGGACTGGCGGTAACCTTAGAAGAGCTCAAGGCGGCCTACGCCCCTCCACGAGGGGTAATAGGAGTAAGTAAGTAAGTAAGTAAGTAAGCAAGTAAGTAAATGAAATTGAAACGAAAGTAGATGAAGAGTGAGACAGTGACTTAGAAGAAAAAGACATGCAAAAATGTGGCTATATGCTCAATACTTGAAAATGTTGGATATTTTTATAAGAACAACTGATGTGTTTTAGTTTTCACAAAGGATAATTTTATATTGAAAATCTAACCTTACAAAGTAAGGGTGGTAGAATCACAATTGATAAAAATGATAATAAAAAATTAATGGTTACATATATGGACAAAAATAATTTTGAAAAGTAAACATTAAATCAGTAAAAGTCATGAAGTTAACGTAAAACCGAAATTCTTCCATGATGACTATGATTTTCAAAACACAAAGCAGCTTCAATCACACGTTTCACTTTTGAATGCATAAAGATGACCTTTATACGTTACGATTTCACAGAAAATATAGGACATTTATTCAGACGATGTCAAAGTAGACCCTAACATACATGTAATAGGCTTAAGAAATTACGGGAATAGCTCTATGTTCCAATGTTCCGATCAATACAAAAGGTAGGCAACCATCCTGTACTTGGGTCACCCTTGAAGGCTCCATACCTTAAGTGTGATCCCTTGGGGAAAAAAATTCTCTCTCCAATGTTTCATTTTCACAAACTGCCTTTAGCATTGCGCCAATTTCTTATGAACTTTTCCTATGTTTCTGTAAAAATGTTGTGTAGCTTAGTTGATGAACTTATTAGAAAAGCCAAATATCAGTACACTATTACCTGAATAGTTATACTAATTAATGCTAATTTTATTTGTGATATTTCCAACAATAAATATATTACCCATTACAGTGTGTAATGAAATTATTACATATATTAGACTTTATTCATTCATTTAACAAGTTAAATCTATACAGAGAAATATTTTCATATCGACCTAAATGGTTAAAGCAACAGATCAAGTATTAGAACATTTGGGAAGATATCCGGATATTTTCACGATTTGTTTCCTATATTTATTCTGTTATTTCTTCATTTTCTTCATTCTAGGTTCATCCAGTTATGTACGAGATGATTCTAGTACGTTATTCACGCCGACTAAACAAAATCGCAAACAGTTGAATATGAAGCCAACCCAACGAGTTGTAATAGGTGATGTTCATCAGTTTTCGAAAATACGGACATCATTTGATTCAAGTTAGTTATAAAATAAAATAACTGTTATTGTTTTTGTCCAATATATCTAGAGAATCTTGCTTGGGGAGCTATTTATACATACCCATATATTTGTAATGATGGTATTAGTTGTTCTCCAAGTTTCAGCTCCACATAATAGAACTATCTTGACGTTCGTATAGGAGATTCTGACCTTGATATTGGTTGACAGTTGTTTTGAGTTCCATATGTTCTTCAACTGTAGAAATGCCACTCTTGCTTTCCCAATCCTTGACTTCACGTTTGCATCCGATCCTCCTTGTTCATCGATGATGCTGTCCAAGTACACGATGTTTCCACATCTTCCAGAGTTTCCCCATCAATTGTGACTGGGTTGGCGTTCTGTGTATTGTATTTAAGGATCTTACTTTTTTCCTTGTGTATGTTGATGCCTACTAATGCAGAGGCTACTGCTACACTGACTGTCTTCATCTGCATTTGGTGGTGTAAATGTGATAAATGAGCTAGGCAATCTGTGAAATCCAAGCTGTCGATTGTATTCTGTGCTCCCCCTGAAATATGCAGGTCTTCATAATCCAGTCAAGCACTGGAAGAAAGAGAAAGGGAGAGAGAGAATAAGCAGTCTTGTTTGCCACCGGTTCTTACTTGGAACGCATCTGTCCTGCGCCCTTCATGAACTCCACAATGCAGTCCATCGTATGAATCCTGTACGACGTTGACAATCTTATCAGGTACACCATTGTGTCGAAGAAGGTTCCACACGATTCTCCTATCTACACTGTCGAATGTCGTCTTATAGTCAAGGAAGTTGGTGTATGGTGACGAGTTCTATTCAATCGATTATTCAATAATGATCCATAGTGTCGCGATTTGGTCTATAACAGACCGATCCTTATGGAATCTGACCGGTTGACCTCGAATTTTGGTGTCTACTGAATCCTTAATAGAATTCAATAACACTCTGTTTAAAACTTTTGATAGTACCGATAGTTGTGTGATGCCTTTTTAGTTCTCACATTTGCTCAAAACTACTTTCTTTGGTATTTGGATGACTTAGCCTTCTTTCCAGTCTTGTGCACTTACTCTTCCTTAAAATAGAACGTCGAGCGTATTTGCGGTTATTTCTATGTGTGATTTCGGCGCTTCAGTTGGTATGTTGTCAGGTGCAGCTGCTTTCTCACCCTTGATTTGTCTGATGACCATGATAATTTCTTCGATCATTGGTGGTGTGACAGCTATAGGGAGGTCTGAAGGGGCTGGTCCGATGTCCGGTGGATTCAGTGGGGCTTGTCCATTCAAAGGTCCTTCAGAGTGCTCTACCCACCTGTTCCGCTGTTGTTGGGTCTCAGTGAGTGGCTTGCTCTCCTTGTTCTTAGCCAGTCGCTCTGGTTTACCATATTTCCCAACCACTTTCTTCGTCGTGTCATATAGCTGTCGCATGTTTCCTTTTCTTTCAGTTTTTTCCTCTGAAACACCGAAGGCACTGAGAAACTGATTATTTCTAGTCTGAAACTCCCCAGCGGCTTCCAATGACATTGATAGCTAATCAGTTAAGAAGTATACTGATATACCATCTGCAAACAAATTGTTTATTAATCAGGTATCATTGAAAGTCACATAAAAACAGTATTCTCTAACAGGACTAAATAGTTTTTGTATAAATGTTTGGTGGCCCGTTGATCTGACTCCTATTTAGAGCGTATGGAAGATAGCTGGGAAGCCAACTCCAATTCAAGCCGGGCATTACTCAATATTTATAGGCAGACAAAATAAACTACAGACATGTGATGAGTCATGGGACATGAAGTGTACACACATATACGCTCATGTGAAAACAGTCAAGGCTAATAAGCGAATAATTAACAAGGTCAAAACATGACTCAAGTAGAATGAATAGGATGGAATGTCCGGAAACTAGAATAATATATATTATGGGCTAAAATTAATGACTAACACTACAAATGACTTGTCAAACTTCACAGATTAAAAGCATTACTGCTTTTATTGGTTTGGGCTATTTGTTAATAAATTAATACATTTATACCTTTAGCTGCCAATAATAGTTATGTATTGAATAAAAAGGGGTTGCATCACTTAGCAAAGTAATTAAAAATCATCAACTTTAATCACATTGTAATAACACCCTTCCATTCATAAATTATTATACACAATACTTGAAATCTCGATTGGATTATGCAACACCACTTCATTTCCACTAACTTCCACTTGAATGAGTTTGACTATCTTTGATAATTTCGTAAGGAAAATTTTCTTCACCGAAACATCTTCATTCTTTTTAGTATATATATATATATGCAAAACTGTACGGTATTACTGATTTATCTGATTTCGGTTGAATGAACGTTTACTTACAGTTTTTAATCTCGACTTATCTTGTTTTTTCCTTTGAATTCCACTATTTCTCACAACAATATGTCAGAAATGATTTTGAGCATTACTTATTTTAACATAGCATAATCACACCAGATTTGATAATCAAAATGTAGGATTCTGAAACTAGGCTTTCGCAAGGAATTAAATTATATGATGCTTTACATCACACAAGCTAATTTCGAATCAACTGAAAACTATTATAATCGTATACACAATTTTAAGATTAAAATAATAATATATTTATAAGCAAAAATAGATAATGGCTAGCAGCACGATCCAGGATGCGCGTTTCGTCCTATTCGAGATTCATCGGCTGGATGTGCCTGCATTCAAGAGTTGATGTTCACTCTGGGACTCTAACCAAGTGCCGTTTGCTGCAAACGCTATCGTGTTATCCACTCAGCTACTGAAACCTGATAGCCACCTGCTTATTGACAAAGTAGTGGGTATCTTTTCACCAACAATTCTATTACGTCTACATTTTTATTATTTGATAGTTTTTCAAACTATTTTATGTGTAATATACAGTTGTAACGAGATTCGACTGTCAAGTAAATCACTTAACTCAAAACTATTAATGAATGCGTATTCTTGTAACCACATAATTCTTATACTTAACACTTATAATTAACCGTCATACACTGATTATCTAGACCCTTATTCCAAAAGGAATTTCATACACAGAATAATTTTGAAAAGAAGCTAAAATTATGTAAACACGAATTTTAACTATAAACCAGTCATTTAAGTAATAATGTAGTGAACAAGACCAGTAGTGGGAACTGCCAAATATGTTAGAATACAAAATTACAGAACGTCTTAGTAAAATCTGAGATGCATACAGTAAATACTTCATTTGCAAAATGTCAATCAATTGTCTCAGACTTGATTGTTCCTTCGGTTTCGCACCAATCACTCTCTGTTCTCGTTCTATTCTCTTTGAACCTCTTAAACTTCCGCCGCCAGGTATTCCACTTTCCATTGGTAATATATACTACTTATATCTGCTGTCATCAGTAGCACACACCACAATAATATCATTGATAAACGTGTGAATTGGAAATATGTTTTGGCTACAAATCTCTATAATTACAGATATAAAAAAAGGAGTACTGGTCGTTACATTGTTAGTTTTTTGATCGAAAAAACTGTGAGACAAGAAACCAGATTTAATTTTACATTTGAAATCATTTCATACAAATGAAATATATGAATATCAGTTTCCTTGTTATACATTAACTTTTCAACCAGTTCTAACATCAAACAAAATAATTAGTTACTAAACGATTATTCATTAGAATATCTGAGATAATCAATATTATTAAAAGCAACACGTTTATGATGAATAAAGGAAATTGAAAATTCAACTATCAGACAGGCTTCCTTATTGAATTGGTAATCGGAAAGTCACCGGTTCAAATATTCGGTTATTGAGCTACCTATAGAATTGGTGCTTTTTCTCAATAAAGCCAGTATGGTCTATAAGCTTGATGCATTTTAAAAACCTTATCAATTAAATTTTTGTTTCCTAAAGAGAATAACGTCATCTGATCTTCTATTTATTTCAGTTGTCACTAAATATGTTCCGTAAATCATAGCTACCAGTAACAAACACATGATTGATAATTGTAGAAAGAAGTGTGTATATGAGAATTCTTTTCAAAGACAGCTCTTCTCTCAATCACTTTTTCTCGCTTAATGTATCAATAAGTGCTTTTCAATTCACCTATAATCTGTTTGACAAGATTTCGATGAGTGTTTCTAATCAATCATCGAATGTTCCTTAAAAACTTAGGTCAGTTTACATAAAGTGAGAAGAACAATACATGCAGGATAAAAATGGATTCACTCTATTTCAAAGCTTCTTATTAGCCGGCTAAGTTTTCATGAGTGATACAATTACGTTTTACTACATACCATAATCAGTTAAGCTTAGTATTAAATGATATACGAAACAAGAGAGAACCATATGCTTAACATATTAGTTAACATTGATTCGTAAATCTGTGTTAAAATCATAAAAAAGAGAAGGGGATTAAACTGTAAATGATAGTAAATAGACAATGACAAAAAACAAACTATTAACAAGTGAATGATAATCAAGGCATCTATTTAAAAGAAAATTAAAGATGACATCGTAAGTGAATGTCTGTGGGAATTTATACTTTAAATTATAAACAATAACAGAGATAATTTAATGACAATCGTTACAATATAACTATCTAATCATGCGGATGAGAGGTTTACCACACTTACTTTCTGTATACAATGGTCAGATCAAATGCGCTTTATGGCAGTGGTCTCTGCAAAACGGAGTAAAAGAGATGTACGCTTTCAATTTAATAATTTTAAACTCTTTTGAGACATCAACGTTGTGTTTACTATCCATTAAATGTTTGGTGTTCACCCTTGTGAATATTTTACTTCCATAAAGACATAACTTACAGGGAATAAGTTCATAACATCTTGTAAATATCCTTCTTTTAGTCCTTCCTGTGTACTTCTTTTCACAAGCACGTGTAAATTTGTATATGCATTTAAGGATGATATTAGAAGGGTACTAAGTTACTTTTGTTTGATTTAAAGAATATCTGGTTTTATGCATCAAAAATAGTTGGGCTGCAAGAAAACTTCTGTTTGGCGCTGCCTTAATCATTTTTTCGATCCTGCTTGAAACTTCCTCATCTTTAAATTCGAGACAGAAACAGACAGATTTTCTGTTAAAAGTTGAATGCTTGAGAACTCCCTTAATCATTTTTTTCATTTCATAGTAAATTTCTTTGGATATTCATTCTCTTTAAGAGACTATGCAATGTATTCTACTTCTTCCTGTGGCTTTTCAATCGAACGCAACCTTCTAGACGTATTAAATAAGGTTTTGACCAAACAATGGTTGTAACTAACAGTACAGAAACCATTATAATTTAAGTATTGTCTTGTCCACGTTTCTTTTCTGAATATGATATTCCTGTTCCTTCGTTATATTCTTAGGTCTAAGTAATTAAACTGATTAGGTTTATATTTCATAGTGAATATAATGTTAACACATGCTTCATCAAACCGGTAAACCAACTGTGAGCTAAAACTCAGATTATTACAAACAACAAGTGTATGATCAACATACATACTGTATAATGCTACGTTTTCAATTTCTTGCTTAAGTTTCATTTGTCTAAGATTAGCCATAGAGATGTTGGCCGACATAGACACTATGGATGATCTCATGGATATCGTATCGATTTGTCTGTATAACTGGTTATAGAATTTAAACTGAATCCCTTTAATGTATGCTAATAGTAATGTTCTGAACTCATTTTGAGGAAAAGAACCTAATTCAAAATACTGATACATATTATTGACAATTTCTTCCATAAGTATATTTGTAAATAATGAACAAGCATTATAAATTTTTCTGATATATCCATATAATCTATTTCTTTAGTAAATCAAAAAGTGTTTTTTAAAGTATTAGTTGCCATGTTTCTGAGATCTGATTCCAATAACTTGTATAAGTGATTAACACATTGTATAGCTGTTATAATGATGAAATAGAATTTATTCAATAAATTCATATCAGAAGGGTTTTGTGGATATCATAGTAATTTTAATGGTAGAGATCACGAGTCAATTGGATCTAGATCACCGTGGTAAGCCTGGAAGCACTGGACAGCCGTTTCGTCCTACCGTGGGACTCCTCAGCAGTGCTCGTCTGCGACCTCGCCTCTCGAGACTCCAACCCAGGACCTATCAGTCTCGTGCGCGAATGCTTAACCACTAAACCACTGAGCCGACATCCAACGGTTTTAATGTCTAACTTCAACCAATCCACGAAATCAAGCGACACATTCACCATTGTCATTAGTGAGTTCCTATCTCACAACTAACCCGGTTGAACTCCACTGGTCACTGCTTCCCACTAGAACTCCACGAAAAACCTCTTGAATCCAGCCACTAGTGAGCATATGTTGATTTATATCAGAAGGGTTTTGTGGATATATAAATACACATTTTAAATCATAAAAAAGGAACACTTAAGAATAATTAAATTAGGGTTTTTTTCAGTTATTCGCTAATTATCTTAAAATGTCAACATGTCACTTTATTTTTGTACACTTTGTGTTTCTTTTCTTGTTCAGTGATGCAACAAGATGATTCGTCTATTTATCAAAATAATTTGTATATTGGTTTGTTTTCATTGTTTTGTTCATTCTTTCTCTAGTTCATGGAAATATTGCATGTCATATATTCAAATAATTGAAATGATTGTTGTTTAGATTATTTTGAGAATTAATTCTATCTGAATTACCTATTTAAAAGTATCAATATCATAAGAATTGGATTCCTAGTCCAACTGTTATTATTCATGATAGCAGATTTGAAGTATACAAATTTAATCTTGAATAATATAAATGAATTAGGATTCAAACAAGTTTATTATTACTTACTATTAACTGGTTTTAAGTTTTAATTCAGTTAGTATTAATTCTCAACCTTAATCTCTATATATGTGTTCAATTACAATAACTTAATGTTGTCTGTTACAGTAATATCTAGTCTTGTAGAAGTGTTGTCTTAAAAACTGTACATAACTAGAACATTGATAAAATTAATTAATTTTTTTCTCTCCAATATTACACTCTAATCATAGGAGGTAATTTATGTTTACCTGGACGATTTGGACATGATTGTAGTTTAACATGTTCACATTGTGAAAATGGTGGTCGATGTAATCGAGATTTAACTGGATGTGAATGCCCATCTGGTTATAAAGGAATTATCTGTGAAGAAAAATGTCCAAAGGTAAAAGAAATAATTTAAACGTATACAATTATAAAATTTATTTATAATATAATATACTCTTTACCATTATAACATTAGACAGTTAAATTCACTTGGTGTTGTTTTACTTGTATCTTTGAGTCCCAGAGTGAACATCAACTCTGAGATTCAAGTACATCCAGCTGACGAGTCTCAAATAAGACGAAACGCGCGTTCTGGATTCCACTGCTAGCCACTATTCATCTCTGCTTAAAAATCTTGTGATTTCAGGCAATATCGAGGCAGTCTGCGCAGGATCCATATATGCCAACAAGAGACTGATCAATTGCAGTCTTAAATAATAATGGGAAGATACAAATCAAACAACACCAAGTAAATTTAAACTTCACCCCATTGCACAAGCAAGTAGCTATCAGGACTCAGTAGATAAGTGGATAACGCGATGGTTTTTGAAGCGAACGGTACTGGGTTTGAATCCCAAAGTGAACACCAACTCTGAGATGCAGGTACATCCAGCTGACGAGTCTCAAATAGGACGAAACGCGCATCCTGGATTCCCCTGCTTGCCACCATCCATCTTTGATCAGACAGTTAATTTTAAAGTGCCTTTTACTGAGTAGAATTATTTGTTTAGTTATAACTGATCTAAGTTATAAGTTCTTATTCAGATTGATTACTGTGGAAATTTTTATATAAATTAAAGCTAATTGTTTGATGTATTCTTGTCGTTAGTTTAAAGAATCTTTTTCATTTAGTCTCGTAATTTCTAATGAACAATGTTTTCTTGTCTAAATATGGAAAGACATATTGAATAAAAATAGTTAGGAATGTTGAGTATAAATTGGCCAACATTTTATTAGCACCGTAATTAAAACATGAGTGTTGGAATAACATTTAGTCAATATATCTGGAATTTGTTAGCCAAGAGAGTAATGAATTCTAGAAAACGTTAATTTTTCTATTGCTACAAGTTAGTATAAATTAAATTACTATTAAAACCAATAACTGTGTCAGGTTTTATTCTGACGATTTCAGCGCTATACATTATAACTGTGAAGATACGTTGATGACAGTATTAGTAATACAACATGAAATATGATATGATTAAATGTGTTTAATGTTTAAAAGAGTAATAATATAATCCACTTACTGTTCGTAAATGTAAATGGTACATAGTTTGTTGCATCTAGGTATGTCTTAAAAAGACTCTATGTAAGTACTTTTGAGGACTTCAACGAAAGAATGGCAAGTCATCCAGTATTATTTCGTTATGCATGTAACTGTTAAATGGTGTTTATGTCACTAAGTTTACTCTCAAACTAAATGCTCAAGTTTTCACTGGGATAAACAGAAAAATTACAAACTATTACTTAAATTTTTTTCTAAATTTCCCGTAGCTACTTAGTCTAAATACTTTCTCTCACTTCTTAATCACTTTTTTCATTATAGGGACTATGGGGTGTGGACTGCAGACAGTACTGTGATTGTGCAAATGACGTTGACTGTGATTCCGTAACTGGGGTTTGTCAATGTCCTTTAGGTCGTCATGGTACAAGATGTGAACTATCCGGATGCCAAGCAGGATTTTGGGGACCTCAGTGTGATCGTCTATGCCCAAATCATTGTGCAACAAATCAATGTGATCGTGAAAAAGGTCATTGTACATGCTCACCAGGAATGTATGGGTCGCATTGTCACTTAAGTTGTCCGGAAAATACATGGGGCGAATTGTGTAGTCTGAAATGTCCAGCTGAATGTTCAGAAAGTAGACGACATACAAAGGGTTGTGATCCTCAAGTATGTTGATTAGAAATATAAACATAAAACGTTTTGGTAGATTAAGTAAGAGATATTATTTTAAAACTGTATGCTTATTATTCGCGTCCATAGGAACCAATTAGAATAGCCACTCCAAGTCCAAACATAATATTATCACAGTTCCAGAAACGTTGGCGTTTATTTACAATATTATTATGCTGCAAACCACTCCTTATAAGATAAAGATGAAATCAAGTGTGTGTAACTGGTTGTACATGAATATGACTACAAACGTTTTCTTTGGATATCTATCACATCGTTAGATCGTTGAAATGAAATCATGAAATACTGTTAGATCAAATGGACTTCTTTGTTGATTCAAATGATTCATGTACTTTTCCAATCTCTCAAGTCTGTAAAATTAGTCCATAATACTGACATAGCTTTTCAACTCATTTCACATCTTCAATTTGTTGCTACCTTACTTTAAGAATGCCATTTTCAAGGATTTCACCAACCGTTCGATGATTCGTTTAGTGTCAGTTAAATTAAGAGCTTTCTGTAAAGTTCCCTGTTACAAATATCTAGACGTTCGAGTTGCTTAAACTGATTCTTAGATGGATAATCTGGTTTGACTTAATAACTCTTGCAAGTAGTCCATTTTAATATTTCTAGTAAACAAGTAACCTTTTATCGATCAAATTTGAAGTCATTATAGCTTCTAGTCACATAAACAATTTCATATAATCATGTATCTCTTATTGTTATATTTGTCACGTTTTAGTGGCCCGAGATCGAACTTCCATAATATCGTATGAATGATTGTTGCCAAAATATACATCCTGGCTATCCTTGTATATAATCATCGACTTAAATCGCGTTAGTGAATAACGGAATTAAGTCAGTCAAATACGAGAATGAATCTTGAATATGTATATTCTATGCACTAGTTGATTTGAACAGGCAATCGAGAAATGAAGCGAGGCGAAATGACGCGCAGCGGAGAAGGCATGTGAGCCAACTCCATTTAGTCAAGCCTTAATCAATATTTATAGTCACTCGAAAATAAGCTACAGATATGTCGGGATTAGGATAAGAAGTGTACACATACGCTTAAATAAAAACAGTCAAGTGAATAATTAAGAAGGTCAAAATGTGACTCAAGTAGAATGAATAGATCAGCCTGTCCGAAAGCTAGAATAAGATATATGGGCTTAACATAATAACCGATACTACAATGGTTGAGTATCAGATGTAAAAGATAGAGAAAATTCAGTATTTTGAACTGTCATTTGTGTGCTTAAATCACAACAACTAAGACGTAGAATTGACAATGCATGTAAATAAGCTTTAACTGTTTCTTGTGCATAAAGTAATTTAACCATTTTATTCTAAAATAATTCTCATCCATAACACATTTAATAATTAATTTTCTTATTTAGACCGGTGAGTGTATATGTAAGCCTGGCTATCAACCGCCTGACTGTATTCTACCATGCCCGTCGTCATATTTTGGTTTCAATTGTAAAATGACATGCTTTGATTGTCAAAACGGCTGTGATCCAGTGACTGGACGATGTCTAGTTGAATGTCCACCTGGTAAACATGGATTAACGTGTGAACAAGGTAGATAACATTATAAGTAAACCTAGAATATTCATATCTGTATTTGTCTGAATAGAAATAGTCTGTGGGATTATTCCCACTTTATTAAGATAATCATTCAAAAAATGTAACGATCTGTCTGTTAGTTTAATATACTCTCTCAATTACGTCATGACATTCTGTTCACATTTTGGTGTGAAAATCATCCTAGAACATTCACAAGTCACATATTATCTACAAACATCCTAGACTAGATTTTATTTTACTCTGAATTGGTGAATGGATATAATTATGTAGCAAGAATATTACCGATATAAGATCTAACCGATTATCACAATGGCGGTTTGTAATCTTAGTTGGTAGAAAACTGGAATAATTATCGATTCAATGAAGCAGATCAAGATCATGAAGCGTAACAATGATATCTATTAAGTTTACAATTTTCTAAATATTTTATAAAAAGAACCACTCAGACAAATTCATACTTGTGATATACGCCATTACTGGGATATATTCCAATATATATGATGAGATGCTCATTATTATTATTACTTGCTGTACTAAGTAACACATCAGAGATGTAGATTTATTGTAATTTTCATTTTCATTAGTACTATTGAGTTTACCCTTTCAACGAGCGTACACTATAACAAAAGAGGATTAAAGAAAATTTGATCTATATGAAGTACTACGAGACGCAATTCCGTCTTCTCCGACCAGATTCTGTAAATCTGACTCCCTTCATCTTCGCCTGCACAAACATCAATTAGCGGTCAAATGCCATGACATATCCTCACTTATATCAATACATGTAGACAACTGTGGACACATTCGACTAGGAAAATGTTGAGATCTTTGATAGAGGCAATTCTAAAAACACCAGGGAATTTTTAGGAGCTTGGCACTCAGGTCAATCAGTAATCAACAAACACATTGAAATCGATCCAATTTATAGACCAATTGGAAAAATTATGGACAAATATAGGACCGAGAATCAAATCAGTTGGAGGTAAAATCAAATAAAGAAGTAAACAATAACAGGTTAAAGGTTGACATTACCCATTCAAGATCGAGGTCTACAGGACAAGCTAAGAGTCAATTGTGGAGAAATTTGAATACTTCACTTCTACTTGAGATTTGTGCTGATGATCTCGTTCAGAATAACGATGAAAGCTTCACGACCAAACCATCCAGCTGAGAGAACAAAACTCCACCGAAACCTTTTTAACTATCACTGGCATTATTACTACTACCTCCGATATCTTGGGATTCACTTCATCAAAATATGGTAAATTGGTAAAGTAAGATGGGCAGTTCCATACCTGTGCCAGACCCTAAATGGCCTAAGACTAAGTTTGTTTTATAGGCATTTCAGAAATTTACAACTGTAATCGTTTTCATAACTAACTTCTGAACATTTAATGTCTGCCATGAACACTGAAATCACTTCAACTACTTGTTTCAGTTTTATTGACTTTAAGATTTAATTAACTAGTCTTAAAACCAGTAAGTTTTCGTTGTAAAGTAAGAAACCTTTCGTTAATTGTTTCATTAGTGGATGTTTACAATTAACTTCACTTTAATAGGTTGTTAATGTATATTTAGAGTTCGAATTTCATCTTACATCGAACTAACTTTGTGGCTACGGTCGGCCGAAAGAAGCCATAGTAACAAATTAGTTATAACCATTACTCGGTAATATAATCTATAAAAAATCATATTACTTTATTTTATTGGTTACATAACGAACTGAAGTTAGTTAACTCACCAACTCAGGTTAGCCGCCATTGTAAACTACGAAATTCAACAATCTCTCTATACCTCTAAACTGACAGTAACCTTATGTTCACTAGTGACTTATTTTGAGAAGCAAACTTAAAGATTTAGTGAGAAGCCGTGGAGTTCAGTAATATCGAACTTGAAGCAGTTGCTCACAAATAGTTTCCAAAGATTGCTATGCAGTATCAGAAACTAACTGTATCTAAACATGTATAACATTGGACCCCAGATCAGTGGTCTAGAGGTTAGACGCTCTTTGAGTTAGTTGAAGTTTTCTGATTCAAACCCTCACAGTCGAAAAGTCCCACACTAAAGCTATCCAGTGCATTCTGGTTTTCAGTGATCTTCAAACTAAGGTTATTTGTGATGTAAACTATGAATTTTTACCATGTCCATAAATCCTTGTACTAATATTATGGAATTACGTGTTATTTATTGATAAAGTCGTAGTTTAGTTCAGCCGGTCAAATTTGTCTTCTAGTGTAAATTAAATTTTTTTCTCTATTTTAGACTGTCCCCCAGGGTATTGGGGCAAAAAATGCTCTCGACATTGTCGATGTGGTTATGACGAAAAAGGGAATCTCAGGATATGTGATCCAACGAGTGGTACATGTTCATGTAAAGCAGGTTATCGAGGAAAGAACTGTGATGAACGTAAGTGTAATGGAATAATCGCTTTTAAAGATCATAATTTTTCGGCTTCATTTTCTCTTTTTCTACAATAAAAGTCTTAGTACAGAGCATCAATGACACAAAAAAAACAAAAGATTAAAAAAATTAAATGGAGCCTCTAAAGTAAATAATATTGCTATTAAATATTGATGCTACTAATGATTAGATTAATTCGTTTAGTTTAATAACTAGCAAATTAATGCGGTTTGTGCTGATGATGTCGTTCAGAAAAACGATGAAAGCCCTACGACCAAACTATCCAGCTCAGAGAACAAAACTCCATCAAACTCATCCACCTAAGCTACAAATCTTCTCCATCATCTAGCAAATTAGTGGTTACCTTAGAAGAAACCATAATACTAAGCAAAAACTAACCCATAAACTTAGTGATATATAAAATGATGTAATACAAAGTTTAAATAAAAAATGTAAACCATTGCTTATTATCACATTAAAAGTAAATCACATCCATAAAGATCCCACTAAACAAGATTATAGAGTGATATAAAAGTTCCTTATAACTTCTTATCTAACAATAATGTTTAGGTTGGCCAACGAATGATTCTCAGTCTTGATACAATTTTATCGGTCATTTAGTGTGCTAGTATAACAGGCATAATATAGTGTTAATGTCTAACTTCAGTCAACCGGCAGCATTGCGCGACCATCTTCCATTGTCTTCGAAGAGTAACTTCCTCACACACAACAGAATTTAACTCCATTGGAGTTAAACTGTGTTGGGTCTGAGGCAGTTACCCATCGAAGACAATCGAAGATAGTCGCTTAATGTTGTCAATTAGGAGAAGTTAGACATTAACACCGTTGGATCCTGGCTCAGCAACCTAGAGAATAAGCGTTCACACGCGAGATTGAAGGTTTTCGGTTCGATCTTCATGTGCGAGGCTATAAAAGCCCACTGTTGAGGAGTCCCATGGTACGACGAAACGACCGTTCACTCCTTCCAGGTTTTCAGTGATGGTATAACATTAATCGGTTCATAATTTCAACGAAATTCAACAATTTCCACAACATAGTGTATAAAATGGTTAAACCCTTATATGGTCCAAGAATAAGAGACTTTAACTAGCCGTTATAATTTACACCTTATATTAGGTGCATACAGCAATATCTAGAACGATTAGAAATCATTGGCTGGTGCAACAGAATTCAAATTTAAATAATAAAATTAGTTTAAAATGATATCAAAAGTTAAACAAGTATGGTTCTAGAAAGATGCTGCACTAAGAGTTTTCTCAAAGTGGCGAGTATCAATTTTTACAGGACAGTATGATGTGTCTAAAAGTGTTGGTTTAAACTGTGTGCTTATCCACACAAATTCGATTTGCTCCCATAATCTTTACTACTTGTTTAGCGCATCCTCCTCCCTACTTGTACTTCTGTTTTACATATCAATGTTTGTAATCAAATGATGTTACTAAACGAAACTATGGACATTCCGCTGTACAATTTATAAAACTGAATCTCTGTGGCATGTGTCTAGTAGTTCTCCCTATCCATATCTTCAAAATAATTATGTATTCTCTACGTACAATGATGACTGCATTAAACTATTAAGTTCTGTTGCGATATTTGCTACAGGTAAGAAAACTAAAGCTACTAATTAGTGGATCTCCAAAGCAAAATCCTCATATGCCATATAATATTGTTAAAGTTTTGCTGATTGATATGTTCTCCACCCCATATATCGATTCAGATACGATAAGCCTTTTGTACTACATTTGAATTTACTTGTACAAGTACCAATATTTCTAAATCTTCGTAATCAGTTATGATGGTTGTTGAATTTAAAGTCATAGCTTGTTTTCTCAGTTCGTTGAACATGAACAAAAATGTACTTGTACATTCATCGTTCATTAAAATGTAAACCACTTGAATAATCGTACTGAATTTCATAGCATGGATTGTGTAGATCTTTTAAACAATACTTTTTCTAACAATTTAACGTAATTCGGTTTACAATTCTTTGTAGCCTGTGAAATTGGTACTTACGGTCCAAATTGTCGATTGAAATGTCAATGTGGGATAATTAATATGGGATGTGATCCGGTTACTGGTTTATGTCAATGTCCGAATGGAATTGTAGGACATAAATGTAGTATGCGTAAGTGGTACATAATTAATAAAGTCACTAATGATCCAATAATCTCTAGTTATTTTATCAGACATTTATTAGCATTATGGGATCTAATGTATCACGATGTTTGAACAGTGACGTCACAGTATACTCTTAAGTGTCTTTTATGAAACTGTTCAAAGCAAATCGCTTCAACTTTTGTAAACTGTAGTGCTCAACTTTTCGATTCATTGCCTAATATATGCTTCCTAACACTTGCCTAGCCAGCTTAACAGAGTAAAGGACTGAGAGTGTATCGGAAGCTTTATTTTTTAAGTTGAATTAATACGTACATACGTGTGTTGGGTTAAATCACATGACAGTGAACTATTCAACTGTATTGACAGGAGAGAGTTTAGATTCTAGTTCAAGTGAATTATCATTTTATTTTTTGAGTATACACAAATAATACTGGAGTGATTCAAAAATATGTGGGCTGTGACTGTAATCAGGTTAATATTCCACTCACTCATAATAATTCTGCTCACGCTTAACTTATTACTTTTCCTTAATCATTGACGGAGTAAATGATCTGTCTGGATTTATCTGGCTTATCAGAAATCATTTCACTCCTCTCTGAGTATACTTGGTGAGGATTGAAGTGATTATATTAGCAACTAATCTGTATTCAATTTCTTTATTATCACTGTTTAATAAACCAACATTCCTATTGTATTTTACACATGGTCTTGTCTAAACGAACATTGTTTTACAATTTACCATTATTCAATTTGGCTTCAGCTAACGTACAAGATTTGAGCACATAAGCATATTCTTTTAAAATGATTAATCTCGAAACATTACAAAAATCAATCAGAGTCGAGATTATTTATGGAAACATAACATTTTATGATAAAATTTTGGAAAATGACTTTTGAAACTGAACTCACTATTTCATCTGATCAGTTTTAAAAATTTAGCCATATCCACTTCATAGCATTAGATACACAAACAGTATAGCCAGAATCTACTTAAGTATACAGTAACGAAAGTTTGTTCTGAAGAATTTTAAACCCTCAATTCGTTAACAACTTCATTTTTTCGACACTAGCAGCTAGTAATAATCTTTAAAGGAAACTAAAAGATCTACAATCTGACAACAGACAGAAGAAACTCAACAAACATACAGCATTGACTAAATTATGTTTGTCATTGACAGTAAATATGTTTAACATTCTAAAAACTTTTATGCCCACAAAGTTTGATTTTTGGGGGTTAACTTATATTTTTCAATACGTACTTTCATCCATGAACATCTGTAAATCAAACTTCAAATCTCAGTCTACACATACATATGTAAATTCAGTATTTGGCATGACAACAGTAAAAATGTTCCCTGTTCACAATGTAGTAGGAAAGGATTATAGACATCCACACTTATCTCATTGATGGAGTGAAATTTTTAACTCTGTCGTCTGTGTATGCAAACATTGGTTTTATTAATAAATGATGCTCATCAATAGAGTAAATAAAATTACTTTGACTGCAATTGTATCTATGTTCATGCAACCCATTAATAAAGATGCTTGCCAGTCTCTATCCTGTTGTATCATGTATTTTTTAGCTTGATGTAAAGGCGAGACTATAATTTATGGACGGATCAATCAGATATAAGATAACGAGTCTTAGATTTTGGCGTGAAAATCATTCATACACTGGTTATCTAGCGTATTGGCATTGTAGCCGATGTCGATTCGTGATGAAAACCCTAAATCGAATTTCTAACCCTAAACACCAACTGTATATCATAATCGTGATTCCTCTTACTAGTTTATAACCCTCATTTAGTCCTAGTTAGTAGGTGGACACTCTCAAGGTCACCTTAGCGTTGCTCAGAGGCCGTTCATAAATTATAGTCTCACCGATGTAAATATTCTGTGCATATGGTAATAACTTCCAGTAATCTTTCTCATTTCTTTCTTTAGAAAATGACATTTATTCACCAGATGATGAACCATGTAAGTATATGAATTTTCAGTGAAAATGACTAAGATAGAACTATTCAGTGATCAACGACGAGAGTTTAAAAAACCATATGTTTTTCTAATGGCTGAAGTTAATAGCAGTATGCTTAGTGTTTATTAAGTGTGCCATAAGCAATACCTTCGTCCATTTAATGAGATCGTTGCATATTGTAGTCTAATTTTCATTAGCATTTAATTTCATGTGGTTCGAGTTATTGGAAGTGTTTACAATGAATTTTTCTAGTGTAGAGCAGTCCAACACACTTAATGGGGAATACGAATTTAATACATTTTAGGCCTTAAATTGAAATCTTTAATTTAAATCACACTAATATGCAGCGTTTGTACATTAAATGAATGGAAGAGTGATGTAAAGGGTTAGGTATTGTGGAATGAACACTAAATGCATTGCTAATAACTTCAGCCTTTACACCAGAATAAATAGAAATTTTGATATTTCTCAGCTTTGTCCAAGTAATCACTTTATTTCCTGTAATAAAAGAAATGTTCTACTTGATATCTTTTGAAACTGATTATTATGTGAACCAGTTTGGGTATGAATGAGCAATAGTAAATATGAAATTTAAAGAACTACAATGTGGTTTTAATTTGAAAGTGAAGTAAAGTATGATTTTCAATAGAAAAAAATGTGACGTTTTGGAAATAAGGTTAAAGTAGGTAAAAACTTCGTTTTCATAAAGTGCAGTATGGGTCTAACATTACACAGAATGTTTCTACTATTCGTCATTTTTATAATTACATAATCTTTTTAGAGTTATTTAATTATCCCCAACATCGATATGACATTTAATACAAGCATAAAATACATTATTTCTATACAAAGTCTAGAAGACCAAAGCTCAGAACAATGAAGTCTTCTTCTTGAAGTATCCACTTATTCTATGACAAACTAATAAAGAATAGAAATCATGTCATATATAGAAAAACAGCTTTTAATTTACTTGTGATTCTTATCTTATAGGCTGGCATATAACTGCAATTTCTCAGCTAACTATCAATGCAAAGAATAAACATTTATAGGGTATTTAAATTAATTATAAGATAAATATAAATTTCCGATCATTCGCAATAGATTTACTTCGTTAGAAATTTCATGCTAAAAGTGAATGTTTAGTTGTAATAATACCGTATTATTTTACTTCATTAAAATCCAATCCAATTTCTTCATTATTTACTATAAATTTTATTACTATGATTATATACTACTTCTGTCAGTAGATATAAGTAGTATGTAACACCAACCAGAAGTTGAATGTCTGACAGAAGGTTGAGAAGATCAAATTGAAAAGAACAGGAATATAAACAGAGAGTAATTGTAATAAAAACAGAAATGAAGGAACGATGAATTTTCTAAAAGACAATTGATGAACGATGGGCAAATAAAGTATTTAATGTATGATGTTCATATTATACCTAAACATTCTGTTATTTGTATCTACCTGGTTGTCAACACCTGATTGTTAGTTCATTCCATTACTAATTACAAAATAGTGATTCAACCGACGATTTCGTGAAGTTATTCAATTGAAACCTTACGTTTATTAACTTCATATTATTCCTTATATGTAATCTGATATTGAAAATCTTCTCAAACCTAATCCTATCATTATGTTTAAATTTAAACAAAGTGAGAACAAGATTTGGAAAATAAAATAAACTCATCCGTCTACAACTTAAAATTACAATGCTCAATGTAATTATTAACAATTGTTTAGCATACTTTAGTTTGTGAAGTTTAGATAAATGTTCGAAGCGTAACCGAAATCATCATAGTAAGAAGAATACGGATACAAAATTTATGAATAAACATAGTTAAGATCGATGTGCATTTACATATTGGAAAGTAATAATTCAGAGTAAGCTAGGCATTATAATTACCAGTAATCATAACCAAGGTTATGTAAAGGTAATGAAATTAATAAGTGGTCGCGTAATCACTCAACATGATAAAAGAAAACAAATATGTGGACACCAACAAGAATAATAAAGCTAAGGAAGTTGGGGATAGGGTTGGAAAGAAAGATTGAAAATCAAAACTAATGAACGTTATTAGATAAACATCCGACTATCATGTCAAATGAAAGTTAATCACACTTCTCTTCTTTATACATAGGTCAGGTCGGGAACGTTTTATGTCGATCACCTCTGCCAAACGCAATAACCTTGGTGTTTGTTGTCTGTTAATTATTTTGAATGCATTACTTACATTCACCTCGTGTCCACTGTCAAAAAGGTGTCTGACAATAGCACTTGTAAACACTTTACTCTCTTTCAGTCGTACGATCCTAGGAATGTGTTCAGAAACCTAGTACACGCCCTTCTATCTATTATTCCTGTATACTTTCTAACACAAGCACATATAAAATCATAGATGCGATTTCGCGTGACGTCGGAAGGGTGTTGATCTACCTTGGAATGATAATAACAAATACTTGGTATTTGGTATACCTATTCTTCTTACTATTATGATTTTGGTTACGTTTCGAACATTCATATTAATTTCACATACTAAAGTTAGCTAAATATTTGTTATTAATATGATTAACATTTGTAATCTTAAGTTGTATACAACTGATGAGAAACCGTGAAATAGATGGATGAATTCGTTTTATTCTACAAATCTTATTGTTTTTGCTCTGTTAAAATTTATCAAGGAATCTAGTTGTACGAAATATCCTAAAATTGTTATCCTATTTACTGCAAAAATCAATCAATAATGCATTTCTTCTTTTTCTAATTTCCTTTCATTATTTTAGCTTGTCCACCGGGTAGATGGGGTAAATCTTGTACAGAAATATGTGATTGTGAAAATAGTGTTGAATGTCATAAAAATACTGGATTATGTATTTGTTTCCCTGGCTTCATTGGTGATAAATGTGATCAAAGTAAGTGATATATCTTGACATAAGAAAAGTATATATTATTTAAGATTAAAAATCATTATACAGATGGTTTACGTTACTGATCGACATCAGTTGATGTATCATTGAAAAATAGTATATATCAGAGAAATTCATATCAATTGTAAGGATCTACTAAAAATTAAATCAATGTAAAGAGATTCTCTCAATTAGACTATAAATTATTTCACTGATTGAAATCATGAGTCAGTTGAAGCTAGGTCACCATGGAAAACTTGGGAGCACTGGACAACCGTTTCGTCCTAGAGTGGGACTCCTCAGTAGTGCGCAGATTGTAAAGAGCCATTGCATATGATTGGCATATTACGCAAGAATAGCTTTATTAACCATCCTGCTTATCGACTTGAAATTTTGAAAATATAATAATGCGCTATTGCGAATGATATAAACGGTATAAATGAATCAATCATTAAATACTACAATCTCATTCAATAATTGGGACCTAGCCATCCTGGTCGACAGTAACAAATTCCATGATTTCAGTCAGCGAAATTTCTAAAATCTCCGCAAAGCCCCTTCTGATAATAATCATCTGTTTACTAGTGACTGACTTCAAGAGATACTCCTGGAGTTCTAGTGAGATGCCGTTACCAGTGGAGTTCAACCAGGTCTGTTGTGAGATATCAACTCACTGATGACAATAGTGTACGGTGGAACAACTTCGTGCACTGGTCGAAGTTAGACATTAACACCGTTGGATGCCGGCTCAGTGGTCTAGTTGGTTAAGCGCCTGGCGCGAAACCGATAGGTCCTGGATTCGAACCTCGCGGGGTGCGGGATCATGGATGCGCACTTCTGAGGAGTCCCATACTAGGACGAAACGGCCGTTCAGTACTTCCAGGTTTTCCATGGCGATCTAACTTCAATTGACTCATAATTTTAATCAGTGAAATTTCTAAAATCTCCACAAAACCCCTTCTGATATAAATTATTTGTTTGAATAACTCTATTCAGTGTCTTTTAAGAGTTATTGAGTAAAATTTAGAAAAAGTTTTTAATGTCAAATTATGTCAATTGAAAAATCATTGAAATTCGGAAAGTAATGAATAAGTACTTTTCTCTGCTTTGAAAACCAACGGTGTATAGTGTATAACTATAAGCCCATCAGGAATCGAACTCAGACTGTTCAGGTTTCCAGACGCGCTTGATGCCTTCAGATTATTGATTCGGGATTTATCGATTTAATGCTATCGATGATTACTGTTGTATTTTGACATGACTTGATCTTACCAATCTCGACTTCTTCCCTAAAATATATGTGAATAAGACGTTTATGCACTACAATTTAAGCTAGATGTTATAAAAATGAGACTGACTTCATGAACGTATCCAAAAATAAATATTACATTATTTCACTACACAACTAATATCAGTATAGCATGAGAACAGAATATACCAATACTTTGCGAGTCATTTATTACACTGAGATAAAAATGCTAAAATGTTTGTACAGATTTGTGGACGGTATAGTTAACTTATTTGACTGTGAAGAAGAATTATCAATAATGATACTGCTCAATGACCGTCCAAAACTTCTGATTAAATGTAGCTAACAGAAATGTAGACTAATATATCCACTTCGGTGACTGAATATTATAAGTGTCGTTGCGTGGTTATAACTTCAGCTTTCTATCGCGGATCTATTTTGGAGTTATATAATTAAAGAGTCACGGACAAGAATGAGACAGCTATTTAGTAAGTCCTGTTTACCGATGGATTTTCACCTGATCTTCTCATAACTGTAACTTTAGTAAGTTAAAAAAACTGCTCAGTCTATCACCCTGGGAAACATAGCTTGATTAGTCAGTTTCTTACGAGTTAGTTTGCGATTCAATTTCTGGTTTGCATCATTTTTAAAAATTGTGAACCTACTGTTTTTAGTTCGTAAAACTAATAACTAGCTAAACAACATTTGTTGTCCTAAAAGGTGAAAACTATACCATTTTACTTCTGTTCAACTGCATTTCTCATTGGTACTTTGAGCACTTTTGTTAGTTTTGCTTTCTGCTGGATTTTTCGCGCGAATGAATTCGTATATTATTACATCACCTTATAATTCATTTGATTATCTCACAATAGTTGGAGTTCAGAGAATTATTTAAAATATATGCTTTGCATTAAAGTGTGAATATGTTAAATTCTTTTTTTTTCAAATAATCTGTTATTACAGAATGTGAAAAAGGGAAATACGGACTTAATTGTACAGAAACATGTGCTTGTGTACACGGTACTTGTGATCATCGTTCCGGAGCATGTGAATGTGAACCTGGTTGGAGAAATATGCTGTGTAATAAACCATGTGCACCAGGATTTTATGGTTCTGATTGCCAACATAGATGTTTATGTACAAATGGTGCTGAATGTGATCCTGTTACCGGTAACTGTGAATGTAATGAAGGTAAATATAAATTAGAGAATAATTCTTAAGTGTTTATTCGACCTCAACTTCATTTGTATACCGGCTCAGTTTATTTTTACTAAAATATTCCTCAAACGAATGGAACTGTTTCCTTTTTTTTCTAATCAATCTCAACATTTTTTTAAATGAATCGAGAATATGAACATTCTACAACTTTATTTCAGAAACAGCTAATAAACAAAAAGACACAGAGTATCTCTGATTATTTAAAAACCCTTACTTATTATAGAAACCTGATAATTTACTAAAGTAAAAAGAATCAACATGTATTTTATACAATTTACATTACAATAATTAAACATCCCAAATATATCTACATTCGTATTATGCCACCATATTACGATACAACAGACTTTATCATTAATACATAGATAAAACTTCTAGTTAATTACTCAAAAAGATGTTACTGTTGGTTCGTATTACCTTTTGAATTCTGTGTCAACATTTAAAATTCACTATTATCAGCGTGATTGGTTCAACAGTGCAGTATAGTTTATATATATATATATATATTAGAATAAACCAGTGAACTAAGTATCTAAGTGAACTAAAAACCACAAGTTAGTTAAAGGTCAGACTATAACGACATCAGTGAAAGGCTACATAAATCAGTAAACAAGATTGAATGAGGTTTCTTTTGGATAGTTAAACAAACATTCAGAACAATAAACAAGTAGAAACTTCTAGTCAGTAAAATTTAAAACTTGTTTTAATGCTTCTACTTTCCAACTTCGATGTTTCTAAGATGATTCTTTGCTTGTATTAGGTTAATATCAAGAGCTTTCATCAGTAAAACCTGACACGATAATTATCCATTCGTAAAACATAAACCTCTTTTCTTTTTTATGTCCGTTTTATTAGGTTGGTATGGACCAGCATGTGACCAACCTTGCTCTGAAGGAACATACGGTAAAAACTGTGTCAAGAAATGCAACTGCGCAGATGTTCCAGGTGTAAGCTGTGATAAGGTCACAGGAAGATGTATTTGCCCACCGGGACGTACCGGTAACAGGTGTTCTGAATTATGTCCAAGTGGATTTTGGGGGGAAGAGTGTTCGAGAACTTGTGCGTGCCTACGTGGAGCTACTTGTGATCCCATAACTGGCAAGTGTCGTTGCGGTTCAGGTTGGTATGGTGAAGCTTGTGAGCTGCCATGCCCAAGTGGCCACTGGGGCGAAAGCTGTTCTGTTCCATGTCAGTGTTCAGCAAATACTCGGAACCCAGAAGGAGGTGAATGTGACCGGTTTACTGGAGAGTGCCGATGCCCACAAGGTTTTACTGGACCAAGGTGTCAAGATAGTGAGTGTTTTTCAGTAATAATTCAATTGAATTGTGTCCATTCATGGTAAGTAGTTACATTGATCACTTTTTTTCTTCTCTCAGAGTGCCCACCTGGGCGTTACGGATCAGATTGTAAACTGAGTTGTCCATGTCAAAAACCGGGTTCTAGATGTGATCCTGTGACTGGAGCTTGTGAATGTCCACCTGGTTGGTTCGGAGAAACTTGTGAAAGACCATGTTTATTGGGATTCTATGGAACAAACTGTAAGCAAAGGTAAACGTTTCATTTCATTTGTTTAGACAACAAAATGTACCAAGAGACTTTTATGTGCATAATGACAAAATCTGCCTACTTTTACAAAAACGTAGAAAACACATCGACTTCTAGTTGTTTGTGAATAGGGAATGATTACAATTTCAATTAAAGTGTACATCCTAATTTTGTCTAAATTAATTAAGACAACTGAATGTGAAATCCAACAAGACTATAAATTATGTCAATTTTTACTTGAGACACGGTTACAGATTGGTAATAAAAGGTGAAACTACCTTTTTTAGCACTAATAGAATAAACAAACTTAAACGAAAAATAAATAAAATCGCCATGATAAACTTATTGAAAGATCCAACCAGAAAATAGCAAAATATAAACGTCACATTCACTAACATCTATCCAAATGACTAAATCTGGTCAACTAAAGGATGTTTTTTTTCAAAAAACCATGTCAACTGTTAGTTACCTTACTATCGAATATACTGATTATTAGAATTTCTTCATCACGCAACAGTTAGGGTTAGGCGGTAAATTTTCCAGTTATACACAGTATAAATAATTAAAATATTACTAAGTAGTTGATTTGTTATATATCTTAGATCTGCCTTGTTGATTAAGTTATCTTATCATATAGGAATAGACCATTAATGAAATGCTAATTTATTCAGACAGTTTGATATGTGTTGTTGCTAACAGCAGTGATTAGGATACGATTAAAGTGAAATGAAATGAAAATCTTACACGAAATTCTATTATGATCTGATACACATTGACAAGTCAAAAGTTAATCTATAAGAATCGACACTCCCGTTAATTAATAAAATTGTTTGGGACTTATGATATGATTATCTAACATTATATGTTTCAAACGAGATCATGAATCCATCAATGTTAGATCACATTTGAAAACTTGGAAGCACTGGACGGCCGTTTAGTTCCAGTATTTGACTTCCCAGAAGTGTGCATCCACGATCCTGCACGCAAGATTCGGACCCGTGACCTTCGGTCTTGCACGCAAACGCTTATCCTCCAGACAGCTGAACCGCTATTCGATAGTTTTAATGTCTGACTTCAACTAATCTGCAACGTCGCTCAAACTGCCGAGGATTTTACTACTGGGACGAAACGGCCGTCCAGTGCTACCAGGTTTTCTGATCGGTTTGTAATCCCAATCAAAACAAAACAATCTCCACAGCCCTATACTGATAATAATATGTTAATCGAATTTCGTTGCATGTAAAATTCAGTGTTCATTAGACTAATTTGTGATTTGGAGTCACGAAATCAACTTTTATATTGAATCACGGACCAAAGTAATGTATAGAAACTCGTGTTTAATGTGTTTATTCGTCAACAATTCAGAGGATATAAATTTTACAAGTCTCATTCATATAAGTTAATTTTATTTGTGCATCAGTTCTCAAGTTTATTTTTTGTATCAAACGGGGAAAAATAATTAAGATATTTAATCTTATGGCTGTTACTTCTTTTCAATTATACGATATAGTTGACCCCACTAATCGGTTTACTGAAATTCAATAAAATTTCATCACTTAAAGGTTATTGTAAATTAATGTAGTTCGTACAAAACTTTATATCTAAATAATCTGACTTTCATTATTGTAATAACTGGTTTCTAATTGATGATTGATACTTAATGCCTTAAATAATCCGGTGAAAGTCATTCTGTTTCACAAAATTGAAAGCAGATAGAATATAACAAAATAGATTTAACTAAAATTCAACTTTCTCATACTGTAGGCTTTTTGACTTTGTACTTCCATTTTCAATACTAATTGAAACTTTGTTGTATTTTGTTCCTCTAACTGAAACCACTACATCATACTTCAAGTGAGCGCATTTTTATATTGTTATATCCTCTAGACTAATAGTGCTTCGTTAAAACAGTTACTACTTTCATTGTCTATGAATGTATATTCATTATTACTGTGAATGTTATGAATACACATTTTATTCAAGTGAATCCATGTTTTGTATACATAATCTTAATGCTTTCACTATGATAAAATTCATTATCCTGGAGTGTTTTTTTTGTATGAAAATTAAGACATTTCTTATAGTTGGTAATGATTAATGATTACAAAACGTTGCCAACTCTCATTTGATTAATGACATTGTTGTAACAGCTGAAATTCATGTTTATTTGCCTTATAACTGACTACTAAATTGAATAAATGTTAGTTTCCAATGTTTTACTGAAACTTTTGTTTTGTTTTTTTCATATGAAATATCTGAAAAGATGTTTGAGAATGTTTATGGAAATGAATAAAGATTTTGTTGGTTGACTAATTAAAAAATACACAATAGTGAAATTTTCATTTCATATCCCATTAAAGTTTGTTTCCGATTAAATGGATTCAAGATTTATGGGTGTCAATATAAGTGTTTTTAGCATTGGAGAAATGAATTCCAGTGATTTAATTTATCTGTGATACTTTTCAAGGAAACTTTGATCAAACAAATAAAAATACAGACTAAATAATTTAAGATTCTTAGTTATCTGTTTGATGGAATTGGAATTCTTTGTAATGAATGGTTTTTCTTAATTTTTATGGTATTACACTACTTTGATTCCCAAGTAGTAGTATAGTGAACAGAATACGGGTGGGGGACAATCGGATGTATTTAGCGCAAAATAACAGAGTTACTCGGTAAAATAGAAAAGCAATATAACAAATCGTTAATTCGCAAAATATCAACGCATCATATAAACCTGGACTGTTCCTGTTGCAAACATCGATCCATTGTCTCACATTTCATTGTCCATGCGTTTTCGTATAAATTGCATTGTGTTCCCGTTCTTCCTTTCTTGATCTTCCCCCATCTTCTGCTGCCAGACATTGCGCTTTTAATTCGCGTCATATACTACTTACATCGATATAAGTAGCACGCACCACAGTAGTAATATGAACAAGTCTTAATAACTATAATAAGAGCAGAACGACTAAATAATATCCCCAATTCTGGTAAACGTGTATTATCCTCGATCATAAGCAATTTACTGATGTAATATGTAAGTTCAATGTTATAAGAGTAACTGGTAACTTCAAGGAAAAACGTTTCTCCTATAAAAGAACAACATTTATGAACAAAACTAGTCTTTTCGATAATGAAATAGGTAGTAAAATAAATACCTCCACAAAGTTGTATAAAAAAAATTCTTATACGGTTGTACACTAAAAAAACAAATATTAAACCAACTTTTAGGTGTTCTTGTCCATCTGGTCAACCATGTCATCATGAAACAGGTCTGTGTAGTTGTCCAGCAGGAAAGTATGGACCACAATGTGAAGATACATGTCCAGAAGGACGTTGGGGTGAGGACTGTCAACATATATGTGACTGTCATTTAAAGAATAATAATATGTTATGTGATCCAATCCATGGAATTTGTTACTGTCGACCAGGATGGCTAGGTCCCAATTGCATAAGCAGTAAGTCATTATGTTAAATGAGATTGTAGTATTTATTGGTTGATTCATTTACACCATTTATATCATTTGCAATAGTGCATTATTATATTTTCAAAATTTCAAGTCAAGCTATTCTTCTGCAATATGCCAATCATATGCAATGGCTCTTTACAATCTGCGCACTACTGAGGAGTCCCACTCTAGGACGAAACGGTTGTCCAGTGCTTCCAGGTTTCCCATGGTGGTCAAGCTTCAACCGACTCATGATTTCAACTATTGATATAACTTAACGTTCCAATAATAACAAGTTTATAAAAGTAAATAATATTTAGACAATATCAAGTCAAAACAGACATACTTTGGTCTCACATAAAATTCCTTCTATTATCAATTAGACTTATAATTTCGATAGATATCAACTATATGAATTGAAAATTTGCTGTACTTTATTTTCAAGTACTTGTGTTTTATAAAAATCCTTATTTTACCAAATTATCAGTCATAACATTAAAAAAAATAGTTATTTACGTTTATATGGACTATTATTAAAGTAAATCGATAGTTCGAGAACCGTGAAATATCATGATAATATGCGAAATGTAATCACATTCTTACGGTTGTTCGCAACTTATCTTGTGTACGTTAGCCAATTGCAAATAAATCATTCTCTTGGACTTTTTGTGAGTTCAACCGATCTTATTGTAATAGTGACCCTTATCTCACGAGATATTCAACTTTTAAAATGATGTAATTAACTAATTGACAATCCTTAGAAAATAATAAGACGTATAACAATAGTTAAAAGGTCATCTGGAAGCTTACAATAAAGAGAGTATAGAAGTACAATGAAAATATAGATAACAATAGTCCGAAAAATATTTCTGAAAGTTCCAACTGTCGCAATGTGCGTCTCGTTATAGCAGGTTTTATGGACAACAGTTATCTGACATAACTGTTTAAATGTTTAATGAAATAAAGGAAATACTTCCGTGTTGGATACTCTTAACTGTCATATTTGCTTTTTACGACTTTGTCTCTCCCAATTAGTCACTACACTAACTTTCTAATGAAAAATACATGGCTATATAGGGCTTGATTTAGGCGACAAAAACTCGAGGAAGACAGGCCAATGGCCATATCTTAGTACACTGATTTTGTGGACTATTAGTAACTTACTGATAACTAGGCAGGATTTACATAAACCCTAAGTGAGGCACTGATAGGTCAGTGACTAAACATAAGAATCCCATTAACTGGTTTCATAAGGCCAAAAATGTCACAACTATAATGACTGATTGTCGAATAATACGTTTGACCTTTTTATTGAGGTCAACTTCACCGAATTACGACCCAATAAATCCAAGCTACATATTGCCTCCCCTTTGATATTTTCACAATTTAAGTATTGATGTTGAAGGCGATAGACGAGTTCTAAGTTTGCATAGATTACTCAGTGTCATTTTTATTCCATGATGACACATTAACCTTGGCACATAATTCAAACTAGAACAATTAAGTAACCTATGCTAAAATGCAAAAGCCGTTCTCATAAGATTTTAGAATGGCACTTAATTAGATTTGTTACATTTACTGAAGATGAACTTTTTTAATTTTCTACCCTATTAATACAAAGATTTATGTCGTGTTCAACTGACTGGTATGCTGTTGCAATTTACTTATTATTGGTACAGTGTTTGTCGTCAAAAAAAGTGTTTATTTTCGTGTTTACTGACATTATTTTAGAATTGAACATGTGAGGGATTGCCATCTCGTTTTTTCTGTCTCGTTCAATTTCTAGGATGTCCAGCTGGATATTTTGGTATAAACTGTCAACATGAGTGTAAATGTGAAAATAATGGAGTGTGTCATCCTGACAATGGAACATGTATTTGTCAAGCTGGTAAATATTTATTCAAGTGTTTTATATTTGAATTGGTTATTTGAATCTTCCCACTGGTGTTTAGGACTGCAATTATTCAGTCTCTTTCTGATATATGTCCATCTTGTGAGGATTGCCTCAATACTACCATTAAGTTACAAGGATTATAAGCAGAGATGGATTGTATTCAACTGATGAGTCCCAAAATGAACAAAACCCGCGTCTTTGGTTCCACCCGTAGCTACCATCTATTCATACATTTTATTTATTAGCATTTTAAATATCGAAATAGTAAAGCATAACAACTTAGCTGACACAATTATTTACCGTGATTATGATTGTTAATGTAATTTCCAACTTCGGTGTTATTATGACTGCAACTATTATAATTTAAAAAACAACTGGACAATAGTCGAACAATTTCAGTTACTAATACTGAGTTCATTTTCGAAAGCATAATTATTCCCGAAATAAAGATGTCTGTTTTCCCTGCAGTTGAATAAACTCATCATGAATCATCAACACACCAAAACAACAAAGTTAAATTAAACAATGTATGTACATAAAAGAACAAAATGTGTAACAGTCAACTCGTTTTGCTGTTAACTGCTCAAACAAATACAACAACTGGATTGGTTGATTCATTACTATATTCTACTATATTTCTAGTATTATACATACCATTCCCAAGAAGTTGTCAACTTAGGTATGGTATTTTGTGGCACTCAACAAGAAAGTTTTTCTTTAAGTCTAATCAAAACCTTTTTCCTTTAACGACAGAAACCTATCTCATCCAGTACTACAGTTGGAATCATTACCACTAAATACTCATCTTCTTATCACTTTACCATAAAACTCGATTATTTCAATAGATCACCTATCTAGTGATGACCACTGTTCTGCTCTCTATGAATTGATTTACTGTTTACCAACTAGTTATTATTTCATTCAGTTTAAGGAATCAAAAGCGAGTCATCTATTAACTAGAAAGTACTTTTATTTGAATTATAATTAATGTATAGATTGCCATTCCACAACTGTTAGAAAATTCTACATTCACAAAAAAATATTACACAATACTCAGTTAAACTGTTTATTAGTTCATTATATTATGTAGTGCATTATGCATCAGTTTTTTATATTTTTACAGGGTATTATGGTGAACGTTGTCAACTCAATTGTCCTCCTGGTTTTTATGGTTTACAGTGTAAACAAAAATGTGGATGTATTCATGGTGAAGCATGTAATGAAGTAACTGGTGAATGTTACTGTTCAGCTGGTTACCATGGGAAAAAATGTGAACAAAGTAGGTGATTTTTTATTGTCATTTTGCACAGCAATGGTTTTTATGTCATATAAAATAACTATTATAATTTACCTCAAACTATCAGTGTTTCCAAAAATATGTTGGTCAATAAGTACAATGTTTCATCTGACACAGTTGATTCAAAATCATAGATTTATATGTCACTCTTTTGAGGGCTTATCAGTCAATTACACTTTCAGTCTCCATCATAACTACTATATATATATATATATATTTCTGTTTATAAATAGTTCATTTTAATCAATGTGGAACTTTACATAAAGAAAGAGGATAGAAAGACCATTTACCATTAATAATCACTAACATAAAAAGTTATTTAAAAAGATTTAAATGAGACTATTTTATTACCAAAACTTATAGTTCTCAGTAAGATTCTGTTTGAAACTTTTCTCATATAATTACACATGATCTATGTACCTACTAATTCTTACCAACAGTAAATTCGGAAGAGAAAATTACATAGAGATGATGTCATCAAATCTATTTTGTACAGTTGTAGAAAATAAAGTAAAAAGTCCGTATATCTACTTATTCCATGAGTAGAACTCTAGTGACAATTCAGATTTCAACATCATATTTGTAATTTTATATTAATAATTAATGCTTTTTTTAAATATAACTTTTCAGCTTGTCTTCCTGGTACATATGGACCACAATGTTCATTAATTTGTCCTGTATGTCATACTCGAATTGCAGATTCAAATACACTGGATAGTTTATTACTTTCAGATACCTCATCAATCCCAGATAATACATTTCATTCATCACAATATCATTCAGAAGAAGTAATGAAAAATACTAAAGTAGCTATATTGAGACGTTTAAATCAGAATCAACATAATCCTACTTGCCATCCTCAAACTGGACAATGTCCATGTCCACCAGGTTCGGAAGGTAAAGATTGTAGTACACCATGTCCGAAAGATCGGTTTGGACCTGACTGTGCTCAGGTAAGAGTGTTGCTTTAATAAAGTAAAGGACATTCATGAAAGCATTTAATAAAACTAAGTAATTCTCATTGAAACAATTCGGGAACTTGTTATGGCCCACAACTTTCCATCTTATTGTTAACTAGTAACCAGCTGGATCTCAAAGCGATCGTCTTTACAAATGCTTATAGAGTACACTAATGTATCACTTCCTATCCTGGAAAATCCAGTTATTTTTCGTCTGGCTTAAAATTCTAGGACTTGTTACTCACGAAAGTGAATTTCAAATTACAAGTTAATCAGTTACCTGACTTTGAAGAACTATACGACAATTACCATAGTAATCATTCTTTGATTCTTTCTTTCATACCGTTTGAAGTGATTATTTTCTTAGAAAATAGTTCTACATGTAGTAGAGATCTCATTATTTTAAGGGTTCCATTTAGTTTATACTTCGTGTAACAGCTGCCTTAATTACACAAGCGGTGAGCTATCTGACTACTTTACAGTAGTAAAATAATAATTTCAGTCAGAAGCTATCGATATTGCACAGCGGTAACAAGAAAAACAAACTGAAGACAATAGTCGTATAGAAAAGTTATATAACTCACAAGGATTTTATTATGATTGTAGAGATCGTGATTAAGTACTAATAATGTTAATAATTAGTGAAAAAACACATACATAGCTGTATCATAAAATAGAACCAGACACATCAACGTTGATACTCAATTTGTTGCATACCGTAGGACTTCAAAGAACCAATTTTCCTATTTCTGTCATAGACTTCTATTTTAGAAATAAAAATGATGGATGTTTTAGAGAGATGGGCACATTCTTGTTTATAATAAACATGACTTATGAGTACCAATATCAGGCAAGAATTTTTGTAAACCTTTTTGTAAGGTATAGCGTGTCGAATATGACACTAATAAAAATTATAAAATTCCTACAAAACTGTACACTTCAAGAGTGTTTTTTTCTCTAAGAGTATTTAGGCATGATGCATTGTTCACGTTTTCAACTACTTACCAAAAAATGAATTCATATGATGTAATTAAACAAATATTAATTCTATTGTAGTGAACGATAACAATAGTGGGGAGAATTGAATGTATTCTTTACAACATTACAAAATATCTTAATAAAATCTAAGAACCACACAATAAATACTTCATTTACAAAATGTTCATTAATTGTGTCAGACTTCATTGTTCCTGCATTTCCATACCAATAACTTTCTGTTCCCATTCTTTACTCCTTGATCTTCTCGACCTTCTGCTGCCAGACATTCTATTCCTGACTAGCGTTATATACTACTTATGTAGGCATAAGTAGCACACACTACACTAATATTATTTCTCGTAGAATTATATCAAATAGTAATTAGATTGATTACCGCTTTATTTCGATATTTTCTTCTCATTTTCCTTAATTCATAAATCATGAGTCCATGAGGTGGAAAGTAAAATTATACAAAAATACATTTATCATTAAACTAATCACAATCAACAATAGAGAGTATAATACAAAGCAATGATTCTCACTGATTGATCGACTGACTTGATAATTCATTAATCATTGATTAACAAATGTTCAACAACTTTCATATCTCCTTAAATAACTTTATGTTAATAACAATTTATTCTTGAGTATGATAAGTAATTAGTTAGTTGAGATTCAAACGAAATGTAATAAAATATAAAATTATCTTTCTTAATTGTTAGAATAAAAAGTATTTGATGTTTGTAAAGCGATAATGTTATCATTAAAGGTATTCGGATTTTATAAAGTCAACTATACATGATCATAATTTAATTGAATCCCTAATACAACACATTTTCTCAAACTTAATTCTAGAAAAGAGTATCAGCATAAAGATCCAAATCTATGCTTACTTAGTAGTCCTTTTTTTTATTTATCACGTAGGCCAAAAACTTCCTATATTTATTGTAATAGTTCCATGTGATTCACTCTAGACAATGTTTTCTTCATATTAGATTAACGTTATCTAGACACGTTTCAGTCTTTCATAATGATAAATAGTTTCCATTGTTTAAATAATGAACTAATTTTGGTTAGACCAAAATTGCAAACTAGATTATACTAGACAGCTGTCTCGTTTTACTACGGGATTCATTATCAATATGTATCCATGACTTTGTCACAGTGGATCCAACACATTACTTTTGGTCTCACCGGCGACCCCTTAACCTCTAGATCCCTGAAACAGAATCCAGTTGTCTACATTTGCTTGTGTGACTAAATGTATAGATGTATACGCGTGCTTTTAGTTAGCTTGTAAATCATAATTTTACGTAGTCTGTATAATCTGGGTATATAAACGATCGGGTTCTTCAATTCACTTTTCCTTGTATATGCGTATGTGTGTATGTATGAAGTAGTAATAGTAGCAGTACGAAGAATTCTATGATTCCATTTCATTATTTTTCTAATTTCAATTGATTCCTCTTTATGTAAACAAAATCTATTAATTCCTTGTTAATTATAATTATTTCACATCTACTACTGTTGTTTCTCATCTGTCTTACTTTTATTTGCAATGTTATCCATATATACATTGTCCATCGGTCATTTAAGATGTGTTATACGATTATATATTCGATTATTAAGATATGTATTACATGCCCCGGCTACATTTTCGATTTAGTTCCTCATGGCCGAATTGTAAATTGTTTTTCGCAAGATATTGCAACATTGGATAATCCAGTATTGGTTTCACTCAGTAGTACATTGAATTGTGTTCTAACGTGTTTCTTGACTCTATGTCTTGCTTGTACACTTAATGTTTTCATGATTATTCCTAATTGTTTATTAACAATTTTCTATTTATATATTCATATATTTATATGTTACTACATCTAGACAACTGAAACGTTTAGAATCGATTAGTTTGTCATCAATATTTTCACATTTCTCAGAAACCTTATCTGGTGTCGATAGTATACGAGCGTATAAATTAATTTCAACCAGTTCATAATATTATATTACACAACATCTATTGATTAAAATAAACTCTTATATATATAAATATACTTCAGTTTCATAATGTAAGTAAATAAAGGAAGGAACTCAATAAAGAATTATTGTAGCACAGTATATATGAATGCAACTAAAATGCATTTTAGAACAAATTGAAGTCGCAGGATAACATTCAGATAATCGGTTAAGAAGAAAACAATTCTTCTACAAATAATTCCATTTATAAATTGTTATAATGAATTACTAATAATAGTTATATGGTGTACTATACCAATCTCAAGTTGTGCATGAATTAATGACATATTAAAAGAAATGTTTAGATGAAAACTATTTGGTGATCTAGGTCGGCTAAGTGATCTAGAGGTTAGATATTCGCGCGCGACACTGATAGGTTTTGGGTTCGAAGCGGGATCGTGGATGCGCACTGCTGAGGAGTCCCACAATTGAACGAAATGGCCGTTCAGTGCTTCCAGGTTTTCTATGGTGGTCTAGCTTCACTTGATTCATGATCTTAACTAATAAAATTACTATAATATCTACAGAAACCCCTTCAAGTTTAAAATCAGTTGAAAAATTTTTTATTTGCAAGTAAAAAAAGTAATAACATTTGGATAATAAAACTTGTCTTTTTGTTCAAAAGACAATTAAAAAACACTTGGTTTCATAGGAGTCCGTAAAAATAATCTGTCAAACTTATTTTGATGGAGTTTTGTTCTCTGAGCTGGATGGTTTGGTCGTGAAGCTTTCATCGTTCTTCTAAACAACATCATCAGCACAAACTTCTGATAGAAGTCTATCTGAAGAACGATGAAAGCTTCACGACCAAACCATCTAGCTCAGAGAACAAAACTCCATCAAAATCATCCACCTGAGCTACAAATCTTCTCCACCATGTCAAACTTATTGTCATGTAAAGTTGACAAATAACTGAACTGATAAAAATTATGTAATTTTCATAAACAGATTTTTGAAATATGTTTAAACGATTAATGAAATGGATTTGTCTAACTCATTTCCATACTTTCTACACTGCTTTATTTAAGTTCATATGTGAACAATTTGTTAATCCAACTTAATCAGTTTATATTGTTCTAAACTGGGATAAACTTAGTCATAGTGAAGTGTAGATGTTAATTCATTCAGCTTAGTTCTTATAGGAAAATAAGTTCCACATTCAGACATAATTTTCAATCGGGATATTTGAAAACACAAATTGAAAATGTTTAGTTTCCTCCAGAAAAACTCCATGTTCAGACATATCTAAATCAGAAATCGCACTATACGTGACTTAGATTACCTTTAGTGAGTCATTTATACAAAACTGTTGAATATGAAAAGAGGTTGTACGAGATGATAATCAACTAATATTTCCTTATGTGATTTGCTCTATTACTGAAAAGTCTATTTAATCTCAGAAGTGAATAGATGAAGATTCACTTTATTTGAACTCTACATTTTCTATCCCAAACTATTTTTACTCCTACTACTTATGGATTCTATATATTGTTATCATTGAATAGAACCTTTAAAAAAGCAGTTACGATTATATCGTCACTATGCAAGCATCAATATAAGTCCCGTTCACTTTTATTTTAATATCAAATCGGTAAAATACATAACAAATTTGATTATTTTTACCTTTGTACCGATAATCTGACACTACTTTGATTAATTAATTATTGTATATTCATCACTTTATTCTATTGGTGGTCAAAAGATTGTTTATTTGATCATTTCTATGTGTTTACAAAACGCTCAGTTAACATATTAAGTATATTTAAACATATAGACGATGATATGATTATCATCTTATCAATCATTTCATTCTCCTATCTATAATCTAGGTCATAGTGAACAATATTATCATAAAGTATGAAGTTCGACCACAAGTTTTAAGGTGATAGTCAATCATATATTCATTTAGATGAACATTGATTATTTCTGACCTACTTCGTTGTAATGAGAATGTTCTCTTAACTTTCTGTCTCAAGTATTCAATCTGAATAAACCATAAACTTCATTTCTATGATACTGTTCAATATGTCATACAGTCTGAAACATTTTTTTCCTATTCAGTAAACTGTAGATTAATTTAAGATTATCATAATATAGGGTAATAAGAATGATAGTAAAACCAACCTACAGAAATAAGTAACATTAGTTTGAATACCTTGTGGTTAAATAATTAACAAATTTTTTTTATTCCGTCATATATTATTCTCCTGCTATGAAATTATAAGATATTACGTATTTCGATTTTATAGTAGTTATCAATGAATGCTTTCTAATTCTATAATCTGTTGATGTAGGTATGTACATGTCAAAATGGAGCAACATGTTCTTCTATCACTGGCACTTGCAATTGTCGACCAGGATTTTATGGACCATTATGTCAACACATATGTCCACCTGGAAGATGGGGAGTGGGATGTGCTTCTGTGTGTGATTGTTATAATTCACAACCATTTGGTTGTGATCCTAAAACCGGGAGATGTAGATGTAAACCAGGTTATACTGGTGAACGTTGTGAAGAAGGTAAGTCTCATAAAACATAATTCCTCCAAGAAATCTATGAACACAGTCACTAATACTAGGAAGTCGTTTTATTTTTAATTGACTTGGACTATCGAGTATTAGTACTCATTAAGGATGATCCCTATTCATCGGGAGATTCAACAAAAATACATGAAATTTCTCAACATTCATTGAAGGTATTATACTTAATTAGAGATTTCTTATTCGGGATTCGGAAAACTCTAAGAACATCAGAGAATTCCTTAAAGTATGTCGTTCAGATTAATTAGCAATCAATAGACATATGGTCACAGATCTAGCCTATGAACCCACAAGGAAGAAGTCAATCAGTCGCAAGGTCAGAGGTCGACTGACAAAGAAATTTAACGTCAGTAAGGTTTGTGATAACATTGAGGTCTGCGAAGACAGCCAACCGCAAAGAAGGCCGTTCAAGCAAACTGAAATACCACTCGTAGAATAATTGAAAAGATCACGTCTACATGAATTAGGAGTTATACATAATGTCCGGAGTGACAAAATGTTTCATAACTAGATCGTCTAGCTTAGAGAACATCATACCACCATTATTACGAAGCGTAAATGTCAATACTAAATTAACAGAATGACTCTTCAGTTTTTCAACCTAAAAAAACAGTTGCATTGAGATTTTAATTTTACTTAGCTTATGAGCATTTGTATAATCTAGGATCCACAAAACAATCATTTGACTACTCAGATTGTTTGGTTTATGATCCAAGTAGGAGAAGCATTTTATTTTCATAGTCAGGTATAATTTGTTTTAGTACTGTATCTTTTCTAATTATTGTTTCTTTTATTTCCTTATTGATTTTCTTTTGTTAATAAAAGCTTTATCTAAACAAAATAAAATGCCAAACATCGCGAGTACTTGATTACTAGTCTGAGGTTGAAGCAGTCCGTTTAATTTAAAAGATTACAACTGACTTCTCAGCAACATACTAACCAAGGTTATTGGTTTTTAGAAACATTTTTGATGTCACACATTTGCATTTGTGCTCATATTTAACCTCAAACTCGGCACCGCTTGCTGCAATTACTGGAATTTTAGCCAGTTAAATAATGAGTTAGATAAAGTATTGATCATGAATTCGATACTGACTATTATTAAAAGTTTACCCCCCCCCCTTACTTAAGGTTTTATGAAGCCAAATTTACTGACTTTCTATTCAGAGCCTTCGCTCCTATATTCAATTGCATTTCCATAGCACTCCTTCCTTTCAACAATAACTTTGGTTTGATGAACTAATGCTTTCCAAAATACTGACACTAGTCACACTAATCATCTACAGAAACCTGGTAAATTAATTGATAATCACATAGTTTTCATTAGTCATGTAAACAACAAAATAATTTCTAAATCTATATTCACAAACTATACAAATGTTGTGCTATGCATTAATACATGTACACATTTTTTGTTGCTGATAAATAGGGTAAAATAATAAAAATACTACCAATGTATGGTGTATCTAGCCTCTCTGATTGGCCAATCGATTTTATAATTCGATTTTTCACGTACCCTTCAATAGAAAATAAATTCCATTTATTATTAGGATAAACAAAATATGTTACTGAAAAATTTTGAACAGTAGAAAATTGTTTAAAACTAGTATGTACATTAGTTGAAAACGAATATAAATAACTAATTTTTTTCCAGAATTATAGTTATTTGAAGGTAGTGTTGATCAACGATGTATATGATTTGTGTCAATAATTTCCGGTCTACTCGAGTTGAACGGGAACCATGTGACCTCCCAGCTCACGTCGATGTTACCCCTTGGGGTTAATACATCACCTGGATTATACTGACGTGATAACCAGGTGACTGGCCAAAATGAATACTCCTAATAGACTACAGAAAATGGTATTATCAACGGTTAGCAGAAGTACAAGACTGAACAAGTACCACATGCTCCTATCCATGGCATCCAACTGATTCCTACTCACCGGTTGTCCTTGACCTAGGAAAGAGTAGGCAAACTCATCGACACTCAATGACCTTCCTGGTGAATGATCTGACTAGGGCCCACTGACATTTCACAGGCACTGCAGTAGCACTAACTCTAACATTCATTACAAAATCATTTAAAAGCAAAAACTAGTTCAGAATTTCCTCAGTATTGCATACTCATGACCCCATATTTGATCGGATTTATGAACTTCAATTCACTTAGTCATCAGGATATAATCCATCGGCTGAATCAGAATAAGTTGATTAACATTTTTGACCATAATCAATTATTGATATTATAGTTGCCTATCATCAACAAGTAGCATTGATCAATTAGTGTCTCACTAGTAAACTCAGTTAACGCAACGAATCATAACTTTTAACTAGATGTTTAGAAACTTTTCTCTTGAAACTATTCACCAGCAATAATGTAATTGCCAATATTTGCAAAGGTGTTTGATGGGTGCATACATTTCGAAAATACTTTTCATCATAAACAAGTACCAGATCTTCTACTGCCGAAATCAGAGGATTGCAAAAACATCTGTTCCTTCTTAGTCTATGACTCCTTAACAATGTACACTTGACGACCTCAGACAAGATCAAGTTCAAAATTTTATGGTTTCACAAACAACATGATATTTTATTTAGTTTTCTCCTCTATTTATGATAAACGTCTGTCGCTGGCAGAAATTCTGCTAAGAACCAGTAATTTATTATATAATATCTTATATAATGTTCTTGTTGTTATAATTTTGGTTTATTAAACTTAGGGAATAAAAATTAGGTTATACTAAATACATTCTATAACTTAGTCCAAGTTTTTTAATAGACACTAGATAAACCTCAGTCATACTTTTTCTGAATTGATATACGCTTACCTTTCTAAGATAAATAAAATCCACCTTTATCAAAACTAAGTTAAAACTATCGAAGAGCTCAAACTTAAATTTCCTGATACTACTGATAATAATAATTTTTCTATAAGTATGGTCTATAGAAATTTTATACTTTGATTTTTTTTCTTACCTTACTTTTAAAAATATAAATAATCAGTTTGTCCTCGTGGTTATTTTGGGGAAATGTGTGCACAAGCTTGTCAACATTGTGAAGAGTGTCATTTCGAAACTGGACAGTGTCTATGCCCTTTGGGACATTATGGAGAAACATGCGGCAGTAGTAAGCAATATCCGCATACTTCAAAGGTTAACGAAACAGAATTTTGGTGGATATAACACGTTGATCACAACATTTTTTTTTCATTAAATAGGAATAAATATTACTGTTTCTTTTAAGCATGTTTATGTTTGTGTCATGTCTATTGTGAAGATAGTTACAATCATTTATCTTCTTACACAAAGATTGGATTAAGAGGAATGATAGATCTATATTTAAATAACTGATTTTGATATGATGAACTATGCACGACTGAGTACTTATTGACTCAGTCCAGTATTCAACACCTAAATTTTATTGATATGGGCTTTGAACAATCCCTCTTAATTAAACCGTCATTATTCAGTTAATCCAACAACTTATGATGACTGAAGTCAAATCCAAATAATTTGTTCATTTAATTGTTTCAAACTACTGTAAACTGCCAACAACCATATAGCAATGAAAGCCTGCATGAGTGGCAACACGGTAGATCAATGGACAATGTAGAATAATATATTGTTTAGAAGATTTGCACAGTTAATAGTCACAATTGATTGATCACTGGGTGGTGATCAATGTCATGCTTGTCTAGTCCTTATTAGTGCAGATCGAATGCTATCGATCATGTTGCAATGTGGCCACCAGTCTAGGTGACTCGACACTGCGGGCACTATGCATTGAGATTTAGATTATAACGTCTCTGACTGTGAAGCTGGGTGACATGAGATCGAATCCGCCAGGGAGCACCAGTTCCCTCAAGATTACAGGTACACCTTGCTGACGAGTGCCAAGTAGCACGAAACCCGGATCCAGGGTTTCCTGTCGACTACCTCCAACCACCATCTAAATCTCAACAGTTAATAGTCCCACCAACTATTAATACATGTCTATAGAAGACCAGATGAAATATTTGTAAATACATAGTGTTTAATTTATCCGAATAAAAAACAATGATAGCAATAAAGTGAATGACTTGAGCTCGATCAAACGCATTATTTTAAAAAAAATCAGCTACTAACCTGAACAATATTAATTTCGACTAAGTCATTCTAATGGGCATTAAACAGATCAAACTGGAAGATTATGCTGCTTGAATACAGTCATACTTAGCGTAGAACCTGGCGTACACGAACTTAAGCCCAATTTACCATTCTAGGTCAACGCGAGATGGAATCAGCAAAATGATTGCAGAAACAATGATGGTGAAAAAGACTAAACATTGAAAATATGGTCTAAGAAATAATGGAAAAGTGCGTAAGAATAAATAATGTAACTAAAGATATAGGGGAAGATTAGGAAAGAACGGATTTATCACTATGACTGATTCTATAGCAAACCATATAACGTCTCTGACCAATGATCGCAGTTATCATGTAGACCCTGAACAAGTCGTCTGTGACCACTAAATTAGCTCAGAACAACAGCCTATGATTTCACAAATTGATCCCATATTTCGGTTTAGTTCACTGACTATTTCTTATTCGAGCCTACATTTCGTATTGAGTAGGTGGTGGTTAAACATATTTAACACACGCCTCAGTCATTTCAATTTTTGAAAATTTACTACTTCGTCAACTGATTTAGCATCTTTCCCTGTTATTCTTTTCCTAACTTTTGGGCTAATCATTCAGTCGTTCGATGTTCAACTTCTGTTTCATGTTTGTTGTACACCAACAACATTGTCGTTGTTTGTCTTTTTTATTACTGTTGTGTTTTATACTTATCATCAATCTTAACATTATTATCTCTGATAAATAATATCAATCCTTTAAACGTTGTGATCAAATATGTGTATTTATTCCCCAAAATTATATTTCGTTGTTAATTGTTTTTATTATTAACTATACAACTATTGATTATCAGTGTTACTTTTTTTATATGCATGATTTTGCAATGTAGTGATTTATACAATATATTGTTTAATTGTATATATATTCACAATCACTTTTATAGTAATAATAATAATAATTCACTCATTACTACTCTTAATATTGTATATTCAAGTTTTATGCTGATTTTCAAATATAATATCTAAATAGTAATAATATAGAACAATTTTCTAATCTGTCCATATATGTGAAGGATCAAAACGTGTAAACTCTCCAACATCCATATACATAGGTGTAAACATCAAAGAATGAAGTTCAATTATCATACATAATACAATTTAAATATGACCAATATAATTTATTTTTATAAAATGAATGAATAATTAGATTAGATTATTGTTTAGTTGAATTAAATGAGGATAAGTGATAAGTTTGTAATGTTATATTTTATTTTAAAAATGATAATTTACTTAGAACATTATACAATCAGTCGTTTAACAGAACATGAATACTGAACATTTATGTTTAATCAAAGCATGGCACTTGAAAAATTATCTTATATCTTGTGGCCTTGTGCCCCATTAATGTATAACGTAATGATATTGCCAATTAGAGAACAGTGATTTATCGACCGGATCAATGACACATAAACCTGTACGAGCAGTCTAGAGTCTTTATCGGTCCTTCTTCCTGCCTGTTGAGTCCAGAACACCAATCTCAGCCTCTACAATATGAATCATATATATTTCAAACATACTGGGTTTATATACAAACAAAACATACCACATCGTAACATAAAATAGAAAATAACATTTGTACAAGATCTACCCGAAAGTGGCTGTGAATGTGGGAGACCGTAATTAATAGACTTGGCAGAACTCAAGAACAGTAAATCGTATAATAATAGTCTATGAGTCAAAATAAAGCTTTAGTAAGAGGAACATGAATATGCGTAGTTTGGCTACTTAACAATTATACAATAAAAATATATGTATCGTATTGGTCCATAAATAGATCAGAACAGATGTCATTCAATATTCTCGTCGGAATATAACAAAAGAGTAGCTTAACGAATCTAAATCATGTTGTTAAGATTATTGTGTCATATGTCGACATACGGATTCTCCGAATGCAATCATCAGCGATGTATTCCTAGTTTTTGTAGTTGTTACTTATATCTGCATGAAATAAACAGTATACATCGTCCATGTAGTAAAATAACTAATTCACAGATACTCCATCCACATTCTAGAAATTACGAGTCATTACCTTTCTACAGATATTTCTAATGTTACTTTCTTTGTAGTTGTTCTTATTGTTATACATTATCAAAACGTTATCAGAACTTTACAACGGAAATGTGACGGTTACCGCACTATGATAGGTAGAAGCTATTCCACCAATATCATTTGAGCATATAAAAAGCTGGCATAATATTATGAAAGATACGAATAAATTGAAACCACACCTGTAAAACAGAATAAATAAGCCATAGCTTGAAAAATCCGGGACAAATTAAAAATGGTACTGATATTTAGAGGATGGGAAAAGAAAATACTGGATAGAGATAAACTAATGTAGTGAGCAATAACAAAATAATTATCTGTAGTTGCATTACACCAATATTTACGTACAATGATAAAGTTTGAGCTGAGCTTTTTCAAAATGGGTGTTATACCAGAGAAGTTTTTGAATCCTTACGCTTTGTTTTATCTACTTTGATCATTAAATCATGTAGCCGGATGAATATAATACCATTAGAATTATCATGATTCATGAATCTTACTTTGATCCGAACCTTCACAGTTTTATATTAATGTGTCGTCAGGGTTAATAACTACCCTACTGTTTTATGCCTAATTATGAACAAAATTATAAAAATCCAACCTGTGTTCCATGCTATCAGGTATATTATAATGTTGGATGAACATTTAAATTTCTCAACACTACTGATTAGGGCAGAAATAAAATGCCAGTCAGTGAGATATCAAAACTGATGAAGAATAATAGGTATAATAAAGGGAAAAATAGGTTTCTTTATTCAACTCACCAAGTTATTATAAGGAATACTTTAACTTCATAGGATAATCAAACGGTGTAAAATATTTAAAATGTCTTATTCTACTGCTAAATGATATAATTGAAATCTTCTTTATACTGACCATTTCAGCATTAATAAAATTGTTGTTCCTAACATGTTCCTGTAATAATATTTTTTTATTATAGTATGTCCACGCGGTCAATATGGGGTTAGTTGTTCCAAACTTTGCTCATGTCAAAACAATGCAATCTGTTCAGCTAATATTGGGAGCTGTAATTGTTTGCCTGGATTTATTGGACCTGACTGTTCAATAAACAGTGGTGAGCAGTATTTAAATTTGAAAATAACATTTTGAAGTTTGACGATACAATCTAAGATTTTATTGTTAGGAAAACATACATATTTGTAGGGATGTTTGGTTTTCAGTGTTACGGTGATATTCATTTTCCTTATGCGTCACTGACTAGTTCTACAGTACAGTTAATTAATAAGAAATAAATTCCCATGTGATCTTTACTAATCTCATTTGACTATTCAAATATATCATTTAAAAGGATATGTATTATATACACTATATACCATAGTCTTAATTATGCTGATGTACCGCTGGCTAGTTTACTGGACAGTAAAGTTTTTACTTCGGTACTAAACATAATCATTGGTGTAAACGTGATTAATAAAGACGGTTATTCTGAAAATTAATATTCTCATTAGGTATGGTTCGCCTGTTTGAACTCTAATGTTTTATTGTATCAATGAGTATGGTTATTGATTACCTTTTCCGCTATTATAAGAAACAAAATGAGCGAGAAAATAATTTATGAATGAGCCGATCAGGTATAACAGGTCTCGGATTTTGGCGCGAAATTTATTCAGTCATTTGGCTGAGTTTTGACATTATAGCTGATGTCAGTTCGTGATGAAAACCCTAAATTTAATTCCTAACCTTAACCATCAACTGTAAATCATAATTCTAATTCCTCACTCTGGTTTATAACCCTCATTTAGTCCTAGTTAGCAGGTAGACATTCTCACCGTCACTTTAGCGTCGCTTAAACGTCATTCATAAATCTTAGTCTCACCAGAAAATGCTCTGATGATCATAACTTTTGTGGAGCGCATAAATACGAGAACTTTTACATGTAAAAGGTGATAATGGAAGCATCTACAACTGGAAAGCAATTCATTTTCATTTACATATATTCGTCAATGTCAAATCCTAATGAAACTTTGAATAGTAGACTTATGAACAACAATAATAAGCATAAATTTATTGGAATAGATTAGGATTACATATCACTGATTATTCAATCCCTATCCTGATTCATGATAACTTTGAAGACAAAATATCATTTTATCTCGTTTGTTTTGTTATCTATACTACTTAAAACTTGAATGTAATTCTGTTGGTAATATATTGGAACTGTGTACTACAACTTGGTAATGCTGATCCTAATGTATTTTTATTGATTATCAGTTGACGTTGCCAAAATATTAATAGACAACACCTTTTTTCTTCGTAGAACTTTCCAGTTAACATGAAAGCTTGGAATATAATCGATCAAACCACCTCCAAACCACTGAAACTAAACGAAATTCTGAATCAACATTAATATAGCTTCTGCTACAAAATAATTAACTGGAAGATTGTCATCTAGTGTTAATCATTGGCTTATATTAAAATGAATGTTCGTTTAACCATACCCCCTAAAAAATTTCATACAAGCTAATAAGGTCAAATAAGCCTTGAATCCCATCAATAAAACTGAATAACTTTCATTTTATTCCGAATTTAATAAAACTAAGAAAATGTAAATATATCGACTGAATAGAATTCGGTTTACAACAAAATATCCGTTTTATTCTAGTAAACAAGTGAAATTGTTACATTGCCTAGAAAGAAAGAAATATTCTGTTTATTGACTTTCAATACTTTTACGACTGTCAGCTTACAATGCATTCGGTCTTGATTCTAAGAGATCCTCCATAAATTATAATTTCATCTCTCTAATAAAATGTGTTAGGAATGGTAGTACAGCTCGATGCTCAATAAATATGAACATATAATTTCCGATCACATTTTAACAATGCTGTTAGAAAACGGTACAAAAATGATGAGAACTGATGTGTATTTTAAGACTAGCTAGTTATCATGTGATATATTTGCCAATCGAGATATGACTTATTCAATCGTAGTACTGCGTTAAACCAATGAGGTTCGACCGGTACGAGTGACCTAGCATCCTTAATGGTCCTTTGTTATCCTATACCTTCCATTTGAATTCAGAACACTAATAGTAGCTTCCATTATGTGAATCATTTATTTCAAATATACTCAGTTTATCTATTAGCCAAACAGACTGCATTACATTATAAAATAGGAAATAACATTTATACAAAATAAAGCCAAAAGTGGCTGTAAACGTGGAAGACGTTAATCAAATAACTGAGTATAACTTAAGAACAGTAAATCGTACAATAATGATCTATAAGTCAAAATGAAGCTTATAATCAGCGGAATATGGATACACAGTCTAGTTACTGAATAGTTACACAATAACAATATGTATAAAATATTAGTCCATTAATAGTTTACTTATTATTATTTATTTAAACACATAAACATTGGTACAAGAGGTACCAAATAGATATGCTCCACATAAATCATTTGATTCGTGTGAGGGCTGTGATAGTGCCTGCGTGCCCAGACCGAAGCAGGTGTTTTTCTTAGGGGGCCACACCTGGAGCCTTTGACCTGAAGGTCTGACCTACAAGGCAGTGGAGCATCGTAAGGAGATGCAGTCCCATGGTAGCCGGTGACCAACGATTGGTTCATACGCCATTTGTCCCATCATGATACTGGAACCCATGTGCACTATTGGTTTGGAATCCGGTTAAAGCACCGGACATTCTCTTTTCGTCCTCTCAATTTCGTAAACAACACCCCTGCTACGAGAAGGCAGTGAGTAGGAATTCCCTGGCAGAGGCTGTATACGCGTGGTCGTGTGAGAGCATTTCGAGAGGGAGGGCGGGCTCACTCCACTCTCGACCATACCAGGGCATTTGGGGGCGTCCATGAATAGTTCTCAAAAGTTACTCGTCATTTAATTTTCACTAAGATATAACAAAAACCTCTCTTTTACTTTTTTTTTCTTTTAATTTAGAAATGAATTATATAAATGAACAATCAACATTAAGTATGAAAATGAATAAATAATGATGAATTTCATTTAAAATAGTTAATTAATTAATTAATTAACTATATAAATTGAAGATTTATTTTCACATAGTTTAGATCAATCTATTTCATATTATGGTTAAAACAATATTTTTTATTTATTTTGAACAATGAAAACAAACAAACAAAACAAACTAATACAACAAATGAAGAAAACTATCTATTATAATTAATTAATTAATAATAATAATCAATGTTACATTATAATTACAAAAAAATAATTACAATAAGTAATAATGATGTACACAAATGAAAATATAGGCATGTTATTTATTATATAATACCAATTATTCTTCAATATTTTCGGCAAAATATAACAAAAAAATTCATTATAGGTATCATTACCCAAAATTTGATTGGATAATTTTAAATCAATTAAATGAATTGCACATAATATTCTTATATTGTTTCATTATATTTTAATTGGGTTATTTGTTTATTCTGAAGAAGCGGCTTACACTGAGTGACGAAATGTTAGAAAATTTAATTTTTCTTACTTATTGGGATATTATAAATATATTAATTTATGTTTACATAGGTTTTTTTAACAAAAAATCTTATCCAGTCTGTTTTCATTTTCTATGGTTTACTTTCAGTTACTTTTGAAATTATTTCTTCTCAGTATTTTATGTTGTCATTTAATTAATGAAAAAGTTTATATACGAAGATAATGATAAAATATGAATAAAATTAGCATTACATAACTGTATTTATGGTTAATCTGTTCTTGATACGTATTATGCACTTAATTACATGATTGATACAACGTAATAATTTTATCATAAGATAGTATGAATTGTTCTTGAATAATATACACATGAATCTACGCCAAAACGTACATACAAATACTGATTTGTTTAAATAGACTTAAGATAAAGGACTGTTATACAAAGAGTGATGCTCTGAAATCTCAACTAGTTAAACGTACATAATTCATATTCTGTTTATAAATTGTACATACACTGTAATCTATAACATGTTAGATTTATTTCTGCTGTTATTCGTATTTTCATGTTATACAGTGTTCCTTCTGTTCTATTCCTTGAAATAATTTATATTTCAATTCAAATTATGTACTTGTTATTCTCTGTTAATTATACCGAATTTTCACAAAAGTATCTAACGAAACTCAGGCGGCCGACTATTCTCATTCCACTCAGAAGTATAGACATTTAAACAATTGAAAATCGCATATTATCCATGAAATTATTTCGTGAAAATCAGATAATGTTCAGTCAACATGAAAGAGCGGTGAATTAGGTGTTGGATTTTCAACTACCAGACCGCAGGCTCACGACTTACTCGATCCAGCTTCGGCAGCCAGATAATATAATTAGGAGTACAACATAAAGTCATTCATAGGAAGCTCCAGTTGATAAAGGGGTTGTATTATATTTTTATTTATACTTCTGAACATGAAATAAATAAATTAATAATTGAAAAAGATTAAGAACGAGAAGGCTAGTAAACGCGTTTATTCAGCAATATAAAAGACCCTTTGAAGTCAACCGAATAAACAATCTCTAGTATACTTATTGTAATAAAGACGAATCACAAAGATACTTGAAAATATGTCGGAATTCAGATAAATACGTCCAAAACCAATTACGGTCATATCTTCACTGGATGTTCAGAAGTAACATACATAATTTTACGCATAGTTGAAGCGCTAACTTAATTTTCTCAAAGACTACAAACTTGACTAGTAAACAGTCAGTAAAATGTTTCAGAAGATGCTTTGCAAGGAAGGCTATTCAATAAGTACTCATAAAACATTCAGTCACAAAGTAGCACCTCTACGAATGTATATTAGTCCAAACTGCCAAACCCCGTTAGCACACAGATGAAATTATCAGGTGAAACCCTAGAATAGTAGAAGTAGTGGTAGTATTGGTGGTAATAGGAAAAATTAGGCATCAAAGATACAACTTGAAAAGATAAATTAGTGAATTAAAAACAAAAAAGGCATGAAAAATTTGAAATCTCAGAATTTGGGAGAAGACAAAGGGTGGATACACCTGAGCAATGCAAACAATTTCCAGCTATGTCATTTAAAGTGTCTAGCGACTGGTTATGATAATCATGCAGACGCCAACCAGCTTATACCTATTAACAAGGCTCAGTGCAATTGTCTCACGAACTGGCATCATGTTTTGGTTTGACCGCCATAACTTTTTTCCAGCCTACTCCCACACCAGAACACATCACTAGTAGAGGTAATTGGTGGTTGGGCATAGGTAACACACGTCCCAACCACCTCAGTTGATGAAGATTTACTGCCTCATCAACTGATTTCCCATTTTTACTTGGTAACATGCTTGCATTGCTGCTTAAGGCGGTCAGAAGACTACATCTTGTCAGCGTCTTCACCAAACAATCATCTGCGTATTCAAAGTGAACCTACTGGTAGATAACCAATCCATAAAAAGTCAAACGATGACAGCGTCTCCTTTAAAACCATGTCTGTGAAAAATTTAGATAAATATGGAAAAGCGAACAACCTTGAAGGGAACAACTACGATGACAGTTTGCCATAAGATCAGACTCGACCAGAAGTGTTCGAGTAGGAAACCTGTACAAGGTTAACGTACTTCTTTGGTACGCCTTCCATTGACGGACATTGTCACAACCCCTCACAATCAACAAATTCGAACCATGTCTCAAGGCTAAGGAATACAACAATAGTAAGACGTCAAAGAGAATGTCTATGTTCTAGAATCTACTGAAGAGTGAATATTTGGTCTATACATCCACGTCCAGGTCTGAAACTAGCTTGGTTCTCTGGAGTTTGCACTTCACAAGCTCTAGTTAGACGTCGAAGAATTATTGAGGCGATTATTTGAGATACCATAATAGTCAAACAGATTCCTGTGATTACTATAAGAGGATCTTTATTCTTTCTTATAAACTAGGACTACCAGCAATTGAGAACACTCGGTTGATATTAGGTTGTTTTAAGAATTCAACTAAGATTGCAATCAATGTAACTGCTAAAACTGAACCATCATCTTTAGAAATCTCCCTCGATTTAAATTTCTTATAACCTTCCCAACCTCGCTAAGTGTTGGAGGACTTTCATCGATTTGCCATTCAGGTCGCTTGACGATAGTGGGTAATAAATGTGGCCTATCTTCCGAATTGATAATTTTTCAACTGAACTCTAATCACTATATTCCTATCAATGTTTATTCATTATGTAATCAATTGTTTCTAACCGATTTTTGAACTGTTGTCCTAAAATTTGTTGTAGCTCATACCATTAATCAGATTATAACTTTCGCTTGAACCTGCATAAACATATTGGTTAAACTGAGAATAAATACAAACTCTTAAAAATATGGTCGTGGAGAATTAGTATGTTATTTAAACAAGTAACTGCTTCTCGTGATTTCACTAGGCTAATTCAAATATTACCGTATATTAAAGTTATTTCCTCAGTTAGTTCCCGTTATTAGGTGCACACTCACTGTTGATGGTGCTACTTAAACATGGATCCACTAAACAACCTCAAGACAATGAACCACAGTAAACCACACTTGGGAAGATCCCATAACATACAGATGTGGTGAAACTAACAACTGTCCCAATTACGTCTCAAAATAACAGATTGATACATATAACAGTAGTGACCAAGGGGAGACGGTAAGCAACCATTTAGTTAACGGAGTTTTGCAACGATTATTTTAATTCACAGGCTGTATCCATTACGGCTTGGTCTCGTTTAGGATGCCGCGGACAACGCACGTCCTGGGACGATTCATTATAATAGATTAGTATGCTGGCTTCTGTAAATTCTGAATATCGAGAAACACTGCACAACATTGAAAACTAAGACTATATATTGTTCTATTAGTTACATGCAGATCTAACATAAAATCATGGTCCAGAAGTCTTAAAGCAGCGATTAGTTCAATCAGGGAAATATTTTCACGGAATTTAGTGAGATTAATTAGATCGAAAATAAACCACCAAAAATAAGCTTTTTTCATAGCTAATAATTCAAATGAAGACGGAAATCCTGTATAGTTGTTAGTGATTACTATCAGGACGGATTATTAGTATGTAGCTACAACACATTGCTAGAACCAGAAAGACATTAGATGGATCGCGGTGCCGCAATCGAAGTGGATATCAGAAAAAGAAGCTTCGGTCGATATATTGAACGAAGTGGTGTGACAAAAAAACAAGTAGTTATTAACGAAACCTCTGAGTACTATCTTGTGAAAGCATAATAAACTATTCACCAAATCCGGACAGCATTAACCCGCTAATATACTCCAAAGATATAAGAAATGAGATATTTTATTCTTAAACAACAGTCTACATAATAAGACAATAAACTAAATCAATTTAGTTCTCCAAGTGAAGTGTTTATTTTATTAATTATTCTTATACTTTAGGATGGCGGAAGTTTTTCCCGGCATATTTTGCTGCTGCTCCCAACTCTTCTTCAATACGTAAAAGTTGGTTGTATTTGGCCAAACGATCAGAACGACATGGTGCACCGGCTTTTATCTAAAACGATAAATAAAAATTATTAATTTATTACTTATTTATTTTAACACGTAGATATTGGTACAAGGAGGCACCAAATACATATGCGCCACACAGATCTCATTTGATATGTATGAGGGCTGTGATACTGCCCGTGTGCCCAAACCGAAGCAGATATAGGTATTTAATCAATATGAAATTGAAGCACTTAAGAGTCAGTGTATAATTACAGTAATATGGTATTTTACTTTAGTCGTTTAATAACGAATCAACTGGTGTAATATCCACTTTTTAATTAAAACAATAACTATACGTCATTTAAACACTTTTGACAATTGTAGTCGTTTGGCAAGTTGCATATAAGCAATTCGCTCTACTGTTATTAGCGTAATCCATCCATGTGACTAGAATTAACTGTGAAAGAATAAATTATTACAAGGTACGGAATTTGAAAAGAATGCAACTACTGAGATTAATTGATATGCTTTGATGTATTCAGTCTGATATCATATCCGAGTGAATACATTGTAGTGTTAATTGACATGAAAATACTTAATCATAATTGACAATGGAATGGTTTGTATAGTGTTTATATCGTATATTAACAAATGTTATGGAAATGAAAAGTCATACCTGTCCAGTGCAAAGGCCAACAACTAGATCAGCAATGAAAGTATCTTCCGTTTCACCAGATCGATGTGAAACCATGACACCCCAACCTGCGTTTTGTGCTAACTTGCAAGCTTCAATGGACTCGGTTAATGAACCTATCTGGTTTACTTTCAAAAGAAGACAATTGCAAGCCTTTGAAGAAATGGCCTTTTTAATGCGCTTTGGATTGGTAACAGTCAAATCGTCTCCAACAATCTGAAAAATAAGCCAGAATAAAAGTTAAAAATACACCTACAAATATACAGATTAGAAAATATTTGATGAAAGTTATCTGATCCACTAGAGTTTTGGGTACTTGTGTGGTTGCCACTGTGCTATTTAGGTCCTAGTGTAAAAGCCTGGGTGATGTGTGGTTTTCCGGTGAACCAATGTATTATTCAATTCTTGGGGAGTATATTTATGATTGTGAGAGAATACGGTTAAACAAACATCAATGTGTTACGATTATAAAAATATTAAATACTGGGACAAGTAAGGAAGGCAAAACAGGTAACTACCCAATGAAACATGTAATAGTTCATTCATTTATTTGAACACATATTGGTACAACGTGGTACCAGATACATATACCCCACACAATAATAATGAGAATGGGAAGAGATAAAGGATGTAAGGTGCGTGTAAGAATAAAAAAGGAAGAATAACGACTACAAATTAGTGTATGGTATAAACACAATCGAAAGAAGACTTATTCCACGATAGTTCTTTAATAGGTGACGTGAACCATTTTTAACGATAGGGAGGATTATCGACTCATTTCATGTTGTTGAAATACTCTAGCTCCCAAAGCTTTGTGAACAACGCAGTCATTTCCTCAACCAGAAGGCCACCACCACCTTTAGAAAGGGCCGGAGGTAAGTCATCTGGGCAAAGTGATTTGTAGAGCTTCAAGAGTTGGAGTACCGGTGATAGAATTTTAACAGAATAAATCATAAAAGATACAGGTACTAGTTATTCCTGAAACAAGCTAGATTTTGATCCATCAGAAAGTGTGCAGGATTTTGGCTTCATCTTTAAGATGTCATTAAAATGGTGAGAAAAATCGCTTGGGAGCAGAAGAGAGGAATTTAATCTCAGTATTACAACTGTCGCTTGAGGAATTCTTTAATATTTGTTAGACAGAACTGTTACTTGTGTGGATAAGTCGTAACATAGAAAATGCTAATCCCGAAAAGCGTTACCTCCTAAAGGACGATAGCAAAAATAGATTTAAAAATGAAATAAAGAATTCCTGACAGACAGGATTTGACGTTACCAATTCAGATAATGTGCAATTTGGTCTGATTCAACTACTAGTATTCGAATAAAAAGCTTTGGTGAGTTAACGCACCGTTTAAGAGCATATTTAGTAACACACTAGAACAATGATCGATGTAGTTGAATGCCGGATTTGGACCAGGGAATACAACTACATTTAGCCATATGTCCATGACGCGAAACCTATGGAAGAATGAATATTTGATCAATTCCTTCACGAAAAGTTTTAAAGCCTACCTGGTTTTTTCTATTTCTATTTAGACATTTGACGACCACGGAACCTGATACTTAGTCAACCATATTTACTACGTCGACTTCTGCGTTTATCATAAACCGAGACAATCAAAGAACAAGATAGGGAAAATGGAATACAGTCAAATTTCCACACTGATTAGTATCCCAAATATTCTAATTGATAATGATGAGGGACCAAACTTAAAGACTTTTGGAAACATGATTTCTAAAAGTATTAACAGCAACTTGTTGAACGCAGGATATCTGATAGTTAAGAAATAAACAAAACAGTGACCGCTAAGTTAAGAAAATAGACAAGACGTGAGTCTAGTTAGGAACAATACTATTACTTGAATGTTTGTTGAAGCAGTTAGTTTAGGCCATGTTTCCCAATCATCCTGATCAACTGGATCTTCAATGCTCACTATTGGATATTTGCTTATCATTTCCTTGTACACATTTGTCATTGCATCAGGACTAAGCCAGGCAGATTCTGCAGAATGAGGGTTCTTGAAATCCAAATCATACTTCCCATTCTTGTGAAACTCAGAAGCCGCACAATCCATACCGATCTCTACTTTTCCAGTATAGCCAGCAATTTTTATGGCTTCTTCAAGCAGCTGAAGACCTGGAAATATTACAGCTCTATGAGTACAAACAATCTATGAAAACTATAGCTAAAAAGAAATAGGCATAATTACTAACTACCCATACGAGTAATTGTACGAAGTGTCATGTCTTTACTATCACCCCTACAAAGAGAAATAACAAAACCATCCTGCTTCACATACATTATAAATAGTTGCTTCGAATTAATAAACTATAAAGATTTGAAACTCTTCAATTTCTTACCAAATCCCGATAAACCATTTGGTAGTTTATAGAGCAACTATTAGTAAACTTACGTTATTAATGATTAAGTAACCTAACCTAACATTCCAAAGAAAAATTACTAATTGGTCTGTGCTGTCGAGTTAGTTACTAGTTTTGTAGGGAGAACTATTTTATTAAGTAGTATAGACGGTTTACAGAACAAGTTCCAACCAATGCTGTAACCAAATGGTTCTTACTCGACAGGAATGGACAGTGTTTAGAATCTTGAATGAGGTCTGAAGTTATTGATTTAACCTAGATAGGCTTTACGGTTGAAGTCCTAAACAGTTTAAAATAGGATATGGCTCAAAACTGATTAGAGATAAGAAGTCATCTAGCCGTTTCCAAAAACAGTACATTTAACCTTAAATTTAATTTAATGTTTGATTGTTACCGATTTTACTTTTTACTGTGTTGTGAAATGTGATGGGTTGATCAGACGTGACTCTATAAAATAAAGCATACAGTAATTTAAGCTTGATATATTGTAAAGAAAACGAAGAAACTAACAAAGGTTACCGAATAAAGTGCCAAGCCTACCTTTCATATTATCCTGTATATTCGGTGCAAAACCACCCTCGTCACCAACGTTGCACGCATCCAATCCATATTCACGTTTGATTACAGCTTTTAAATTGTGGTACACCTCAGAACCGATCTTCATTGCTTCAGTGAAAGAGCTGGCCCCAGTAGGCAGAATCATGAATTCTTGCATGGCTAGCTTGTTGCCGGCATGGCTGCCACCATTAATGACATTGAATGCTGGGACAGGCATTATAACATTTTCGTGCCCAGCTAACTTCGCAATATACCTATAGAGAGGTAAACCCTGAAACAAAAGAAACCGCAAGTAAAATTTATGAAAAACAAAAAGTAGGAGTACAAAACTGAAGTCTCAATAACTGGGCTTATTGCTTAAGTTTGTAGGTCATATCTAATATTTAATGTGCAAAATAAACTAAAATAAATTCAGTTTCTATATATTGATTAGAGAGTACAACTTAAACATAACTCACGGCTTCAGCTGCACCAGCTTTGCACACAGCCAAAGATACTCCCAATATAGCATTGGCCCCGAGTTTTTCTGAAATAAAGGATTATTTTTATATGAAAAATCTCAAATCTACAGAGCCTTTATAGGCGATACTATCGGTTTCATAAGTTACTATTGATATCATTAAAAATACAATTGATCCTATATGCTAAAGTACCTGAAGCAATCAAAGATACATGAATACTTTATAAGTACTTCGGCCCTGGTACGGCCGAGGGTGGAGAGTCCACTCTCCCTCTCGAAATGCCCTCACATGGCCACGCGTATACAGCCACTGCCAGGGAATTCCTATTCAGCCTTCTTGTGGCAGGGGTTGTTTACAAAACTGAGAGGACGAGAAGCGAATGTTTGGAGCTCTAACCGGGTTGGTAGGCACAGAGGGTCTACCTAGGGGAGTTGGAAGACCCTGATTCCAAACCAACGATGGACATTGGTCCCAGGATCCTGAAGGAACAAATGGCGTATGAACCAATCATTGACCACCGGCTACCATGGAACTGCCCCCTAAGAAAACCAACTGCTTCGGTTTGGGCACCCGGGCAGTATCACAACCCACACACAAATCAAGCGACTTGTGTGGCGCCTATCTATTTGGTATCTCTTTGTACCAATATTTGTGTTCAAGAAAATAAATAAAACTACCCCCTCAACGGTTGTGAGGCATATAAATTTGGTCGGTTAAGATTTTTGGAAAAGCTTAATTCAATATGTTACCCAAAACTTATTGTTCATAAGCAGGCTGATATCTAATAAGACTACAATTCTTATTGTAAAAATCCACAAAAACTCAGCATTTATAAGTTCTCCAAAGTAGGAAGCAACTTTACGAGCTATTTTATAGTTCTCGAAATGAGACTCATTTGTATTTATGCTTTTTAGTCGGTCACCAATTAGTTTTAAAACTGGAAAATGTATGTTAAACCAAGTTACCATGCAAAATCAGCATACAAAAGTGGAATAAAGACTTAGTGCGAGCCAGAATAGGAGTGGAATCAATGAGAAAGATTAAACACTAAAAGCATTGTTCGAAAAGTAATGCAAAGATGTATATAGAGAAATTATGGGACTTCAACTTCAAAAAACAACTATAGAGTGGTTAAAATCAAGGCTACTGGTGGGACTAAACATTAGAAAATTACGATATCATAGAATAGAATTGTTTACGGGCAGTTGATCTCACATTCGATACAGAACAAGTGAGTTTTAACGAACTACAATTTTCTTAAAGAAATAAGGCTTTTAATATATCACAAGTTTTTTGCAGAAAGAACCCCTATTACCTGACGTCATTTCTGAACGTGAAAATAAAGTCACTTGAGTGTAAATTGCACTTTTTACTTCTGAAGAATCAATTAACCTAACAAATAACGTTATTTACATATTTCATGTAACGACGAAAAGGGTCACCAAATAACTCACCCTTGTTTTCCGTGCCATCAAGATCAATCATAAATCTGTCAATAGCTGCTTGATCAGTTACGGGGATATTTTTTTGAATTAGAGCTGGAGCAATAATTGTATTCACATTACTGACTGCTGTTAAAACCCCCTTTCCCATATAAGCCTTTGACTTGGTATCACGTAACTCAAGAGCCTCATGGACACCTGTCGAAGCCCCACTTGGAACGGCAGCGCGGAATAAACCTGAAAAAAGAGTACGTTCACATTTGAATCTATATATAAGATTTATCACAGTTAACTTCAAATGGAACTTAAAATCCGCTGCGGAACTACCTGGTAAATCAGTAACAAGGTATTAGATATCTATTCTCCACTGAGTATCGACCTTAACAAAACCCCATCTAACGAGCGAATTGTGGCGAATAAACATAAAATCACCAACTGCGACGATTAGTGTACAATAACAGTGGTGAGATCACGTTAGTACATGTGAAAGATTTGTGCATCAAGTTGAAAAAAAGACCAATGTTCATAAACTAATCGTCTAACAACATACCTTTAGATGTTTTTAAATCCACCTCAACTGTTGGGTTTCCCCGGCTATCGAAAATTTGACGGGCGTGAATCGATATAATGGACATTTTCTGTGGAGAAAAATTGTGGTTAGCTAGGTTAGAACATAATACAGTAAGAACGATGCTTTTTATCAACTTTTATTAGACTAATTTGTCACTAAGAGATAATGTAAACATTTACATTTATTCATTATATATTTCGGGGTTGACAAAATTATCCCAGTTTGATCGGTCATTCAGTTCTTTCACGACAATTTCAACGTACGGATCCAAGTATGGGATATCATCTTCAATGGTTGTCCACTCTTCCTTCGGCAAAATATTTTTCGAAGCGTAGAGATGAGTCGCCCGTGAAATTCGGAAGTCCCTAGCTTCCTGTAGTTCGCGCGGAAGTCGACGGAGAGCCTCGCGCCAAACAGGACTATGAGGTAGCCAATCATGTTTCAAAAGTCCAACCTGATTATAATAAGCAGTGTTGAATCCGAACATTTTTATCTTTTTTTGAAGTTCACTCATCCGATTAAGACTGGAACGATACGATGATATAAATTCTGCACCAGTTCGGAGGTATGCCATCTTGAATATATTTCGCTAGCCTAAAAGGTAATGAATACAACCTTATATGAAAAATTGCTCTGAACTTATTGGAAAACGTATTTTTACACGCGAAGGACTAATTTACCGTGTAATATCTATTAATGCACTAACATAAACATGTTACAGTGCCTTTGTGATCTGTGGAGATTGTTTATATTATAACACCTTTAGAACCTTAACGGACGACACTAATAGCCTTCACGAAAATAGGTTTATAAACATAGTACTTACCATGCCTATAAGCAAGAGAATAAGTATCTGACGCTCTTATAACTAATTCAAACTAACCAACGCAAACTTTACAGTACATTCATATAGTTTATAAACTAGCTATTTAATCTGAGTTAAGCAAAACGAGGAAATTAAATCTAATCTTGGGAAATCCCTATTGGGAGTCATTGGTGACCCTGATAGACACGAATGCGAACTAGATGACAGCACCTATTGTCCATTACCACTTCGAATACTTTAGCAGTTCTGGGTCATATACGCTTAGGTCTGTTACTTGTGAGATTTCTGGAAATGCATGTTAACATCTGCGCATTCAAGTTGGGTACTTCACAGAAATGTCCCCCAAATAGCCGACGTAGGGGAAGACGATTTTCCGCTACAAAAACTGACATCAAGAGGTAAAGTCCACAATTCCCCTCTTAATTTAAGTTGTCACCTCACTTATTTCCTCGGCCTTGGTCATACGGGCTGTACAGAATCTAGACTGAAATACATTAAATAAATAATAGAGAATTCCTACAGTCCAGACTGTCAAACTAGATTTGTAATACGTAGAATAAGTGTCAATGGGGAAGACCGCGTACCAAACCTCCAGCCGACCCATGTCCCAAATAACCTACGTGACTTACTGCTTTACCAACCGATCTACATGGTCATCAGTTTATACAGTAAAACAATCCATGGTTTCAATTTGTTTCAAAAAACCGAAAAGCGAGTACCTGACTTATTAACTGTTTCTAGAAAATCTTTTGCGTATTCTAAATACAAAACACTTCTCTTTTTAAGCTAACATTACCAACCAAATGAAATTATCAATAATGACTGGAATTATGTCTTTTGTGATTACTGAGTAAAACATAAACTAGAAAAAGGGCTTCTGTCAATAAATTAGCAATATGATCGAACTTGATTTTAGTTTGAACGGTTTTTCATATTGACTAACATAGGTCAGTGTAAACAGTTGTAAGGCTTCGAACTGTAGCGGTAAAAAAATCCCCAAAATCCGCATCAGATCATTAGTGGGTATGTGATGCTACACATCGACAACCGCTAGCCAGCTTAGGTTAATCACTTCTCAATATATCGACATTCTATCGAATATATCTTCAAGCCTCTCCTTTTCTGACTTCTGATTTGATTGAGTTGGCAGGTTTCGATCACAAAAGTGCTACTCTTTAGTGTTTTGTCTAACTCCGAATACTTGCGGCATCTTAGGTGGTGAGATATGCAGAAGCTGACTTCCACGTGCGCGGCCTGACTGATCCGCATACACAATTCCTCCCAGTATTGAGAGAACTACCGCACGATTTCGACAGGTACGTCACACCTAGTGTGCATACTAGTGACGTCTCGGAACCTTACGAAACTCTACAACTCTACAACGTGGTTCAGCAATAGAACTGCTGCTACGAATGAGAGAGGTCATTGGTCAACCGACCTTTGATGAATATCTGTTTAGACAACTTTTCTCGTCCCATTCTAAAACAACGCTGTAGACGAGCTGTATCCATCTGCCGACCGCATACTAGAGATCACAAGAACTTCTAACTCCGAGGTATACCGAATGGAATAAAAACCTCAGACAACACAAAATGACATTAAAGGACTTTGTAATACTCTGACTCGTTACCTTAGTATTCGTCATGAACGTATGCGCTCACAAACTCTTCGTAGTTTTTCACGAAAACGTCTGTCTCTAGATCACGAGGGACAGATAACCCTGATTTGTGCCACCAAAATAATCAAAATGGTATGTCTTCTCGAAATTGCAGAACACCCTGAAATCTTAAGAGCTCCAAGCCAACCGACACGGAAAACGTTCAGGGGAAAATTCCCAGCCGGCCTGTGTTAACAGAAAATTCAGGCGACAAATATAGCCATCTCTCATACATCACTGGTGTGATGACTAAATTTCGCTACCTCAACAACTTTGGTGAGGAAGTTGGCATTCTTCCTGAAAATTTTAACGACCGACTGGATGAAGCAGTTTTCAACCTACAGGCGGCAAATGGGAAACCGATTGCCACATATGGCAAGCGATATGCGTATCGTAACATGGTTTTACGGAAACCTAATCACTGGATCTTAGTTGTTGCAGATGCTTCCATGTCAATCATTGACGCAGACCTGCTAAAACATTATAATTTATTCACTGACACTCGCAAAAGGGGGTTGCTGGATGACAATAACAAATCATTTGTTAGTGTAACTTCTAATTCCGATTTTAAACTATCCCCAGTCACTGTACAGAACACTACCGATTCATGCTATCAAAAAATACTCGATATGTACACCGAGATAAAACAAACACAGCCTAAGCAGCCATGTGCAACCACAAATGTTACACATCACATAACGACTACATTATTACCTGTATTTTTGAAAGCGCGCCAAATAGCTCCCGAAATGCTGAGGTTGGCTAAGAACGTATTCGATCATATGATAGACTCAGGAATCGTTCGGCTATCAAAAAGCTCATGTGCATCTCCGTTACACATGGCCTCTAAAAGTGACAACAGTGATTGGCACCAACCTGGCGACTCTAGATTTCATCGGACACTCATTGATGCTAACGGTATATGACCTCCGAAAAGTAAAATGGCAGTCATTCTGGATTACCCAGAATCGACCACAATCAAGCAACTACGCACGTTCAGTGGTCTGGCAGGTTTCCATGGATGATTCATACCGAAACGTGCGTCTCTTATCAGACTCTTAACCAACCAGATTCGTGGAAATGCAAGAATCATCAATTTCGACGACATCGCATCAAAAGCATTCACCACAGTTAAGGAACTCATCGCAAAAATAACTATGCTCGCACACCGGGACACCGAAGCACCCATTAGTATCGCAGTAGACGCATCGGAATTAGAAGTCGGAGGAGCCTTACAATAATGGGTTAATCACACCTGTCAACCTTTGACATTCTTCTGGTATCAAGATACTGAACCGAGGTATAGTACTTTCGATAGGGTACCCCTAGCTATATATTTTGCTGTACGCTGAGGGTTCACTCCTTTCACCGACCACAAACCTCTTACCTTCTCTTCAAGCTCATCTTCAGACAAGTACTCTCTTCGAGAGTCTCAACAGCTGGACTACACTTCTCAGTTTAGTTTACGGATAAAGAGACATTACTATGCGACATATCTACAAGTAAGAATCGTCCAATAGTGCCGAAACACTACACAGGTTTCCTCATCCAGGCGTTCGTGCAACCGTCAAGCTTATAACAGAACTATTTCGTTGGCCTGGTTTGACTAAAGACGTGAAGGTGTGGGCACACTCCTGTGTAAGCTGTCAGAAATCCAAGGTAATTAGACACAACAAGTGTCATTTGAACTCCTTCGCAACTGCCGACGCTCGTTACGACCATGTTCATCTGGATTTGGTAGAACCTTGCCAGGTTTAAATAGACACTCTAACCTCTTAACGTGTGTGGACTGTTCTACTCGATGTCCAGAATGAGTAACCATGGATGACCCATGTCCTCGTGAATCGATGATGCTCAATCCCATACAGGCACTGAACACGATGAAGAGCATAAAGAAACCTCAGATCTAGGTATTGGCTAGCAAAAAGTCTAAGGAACGACCGCGAGCAGTGGTGGTCAACGTAACTGATTGAGACGGAAAAGGCGGCGGCTATGGGGAACACAAGACAGCTCTATAGACTAGTAAAAGAAACTGGAATTAATAAGTCAAATGTGATGTTTACTCAACTAAAGTTGATCGTTAGGGAACGCTTGTAGTGTCATTAGACCCTAACTACACAATCCTCAAAGCTGAACACGAGACAACTGGGGAAATGTGTATTCAACATTAACTCGCAGAGACAGTGTGAATGGAACATTGAAGTAGTTCCCCCAACTCTTGCTGAAGTTCAAAAGGCTATAGTTAATCTAAAACGAGGAAGGGCAGCTAGTTCATATGAAAAATATTGTTCTATCTCCAACTTGGATGTTTCCTCCATCATATATTGGTAATTGTTACGACACGATGACTCAATGTAGACGACGATTTGTAAGGTTTTATAAATTAGGCAGCTACATCATGACAAATTTGGAATTTTAGAATTGGATCTATTATTAGAGCCATTTATTTTATTTCACCACTCGTTACCTTATCCATAACTCATATATCTCTACACCTTTTCCCCTATTTTTGTTAACAACTAGCTTACAATATACTCTTCCTAATGCCTATACTTTGATTGGTAACCTATACTTTATACTATGAATAATTACAGCATTGCGTCAATGCCTTACCCACAGTTCACAATTTGTAACTGTCTGATAAGATTGTAAAATGGTGCTTATGGAAACAGTAGCTTCCAACAGGATGTAAAACACAGAGCATTGTGTGACGTATGATATATATATCCAAAATAACTTGAAATGAGCCTGACATCACAAAAGGAGGGGGTGGAGTTACTGACCAGTAGCATTGATGGTGAGGGCGATGACTTCAACCCACTCATGCTTATGGGAAGAACGTTTTGTTTGTATCAAAATCTTTACGATTGAAAACAAGTAAATCATTTTGTGATATTGAGGCTATTCTCCTACCTTCACCATCCAGACTCATGCATCTAATTTTATGCTGCACTAGCTATTCTACTAATAACATGCTAACTCGAGTTTTTACACTAGGACTGTGCGGCAAGCATCTGATGGAAAAAATAATAAATCAGACAACAAAAGATATAGTTATTAGTTTTCTAAAGACTTTACTCTCTTTATGCAA